TGTACGAATTAATGTTGTCTCCAAAATTTTACGAATTGAACCTGGAGAAACAGNCAAGCCATTCCAATTCCAATTCCAATTGGTGGTTAACAAGATCATTGTCAAGGGTAAGATAATTTTTTTTTTTCACACAATCTGTCTTCTAATATTGAAGTATAACTGTTTTGTAATAATGTTGAAATTGAATGTCGGTCTCATGAAAGCGACTAATATATCAACAAGGGCCATGGTAATGTAAGCCTATAACTACCGGTACCGGTACTGATGTAGGCTAAATGATGCAAAAATTTTTAAACAACTCTCATATTTCAAGCCTGAAACAAGGCTTTGATGGATTTGTCATTGACATTACTTGACACCCTTTCCTTTTACTGTTAATCTCTTTTCAGCTATTATCAAATACAGATGAAACCGATTCCCCATTACATGAAGAATCACGGCAGGAAGTACAAGAGACATTTTGTCAAATGGAATATGAAACCGTACAGTATTACCACTCACAGCCCATAAACCATGAATGGCTAAACTATCCATTTATTACAGACAAAGATACTGTTCAGCTCATAGAACAGTCTAAAGTAATGTTTCTAATGAGAGGATTGTCAGGGTCTGGTAAATCTACCGTCGTTAAAAAAATACAAACTATCTATCCTTCTAATATTGTCTGTTCAGCCGACAATTGCTTTCTAGATGAAAGAGGGAATTATAATTATGATTTTAACAAACTCAGCAATGCTCATGATTCCTGTAAAGAAATGGCCAAGATAAATTGTCAGAGAGGTGTTCAGACAGTTATTATTGATAATACTAATGTCAAATATTGGGAAGCTAAGTATTATTTTAATCTGGCCTACTTATATAACTATATTGTGATCATAGTAACTCCAAAAACACCATGGCAATTCAATGCTGAGGAACTTTGTAGAAGAAATAAACATGGCGTTGATTTAATTACTATTCATCGTAAATTGAACACATTTGAAGATTTTATTCCCTTCTTTTATGGATGGTTTTTAAATGAAACTCTGTCCAAAGTTCTGGTAGATATGGGAATGGAATATTTAAGAGATTGTTTAGAACTATACCCTACATTCAAATCAAATCTGCTGTCAAGATTAGCTCATGTGATGAGTGGTAAGTTTTTTATATATTCATATAACTGTTTTACATTTAGCAAGTTGGATGGGGGTGGGGGGTGGTGTACAATCTTGCAGATCATTCATGGGATGACATTAACATTATAACTCATGTGGCTTAAGTATGCTCTATTGAATATATTTATTTGAAATCCTATTACATTATTGATGTAAATGCTTATCAAGCTTCAATTAATGCATTTGAAAGTTTACTTCATCCACATATTGTGAAAAATTAACAGACACCTTTGTTGAAGATGTTTTTACATTTTGTTGAAGTTTAGTTTTGTATTCCATTACATATTGATTGAATTCATAACATACCTTTTTTTGTTTTTGTAGATGGTAATATACTGAAAGACTACTTCACAAGAGATCAGAATAGACATATTTTACATTGTACAGCTAAATATGTTGGTAAAGGTCGTCATTATGGTGGTAAACAATACCATTCTCGCAAAGATGTTAAGAATGCTTATGCTTATGCCTTCACCCTTACTTTGTTTGGTTTTACCTTTACTGGTAACACATTAGGTGCTCGAATTCATCTTCCGAAAGAAGCTCTTGATATCTTTGACAAACCAGAAGAATTACAAAGAGATTCTAAGCCTGCAGAATCTCCTCTGAGAGTATCTCCAACAAAGTCTCCAAAAATGAAAAGCAGAAATTCAACTGGAAAGTCATCAGAAGGAAATTTTGATGATTGGGCAAATTCCAGAATGAGTACTCTTTCTGGCTCATATTCAGTACCTGTCTCCTCAGAGAAAAGTTCTTCACCTACAAAAAACATCCCAGCTATAACTAAACTCTATCCTTTTGTCCGTCCTAATGCACATGGTAGATCAGCTCACATGACTCTGGGAACAGCATATAATATACCATCTAAAGAAACTAATATTGATTTGTTGGATATCTGTGATATGGAAGCTAAAGCCTCTGCTGACCCAACTGATTTTCAGGCTGTCAAAGGAGGTAGAGCTAGATGTTATGATGAAAACCATTGTTGTATTTATTTAGATAAACCTTATAATCTAAGTGTACTTTTCACTGGGTCCTATTGAAATATTTACTGTTATATATCTAATATTTTCAATATATTTATAAAGATGAAGTAGTATTTTATAGGACCTTTTTTCACATCCAGAATAATCTAGTTTTAATTATAACAATTGTTATTTCTTACCAATTACTGTATATTCAATTTATCACTTTATGTAAAATCAGAAGAAAAAATCTTTTTCAAGGCAGAATAGTAAAAGTCAAATAAATTATTAAAGATAATGAAAATGAAAATGCTAATACTTATATGAATAGAAAGTGTTCTAATGACTTGGAAAAATACCAGTTTGTCTAATATGTCCATAATTAATTCATAATTAGCTAAATTAGAAGAGAATTACCAGCAGAACTCCAATCAGTGACTGATCAAAAAAGGTCAAAAAGACTTTTTTTGTTTATCCAGACTGATACATGGACATTTATGATTGGTTAAAAAGTAAATTATATGCAATATAAGAAAATAATGATATGATAAAGAATACATGCTAATTCATTAGAAACACCAATTAATCAAATAGTTTGCTTGATTTGACACTAAAAAATAAGGAAACCCATCTTTATGCGTTCATTATATTAGTTAATTAATTATGTCATGGACATTGTTTTAAGTTGTTAATATTATCTGTTATGTGAAATATTATTAGTATAAGGTAGCTAATGTTTTAAGTTTGGTAATATTATCTGTTATGTGAAATGTTATTAGTATAGGGTAGCTAACCTTCACTGTATACCAGTGATTTATATTATGATTTATAATTAGTATTTTACTATTGTTTTACATTTCTATGGCTTGCTTTGTTATATCATTAAAAGTAAATCCAAGTAAAGTCTTGTCTGTTCCTTGAAAATACAGCTTTGATGATTTCACCAAGCTATTATATAGTATGGTAATGTGCTATTATCTATAGATCCCATCTTACCATAAGATTTATTGCAATTAAATATAGACCAAATGAGTGATTCCTTCAGAGCACTTGTTGGCCTTTCCCTGTTTCACAGTTTTTGATGTGATGAGAAGTATCTGCTTGTATTACAATTCGAATAGTATTGAAGTATGCTGATAATAATTGATCAACACATTTTGTTTGTTGGATGTTAGGATTTGATATATATCAATTATATCTATCAGCCTTAGGGCCGTATGCAGCGCTCTTACCTTGACTAAAGTTGAACTTTGGCTAAAGTTGAACTTTACAAAGATAGGATTAAAGCTTTCATTTTCTACATTTGATAGTCAAATTTAAGCACGACTTTCGGAAAAATCGACTGGTGCATACCTAAAGTTTGACTTAAGTCTAACTTTAGTCAAAGTTTTGGTAAAGTACGAGCGCTGCATATGGCCCTTAGACATACTTAATTCACATGAGAAGATTCCAATGAAAGATATATTATTATATTAAATAACAAAACAGATTTATTCCACATTGAATTCATATGGTGTTAAATTTGTGTAGATATAATGTTGCATGCTCCTGGCATGACCATATATTTCTTCACTCTTCTTTATTTTCACTGTTGCTAGGCTTTTCTTTGACCTCTTGACCTTTTGAAGGTTTAGCCTCACTTGGAGAATCTTCAGAATCTTGTTTCTGCTTCTCTAAAGCTCGCCTAGGTACATATATCTGACGTTCTGGTCTATCCTGTAAACAAAAGATAAACTGTAACATAAATAATCATGAAAAACAAAACTGCCTTTCCAAATACTCATCAGGCTTATTAGTATTCAATAACAAATATCTCTTTTACTTACTTTGTTCATTGTTCATTAGCCTACAAGTATATTTTAATTACAAATATATCTTCTGTTTTAAAAATTAACTGTCCTGAGTAGAATTATGTATCCAATGTATCTAATCAATATATTATGTTGTCTGAAGGAGATATTTTTAATATAGAATATTTCAGTAATGTGTGAAACGATTCCTATGGAAACAATTTTCTTCATTACAAAAATGATTTATTTGATTAAAATTAAATTAGTAAAAATTTTATTAAAAAGAAAAATTTAAATACATGCTATATTAATATAAACAAAAGACAGAATCAAAAAAATATCTACATGCAAAGGTCACACATTTCTCTTCCCACAATATAAGAAACTCACAACAGAATTTCTACCACATAAGGGTTTTAGAACAGGTTTAAAGTTTGAAGTAAGACAATTAGTAAAGAGAATTATTGACTTGGTTATTCACTCACTAGTTATTATTAATAAAGGTCACATTAAAGGGATACTGTCATCTACATATTTGATAAATCATCTATGTGTTTCACTTTCTAGAATCAAAATCTGACTTTCAGTTCAGTTGTAATTCAACAAATTTACTGAAAAGTTTAGACTGTTGTCACAGTGCCAAAATCAAGCTTGTAAAGCAAATATTTTGACGACTATATCCCTATAACAATCAATAAAATTTGGTACCTTTCGTTTACGACGTTTATCTTCAGAGATATCACTGTCCCTGGAACTTTCTTTTTCATTAGACTTGCTCTCAGAATCTTTTATTGATTCCTTCTCTTTCACTTCACTCTTTCAAATTACAACAAAAATAAATTCCAGAAATATTACGCATGCACAAAAAAAAAAATTGAAAAAATTTCTCACACCAAAAACTAACAATCAAATAAGCTATTCATAGATTGAAAGCATCAAAAACCTATTACTGTTGTCAAATAATAAAGCAATGAAAATAAAAATGCTGAAAGAGTGGGTCAAAGGCCAAGGGTCAAAGGACAAATGGAAACTTAAAAACTGCCCTTTTCAACAGTTACCAGATCTAAACCCACTGGGAATTTTAAGCACTTAAAACCACATACCAGGCTCTTGGCGATAGTTTTTAAGGAGAAAGAAAGTGTTTTTACTATCAACTGATATACAGCTAAACTGTCCCAGACTGGGGTATACCTTATGCCTAAATCATAATATAAACAATTGAAACGAAAAACACAAAAAACAACACTCAACCCAAAATATGGATTTGATGACTATATAATTAGACAAATATTAAATACTATAAGCATGCCTTAACCATAAACATACCTTAGATGTTCTCTCTACATCCTTCTTCTGTTCTTTATCTGTGCTAGTTTTATCTGTGCTAGTTTTATCTGTGCTAGTTTTATCTGTGCTAGTTTTATCTGTAGATTTACTGAAATATCCAAATTGCAATCCATAAGTTAAAGCTCACTAAAACAGAAGGTAGCCATGAAACTAGTTTAACAGCCATTGTGGATCATTCAAGAGAGATTGACAAAGCCAAGTATACATCCTCGAAAATATCATAACACTAAAATATCCTAGAAAACAGTATTAGAATTTCATATTTATCAAAACAGTTAATCACTCGCTACTTTCCTTTTGTTTACGTTTGCAAACAAAGCGATTAAAGTGATTTCCTAGAAAGATTTCAGAACCAATTTTGATGGGAGGATATTTAACTATTTCTAAAACTTTAAATGTGATTTGGCTTGATGGTGTGTATATATACCTTTTATCTTTATCTCGATTATTTCTATCTCTATCTTCTCTATATCTATCTCTATCTTTACCATAACTTCTACCACCATTATCTCTACTATAATCACTGTCTCTTCCACTCTTATCTTTATCACTATCTTTTCTTACACTATCCTTCCCTCTATCTCTACCATAGTCTTTATATCTCCCATAATCTCTATCCTTATCTTTACCATAATCTCGATCTTTACCATATCCCTTCCCCGAATCTCTGTCTCTCCCATAGTCTCGATCTCGACCATAATCACGATCTCTATCTCTTCGATAATCTCTGTCTCTCCCATAATCTCTATCCCTACCATACCTATTATCTCTATCTCGTCCAGAGCCTTTGTCTTTTCCTTTATCTCTATCTCTCCCATAATCTTTATCTCGATCCCTTGTGTAATCTATATCTCGATCTTTTGTATAATCTCTATCTTTGCCATAACTTTTGCTGCTGTCTTTACTGTATGTCTTGTCTTTATCCCTTGTACCATCTTTTACTTTATCTTCTTTATCTTGATTTTTCTCTTTATCTGGTGATTTATCTAGACTAGACTTATCTTTCTCATCTTTTAATCTATCACTTGCTTTATCTGATCTTGATTTATCTCCATACTCCTCTGTTCTATTCTTCCCCCATCCATCTCGACTAGATTTAGAGCTATTGTATTTCTCATTTCTTGCCTTTTCTCTATTTTCTTTTGAGAACCTTAATTTTTCTCTACTAGTGGATTTGTCATCATTCTTATCTTTATCTCTATCTTTGTCATCTGTCTCATCCTTTTCCCTTTCTGGATTCTTCAACACCTTCAATTATAGACAACAGATGTTCAGATAAAATATATCAAAGATTTAACCTACATTTTACAAGGTGTATGCCTAAACCCTGTTCAACACTGATATGTGTCAAATTTCGATATTAAAAGTTGTTAAAAATGGAGTCAGTTTTATTACTGATTTTGTAATATAAAATTACCAGATATGATGTAACATAAGACACGATACTATAGAACTGTATGTAGGTAAAAGAATAAATATGTCAGAATATATCCATTTGCTAAACTAATTATGAGAAGTAGATTGATCAGAATGGCTGTATTATTTGAGGATACTGTCATTAAATGCCAATATTTCCAAAACTCTTTAATCTTCTATTTCACAACCATTATTGTTTTAACAAAAGCTTAAGAAAAATAAAAAGCCAACACAAAATGTTTCAAATTTGAACAAAATTACAGCTATAATACCTTAACTGAGTCATCTTTTTTACTGGAGCTATCTTTATCTTTCCCTCTCTCCTTCTCTCTATCTTGTTCTCTTTTTTCTCTTTCACGTTCTTTCTCTCTTCTTCTCCTTCTTTCTTCATCTCTCTGTTTTCTTCTTTCATTCTCTCTCTTTTTTCTTTCTTCAATCTTTTTCTATCAATTTAAAAAAAAAACTTTTTACAAGGTTTTGTGAAATTGGTTGAAAACTAAAGAGACTATGACATTTTCCCTCAGAGCACATCTCTAACTGTCAACACATGTTTTAGATATAAAACCTTCACCAGCTTAATTGGAAGAAAGAGATGTATAATATGCAAAGTGAAGTAAGCAAACACACTTACCTGATAAGCCATTTTTCTTTCTTCTTTTTTTCTCTTAATATATTCTATCAAAGGTGTAGTTACTTTTAGTACGCCATTATTAGCTACAAGAAGAGCATTAGTTTAGAATCATTTGTTGGAATAGACCATATGGAAGGAATGAAATTAGACTGGTCTGATCTTCACAATGTCAAGCTATTATGACCTTTGGCTTATACCATGACTGCAATAGCCACCTTCTTGTATCATTGAAGTTTGTAAATGCAGAGATTTCACTGGACTGTACGCTAGCAAATGAACCAATCCAACTTTTTACAGACTGTCTGTCGAGGGTTCTGATTCTCTGTATTCGCTGGCGTACAGAATAGTGGCTATTGGAGTCAAGTCGAGTCAAGCCGAAGGTTGTAAAAGCTTGACATTGTGAAGATGGGTATTTCCATGCTTGACCATTATAATGCTATGGTTGCATAAAATATGACTATAAACTCACCTTTCATTTCCTTTTCTTTCTGTTCTATTTCTTCTATTAAAATATCTACTGTAGGTAAGGCTTCAGCATCAGGATTATTGAGAGACTCTAAAAACTTCTGATAGTCAGAATCTAAATAAAACAATATTCTTACAGAAATAGAGATTTACATTTGTACTCAAGAAGAACAACTCTATTTGATAGTATCAATATGAGTATCTTTCCAGAAAACATAGCCATCTGTTACCATGACATGTCCATCAAACATTTACATATTGTAAAGATAATTAATAATTTCATCGAATAAACATGTCTCATAGTGTTAACCATGTCTCTCTCAAAAAATATTATCTTGTTTAGGAATTCTTTTCCAACAATTAAATAAAAGTACAAGAAAAACGATTCAAAAATCTATAGATAACCATACCTTGCTCAATAGTTCCTTTCCTACTATCAGCTTTCTTTACCTTCTTTTTAGGAACTTTTTGAAACGGAGCAAATTCTACGATAGCTGGATATTCCTCCCCTATGATATCAATATTAAAAAATAATTGGAGCTGGCATTGGGGTTCATATCTCGAGACTAGAGTGTATTGCTTGTGTAACTGGGTCTATGGTGTAAGTTTCAGATTTCAAACCCAAATTAACTATACAAATAAACATCTGTATCACTGTAAAGGGTAATCATCAGAATCTCTAATTTCTTCCTAAATACATAGCTGTTTGAACAGTCCATAAAAATCAACTATAAGCCCTATGTATCCCTTTCAAATGTAAATCTGACAACTCAAAAATATGTGTGGTCAAAACATGTGAGAGACATTAAAATTGAGTTGGTGAGGGACATTTACCTCTCCTGATCACCTTGGGTCTAACAACTTTTAGTCTTTATCTAAGGACAATAAAGACAGTTTAAATATAAATGTGTACCTTTACTATCCAGGAAAACATAGTTATCAAATTTATCTCTAAACATATACACATCTTCTGGATTCAGAAAGTTTATATAAGCTCTCGTAAAGGCATTGGCCCCAAGACTGAAACAGAAAATGTAACTTTCTTGTAATAGTTAGCAAAGATATTTTTGCTAATCAGGGTCCAATTCAAAACATAAACATGAGGAGTCCACAAATAATATTAGACCCTATACAAACTAAACTAACATTGTGTAGATTAATACTGAAAGGTACAGATGTGTCCTTTTGCGGGGGTTGATCCAGTCTTGTATATATGTCCTCAGAACTACTACAAATGTACGAAAATCGCATAATTACTCAAAAAAATATCTCAATCAAGGAATTTATTTTCCTATTTCTAAAGGTAGTGTCTCAAAAAAAGATGACTCCCCTTTTAACTTTCAAACATGGATAAATTTGGACACCCATGGATTTGAAGGCTCAAATTTTGACAGTGAGCTGTGAACACTATTACTGATATCTAAAAAATTCCTGTTTCTAAGACTTCTTGCAAAAAGTTTGAACCAAATAAGATAGAGCTTCAAAATTTTTCCACCACGCACCTGATAAATAATGTGATAATTCACAATATCAATTCATTACCAGGACCATTCAGTGACTCACCTTTTATCAGCTTTCACAAAATAGAAGAAATCATAAGATGGTAATGGGGATACTTGTTCTAAGAATACTTCTGGTGTTAAAGTTGGTGGAAGTCTTCTTAGCACAACCTGAAACAACAATTAGAAGATAGTAATTTCACACTTCTTTGCCATCTAACCAATCATTAATAGAGTCCTATGGCTGTGTTACCTGTAACTCTTTCAAATTGAGTGTCAAAGTAAGGGTTTTGGAAATAGAGAAGACCAGACGAAGTAAATGAGGAGAGTGAGTTACTGAAATCCGATTTCATATCAATCTCAAACTATGAAATAATTGAACTCTAATGCTTCACATTACATTACCTTTGTCAGTGCCGTTTCTTTGCTATAATCTTTTTTCCTTTCATCCTTCTGGATATTTTCTTCGGTTTTAGTCAATTCTTTTTCTTCTGTCATCATTAATTATGCCATTAACCCTTTTTAATCACTAAAATTCACCTAACTCATTAATTAACCGGATGTTGTCATTTTTTATTTTTCCTGCCGAGCAGTAAATCAGTCATCTGTTTCTATTAGCCAATAATACAATATCATTCGGATAACGTCGTCTTTCTTTCAACACAGGAATATCTCGACACCAAAACAATCGATGATAGGCCTATTGACGCTTAATTTCACACATCAGATAGGGTCAATGACGCCAGTTCCTTGAGATTACGATGAGAGTTGGCGTATATTCCTAGTTTTGGCAGAAAATTTTCACGGAAAATATACATTTGATTTGATTCGCAAATCGTCGTGATAAATTTTAATTTTGGCTAATCAAAGAAAATATTGGATGGCAAAAGTAGTCATTTTGACTCGCAAAATTCGATGCTATACCCAAATTAGATTGAATCCTCGTTAGATGATGCTTTAATTTTAGTGGCGTTTGTTGGGATGGTAGTCGGCTGGCAAATCCTTATCATTGTAGGCCTACATAGCGAAAGAATTGCCTGAGGGCTCCCTTTGGCAGTTCTGTGGCCCTTACTTAGGATTCACAGAAACGCCTTCTGCTGTATGCGCAAGTTTTGCACCTGTTGCAGTGTTAAGTGGCTTCAATTAACGCGTGAAAGTTTTACGTTCATCAGCAAATGAACGCAAATACGATCTACATTCAATCCTTAAAAAAAGGGACAGGTGTGCCATTTTGGAAGGTTAATTTTAATCTGGAATATATGTAAATAGTCTTCAAAAGTACTAGCATTTTAGACACACTCACCGTTATGTGTATAACACTATATTAGGTATAAATCAGCATTTAAAAGCTTTAAACAGCTTATATTTGAATGGTGTGAACAAACACTGTATTTGGTGGCACGAAAAAAAAGAAAAAAAAAAAAAGAAAAAAAAGTGGCAACTTAGTATCCATCTATTTAGTTGTAAATTCTGTTTAGAATTTTAACAGTGTAGGACTTTAAGCTAAAATGCTGAGTGTGTGGGCATGCGAACTTTAAAGAGCAGCATTCTCTAATCAATAATTTATTAACATACCATTAATCAAGGGTCCGTTGGTAACATATTAATTACTTTCCTTTGCATAAGGGGTACCAAAATTAATTAAATTGAATTTTTTGGCATTTTTGACGTCAACTGATTGTGACGTTGCACTAGTTACGATTCCCACAAACATCTTCATGTAGTCCAAAAGTCTCAAATGTTTTATCAGTCAAATTTGGAAAAATGAACACGAGGGCACAGAAGAGGCGCAAGATGACAGAACCATATGGCGATTCGAATCACTTTGAGAAGCCAGAAGAAGACACAAAGCCATCAGATGCGAAAAATGCCTGCGTTTCCTCCCAAGCTGCCTCTGGTGATACATCTCTGTCAAACTCGTTTACCGAAGAAGAGCTTATAAAACCAAGCAAACACAGCTATTTCGCTATTGTGTCAGATTCTGAAAAGGAAGAGAAAGATCTTATAGTTCATTCTCAATGTTGTGATACGTGTTTGTGGTCGTATAGATACCCTATGTTAATCAATGATTATACTAAAAGAAGATCAATTCATACAGGTAAGTGGGTAAAGATATATAGACCAAATAGCATTGTTTTATTTTTAGTAAGCCTAAATCTAACAGGCCAAAGGTACATGTCTAGTATGTTATATGGCCCCCAGAAAAGAGACTGCCTCCCCACCCACACTTTCAACTTACATTAGCAGGGAAAGAATGACCTGTGCCCACCTGGAAAATTTTGTTGTCCATGATCAGCCCTCTCATCTGATGTTTCCTAGAAGCACCACTGTTTACATTATATAATGTATTCTTAAATATTGTTACATCCATGTTATCATTTCAGGAAATTCGTCTTATGATAGCTTTCTTCAAGAGTTGTCACACTTTGGTTACAATCCTTTGCGACTTCTAATCAAAGGGAGATCTGGAGCAATCATTTTAGCCCAAGATTTAACCGAAGGACAGTTTAGTAAACGGTGTTGTGATATTAAACCACCAGTCGCTATCAAATTATTTTCCAGAAGGAAAAAGAAATCGAAAGAAACGCTTTGTGAAGAGGGCATCCAACAAGAGCTTTCAATCCATCGTTCCATAAATCACCCCAATATAGTCACCATGTTAAATCACGTGTCATCAAATGAAAAAGTCGGCTTAGTTGTCGAATTTTGTTATTGTGGAAATTTAGACCAATTGCTTCGGACCCGAAATGCTCGCTTCTTTTCCGAGCCAATTGCTCAACGGTATTTCAAACAAATGTTATCTGCTGTAGAATATCTATCCTGTATTGGAATTTGCCACAGAGACATTTGTACCACAAATATTCTTTTAACAAACGATAACACTGTGAAACTGGCGGATTTCGGTTGCGCGGTTCGATTCATGACAGGCGATGATCTTCGTACCGATATTTGTGGTACAGTTGGATATCAAGCACCGGAAATGATCTGTGGAAAATCATACAATCCAAAAACATCGGATATTTTCTCTCTGGGTTGTTTGCTCTACTGTATGGTGGTCGGGCATCTGCCTTACGGTAAATACCGCACAGCTGCAGTTGCATTGCACTTAAAGACTGTGCAGTTTCCAAAGAAAGAGATTCTCTCTCTATCACATGATATGCAAGATTTACTCAAAGGAATGCTGGCTTATGTTCCACATTCTAGATATTCTCTGAATTGTATTAAACACAGTGCTTGGTTGCAAACACATTCTAGCAGAGTTCAGATTGGTAATTTCTATCTTGTGCGTCAGCCCCAGAAGGTGTATGAAGGCAAACGAGAAAAAGAGCTCAAGTTTAGCTATGAGATTTGAAACGTTATTTGAAAAATTCAAAATTATGTGCGTTTAAAAAATTCAAGAAAAATCTGCAAAATTGTTAAAATATTTAAAAAAGTACATACTACCACCGCTTCAATTTCTTGTGCATATGCACAATCGATAGCTTGTAAATATAGTACAATTAACTGGAACCACATTGGCCTAAATAAATGTATAAAAGTTTAATAGCAGCATCTTAGGATTATAAAGAACCATTGTCATTAAATTGTCATTTTCTCACAATTTTTCTATGTATAACAATAAAATGAAAGAATTGAATATAAGATGTTGTACAAGTAATACTAAAGGTCACTGAAAACCAACTGGCTAAGATAGTAGTGATGGAGCTGTGGTTTTTTGGGGAAAAATCTTAAATTGTTCAAATAAAATTATTCGATCAAATCACGAGCAATTTTGCTATGTTACGTTATTTATTCATCAAGCATGAGAATGAGCAAAAGATATTCAATTTTTCCTAATCATGTGAAGAGTATTCACTTTCTTAATTATGTTAATTATTTTATTTATTCCATTGAATAATTAACTAATTATTACTCATCATTTCTTGATAACGACCAAAGTACCTTCGTAGAAACGTCGTAAGTTATTTATTAAAGATGGGTTTACTTATTTTTTAGTGTCAAATTAAGTATTAACATTAGCATTTTCATAAATAAAAATAAGGGAAGCCATCTTTAAAGTAATTGTAAGCTATAAAATTGTGTCCAGTTATGAACGTCTTTTTCTCTCGATATCTAGTAATACAAATGGGAATAGGTTTATGTCAAATCATCTAATAAGTAAGGATTATCATATAACACATTTAAGCCCCTTGGCCATACCATGACAAAGGAGAGCCCGACCCGAAACATTAAGTACTGCGTCTAATATCTTGACTGCAAGACTTTCTTGTATCACAACAGATGTAAATAATGCAATTTGATTGAATTGTACGCTAAAGAATACAGCCAATCAGAGCCCCCGGTTACACGCGCAGATTAATTGTTTAAGTCTTTCTGTCGAGGGTTATAATGGCTGTATTCGCTTGAGTGGTAATAGCTTGACATTGTAAAGATAGATACCGGTCTCAATCGGAATTCCAACCCGAGATAGAAACTTAGTTAGTTAAAGTCTGCAAAGGTATGTCGGGACGCTCGGATGTTTCGCCCCCACTAGGAATGGCCACAAAAAGATTTGGGGTCATTTTAAAGATATTTCGCTGTTTCTGGAGTAAGTGTCTATACCAAAATATCTAGCTATATATATATCTAATAAATTCTATACGGCTTACTCTAGTCTGCGAAAAAATTTATTAATGATATAAGTCCAGTTGTACAAGTATTTCACAATTATATTATATTATGTATTATAATTCTTGGTTTCCGAGGAAACGTTCGAAGACATAATAAGTCCAGTGTTAAAACTTCTATAAACTTACAGAATGTAGTAAGCTAAAATAAGGCTATCATTTGACGTCAAATAATCTCGACTAAAATGTATTATTCCTAGTAACGCCCTAGTTACTTCTGTTATAACGTTATACTACTACAGTAATAACAGCACTGCAAGAAAACATAACGTTTTGAAATACAAAACTTTTAGTTTTTATTAAGTTTAAACCTTTTTTTTTCAAGAGAGGAACAAGTCAATTAACGTAAGTATCTAGCTTATTAGATCTATCTCAATTTTGAGATCTTAATTTTCTGTCTGAATGTTGATAGGGTCTAGAAATTTCCGTGAAAAACCAAAAGCTTATGTATATTACTCAGGTACAAATATTGGTTAATAACCTGTATTTTTCTAATATTTTGTAGATTAAATCATGCCTTCAGAGAAAAAACCAACTTTAAGCTTTTTTGAAAATTTTGCTCTCTCGGGTGCTGCTGCTGTCCTTTCTAAAACAGCTGCTGCCCCGATTGAAAGAGTAAAATTATTGGTACAGAACCAAGGAGAGATGTTAAAACAAGGTGTATTAAGTGAACCATACTCAGGAGTTGTTGATTGTACCAAGAGAACTCTACAAACTGAAGGTTTGCAATCATTCTGGAGAGGCAACTTGGCTAACTGTTTGAGATACTTTCCAACACAGGCATTAAACTTTGCCTTCAAGGATCAAATAAAAGCTGTATTTAAACAGAATAAATCAGATCCCTATTTAGTCAACTTCTCTAAGAATATTGCTAGTGGTGGAGTTGCTGGTGCCATGTCACTGTGTTTTGTCTACCATCTTGATTATGCCCGAACACGATTGGCAAACGATATGAAATCATCAAAAGGTGATGGAAAGCGACAATTCAATGGTTTGTTAGATTTATACAAGAAGACTCTGAAATCTGATGGTGTTCCTGGATTATACAGAGGATTTGTCATCTCTTGTGTTGGAATTGTCTTCTATCGAGGATTCTATTTTGGTTTATATGATACTCTTAAACCACTGTTATTAGGTGATCGTCCTCATTTAGCTTTATCATTTGTTCTTGGTTATGGTGTAACAGTTACAAGTGGTTTGATCTCCTATCCTATTGATACTATTAGAAGAAGAATGATGATGACCTCAGGTCAAGCTGTAAAATATAACGGATCTATGGATTGTGCAATGCAAATCTTCAAGAATGAGGGTCCTAAATCTTTTATGAAAGGTGCTGGTGCCAATATTTTACGAGGAGTGGCTGGGGCTGGTGTTTTATCAGGATTTGATAAATTTCAAGATTTGTATATCAGAGCTAAGATGTCAAAAAATAAGTAAATTGTCAGTAATAAGAATGGAACGGACAAAAAAACATCCGAAAAACATGGAGCTTGAGGAGAATTGTTTTAAAAGTATATTCTTGTTATTTCAAAACATTTTAATCTGTAATGTTTAATAACCTTGAAGTACCGTGTAATTTCTTTATATCAATATACAACCTTACTGTATCTTATGTGATTTTTAAAACCAATACATTACAACCTAACTGTATTTCTAAAACCATATGTTATAACTTTACTATATCTTATATAATTTCAAAATGGAAAGCGATATAAAGCGAAAATTCAATGGTCTGAAATCTGATGGTATTGCAGGATTATACAGAGGATTTGTCATCTCTTGTGTTGGAATTGTCTTCTATCGAAGATTCTATTTTGGTTTATATGATACAAAGTAACATACTCTTTCAACCTAGAGTCAAAAGACCACTTAACCATACCACCCCTAAGACATCAACACATACACTTACCACCCTAGGTTTAAACGTTATTACAAAAACTAATGTCATCAGACAACCATCATATCACCCTAAAGACATAACATGGTATCATCTATTCATTACAACCCTAGTGACTATAAACCCTACCTCTTATAAATAAGATTATATTACATTGCTTTGCGGAGACATACGATCACATACCCTTACAACCCGAAAGTCATAAGACCAAATACCCTTAACACCCTTAGGTCACCCTCATACGCTTATCATCCTAGATTACTTTTACCACATAACCTTTTACCACTCTAGATCAAAATGCCACATACTCTTACAATATAGAGTCATTAGACCACTTAACATTACTACCATAAAGACAAACATCACATACCCTTAAAACCCTGGTGTCAGCAGACCACTTACACTTACCACCTTATAGCCATAAGATTATATTCTCTTACCACCCGGAAACATGAGATCGAATACCCTTACAACAGTCATAAGACCAAGCACCCTTATCACCCTAAAAAAGGTAGCTCAGTTCAAGGTAGGTAGGTAGATGGCAAGTTAACGTTTGCTTACAGCGTTAGCTGATATCGGAAACTTGGTACTTGTTGGTAGTCGTGGAAGTTGCATTGGTTCAAATTGGATGATGCTGTGTTGTTGGTTTGGTTGTTGATTCTGCGTTAGATCTGGTCGGGTCGAATGACATGGCGGTGAAACTCGGCCCTGGATGGTGTGGCGTGAGTTACTCGATCTCCTTCATTCTTCCAAGTTCGTTCTGATCATGGTATTTCTTGTTGATTGGTAGTCGAATGGTAGTCGTTGGTTCGGTTTGGTTAGATTATCTCAGTTCAAGTAAATTGGAAGGCTTTTATATATCATGTAAACTGGAAGTATATCATGTAAATTGGAAAACTATATCATGTAAATTGGAAAACTATATCATGTAAATTGGAAGGCTATATCATGATGTAAAATGGTAGCCTGATAATGGTATAGGGTTTTAAAACCAGAGGGTGATAAGCGTTAGTTGTCTTAATGACTATTGGGAATGTGATCTTTTGATAAGGGTCCGATAAGTGGTAAATGTCTGAGATCTTATGTTTATGGGGTGGTAAGAGTAAGTTGTCGAATGATTCTAGGGTTGTAAAGCAATTTGACCTTTTGACCTAGAATTCTAATCAACATTCTTTATTTCCAATCTAAATATGACTGTGTAAAACAGTTTATGGTAGCCATGTTTAAAATGAATAATGGTGAATAGATCATCGCCTGACCATATTGTTCTATATTGTGTATTGGAAGCTGAGTTATGGCTATTAATGATTTTTTTTAAATCCAAGACGTCCGCCAACAAAATCATTTGACATCAATGAAAATGCTCCAGCAACATACAATTGAGTTAAGGCTGTAAGTGTATTTTTGCTTGTCCGCCGTTTTGAAATCCAAGATGGCCGACAAAAATGGTAAATGGAGTTAAAAATGTAAATGTCGTTCTCTCAGCTACATATCCTACAATTTTGATACTTTTGTCCGCCAAATAACGCTTTGTTAAAATTTTGCTTGTTAAGATGGCTTGTGAATTGAATAGAGTATAGACTTAAGATCAGATTTTGGCGAAACTTCTTTTTAATTTGTGTCCTTATTGTCAGTGGACAGTGGGGACAATGGTAAATTTTCTCTTTAAGAAATTGACGCCATACTCTCCCTTGAAAAAACAGTTAAATAAAGGACGAAAATCATGTATTTAAAGGTGCGTTTTGCTTTTTAATCGGTTTTGGAAACTACAAGCCAACATAATATAGAGGCAGATGCCCCTTACCTTTGGTGAATTTTTTAACTTAATGTATTCAAGCGTTAGGTCACAAACAGTTACAAAAGTCTTGCTGGTTACTTAAAGATGGGTTCCCTTATTTGTATGTATGAAAATGAACATGCTAATACTTATATGAATAGAAAGTAGAGGTGTTCTAATGACTTGGAAAAATACCAGTTTGTCTCACATGTCCATAATTAATTCATAATTAGCTAAATTAGAAGAGAATTACCAGCTGAATTCAAATGAGTGACCGATCAAGAAAGGTCAAAAAGTCTTTTTTGTTCATCCAAACTGTACATACATGGACATTTATGATTGGCTAAAACTCTTAATTATATGCAATAAGAATGTAATGATATGATCAAGAATACATGATAATTCATTAAAAACACCAATTAATCAAATAGTTTGATTAATTTGACAGTAAATTTCTTTCAAAGTCATCCATGTCACGTTTAAGGTTCCATAATAAAACTATTCTGCAACCATTTTCTAAAGTAGGTTGAGATACAAATATTAATTGAATTTACATGTATAACACTACTATCATAATTCTTTGTCTCCGAGGATGGAGACGTTTAAGGAAATATTATTCAAGTGTCTAAACTTCTACTAAAAAATATAGAATGTAGTAGGCCTAAGCCTAAATAAGGCTAACATTTGACGTCAAATAATCTCGACTAAAATGTATTCTTGCTAGTAACGCCCTAGTTACTTCTGTTATAACGTTATACTACTACAGTAATAACAGCACTGCAAGAAAACATAACGTTTTGAAGTACAAAACTTTTAGTTTTTATTGAGTTTGAACCTTTTTTTTCAAGAGAGGAAAAAGTCAATTAACGTAAGTATCTAGCTTATTAGATCTATCTCAATTTTGAGATCTTAAATTTCTGTCTGAAAGTTGATAGGGTCTAGAAATTTCAGTGAAAAACCAAAAGACATAAAGTCTATTCAAAGCTTATGTATATTACTCAGGTACAAATATTGGTTAATAACCTGTATTTTTCTAATATTTTGTAGATTGAATCATGCCTTCAGAGAAAAAGCCAACTTTAAGCTTTTTTGAAAATTTTGCTCTCTCGGGTGCTGCTGCCGTCCTTTCTAAAACAGCTGCTGCCCCGATTGAAAGAGTAAAATTATTGGTACAGAACCAAGGAGAGATGTTAAAACAAGGTGTATTAAGTGAACCATACTCAGGAGTGGTTGATTGTACCAAGAGAACTCTACAAACTGAAGGTTTGCAATCATTCTGGAGAGGCAACTTGGCTAACTGTTTGAGATACTTTCCAACACAGGCATTAAACTTTGCCTTCAAGGATCAAATAAAAGCTGTATTTAAACAGAATAAATCAGATCCCTATTTAGTCAACTTCTCTAAGAATATTGCTAGTGGTGGAGTTGCTGGTGCCATGTCACTGTGTTTTGTTTACCATCTTGATTATGCCCGAACACGATTGGCAAACGATATGAAATCATCAAAAGGTGATGGAAAGCGGAAATTCAATGGTCTGTTAGATTTATACAAGAAGACCCTGAAATCTGATGGTGTTCCTGGATTATACAGAGGATTTGTCATCTCTTGTGTTGGAATTGTCTTCTATCGAGGATTCTATTTTGGTTTATATGATACTCTTAAACCACTGTTATTAGGTGATCGTCCTCATTTAGCTTTATCATTTGTTCTTGGTTATGGTGTAACAGTTACAAGTGGTTTGATCTCCTATCCTATTGATACTATTAGAAGAAGAATGATGATGACCTCAGGTCAAGCTGTAAAATATAACGGATCTATGGATTGTGCAATGCAAATCTTCAAGAATGAGGGTCCTAAATCTTTTATGAAAGGTGCTGGTGCCAATATTTTACGAGGAGTGGCTGGGGCTGGTGTTTTATCAGGATTTGATAAATTTCAAGATTTGTATATCAGAGCTAAGATGTCAAAAAATAAGTAAATTGTTAGTAATAAGAGTGGGACGGATGAAAAAAAACTCAAAACAACCCAAATATATGGAGCTTGAGGAGAACGTTTTCTTGATATTTAAACAGAATGTGTATTTAATCTGTAATGTATTGTAAACTTGAAGTGTCGTATGTAACAGTCTAATAAAATTAGACCTAACTGGTTTCGTTTCGAATGTTTTATTACCTATTAGCTTTTTACGTAAAGTAACTGTTTTCAATCTGTTAATCTTTGCTTGAACACAGTTTCAACCAATCACGGGGCTTCCCTTTCCAGCGACGGGATAATGTGACGCGAACAATAGGTGCATTCAGAGGCGTATTAGGCTAGCTTATCAAGTCTGCAGCAACATTCCAGTCTATTCCTTACTCAAATTCCAACTACCCCATTTCCAAAATGTAGACATGACAGGAATTCAAATCAGAACAAGTATAATTTATATCAGATTTGAACGACATCTAGAAGCGGACAGCACATATAACAGAAAACACAATATATTATGGTATAAATACAAGCTTCAAATACAAGGTCCTAACATTAAAATGTTTTTCTGTAGCTAAATAATAATTATATACAAACAAACCTTCCTTAAAAACTTATAGAGAAACAGTGTTGGTTCTGTGCTCTCCAATTCTAAACGTCGTTCAAATCTTATATAAATTATACTTGTTCTGATTTGAATTCCTGTCCTGTGTACATTTTGGTACTGGGGCAGTTGGAATTTGACTAAGGAGTAGCCTGGCATCTTGCTGCCTGGGCAATATTTCAAAACCACAAACAAAATTAAGATTTGTATTCAATAACTTCAATTAGTTGAAATTATAATATGTTTGTTTGAAGAATGGTACATCGTTTTCAAAGTTTTCTTTTTCTGTATTCAACTTTATACTATTACACTGTCCAATCCCTTTGTAAATGCAATGAAAAATGGGAAAGGTCGTAATGGGAAAGGTCGTAATTGGAAAGGGGCAAAATAAAGGGGCTAATTTGGAAAGGACATAATGGGAAGGGGCTAAATGGGAGAAAATTGAGGGCGAATCGGGAAGGGCAGATATGTGAAAGTTGTTAATACAGTCTCTGACATCGGGGTGCAAAACCTACGTGTTAAATAGATCGAACCTACAATATCCCATATTTGTAAATCATTAAATGAAAACCAAGAGTCCCTATTACAAATCTGCGAAAGTGCTGATCTGAGTCAGTTAGGTATTGATATATGTATTGATAATTTGTTAACCAGTGTTTTGAGTAAATTTGTCCCTGAGCGAAAATTAAGAAATTCTAACGTCAACTCCTCCAACGTAAACCAAGGTTAAGTTCAAGATAATAAATCTGTCGTAAACAAATACAATAAGAACAAATCTCATGGTAATAAGTCACATAATAAGTGTAATGTACTTCACAAACATGTAGGTTTGGCATATTTTTCCCTCGTTAACTTTAAGAAATATACTTTAATCGTTGATCAAAAGATTTTTTGAACAGACTTACAAAGAAAATTTAAGTCCAGCATGCCTTCTCAAAATTCTTTTAACTCGCCATTCTGAAATGTTGGTGGATCTTTTCCTTTAATAATTTATCAACTTCAATCAAAAAATTGACGAGAAAGTGACAGTTTAAAACCATCAGAAACTCAAAACAATTTTTGGCGGGAAGAGTTGACACGGACAGCACGTGGATGCAGAATTTTGGCTGATGATTGGCTGAAATTCAAATTGCCAGTCAAAAAGTGGGAGGAGTTGAACGTAAAATTATTGTTTGTGTGTCTTGGTGGCTAAATTGGCATTTTTTAGAGGGATTTCGATCTTATCAGTGCCACCATATCTTATTCTGATATAATTGATATATTCTGTATTATTCTGGATGGTTTTGGATTATTTCGATATATTCAGTGCAATATCTGTGACTTATATCTGTGATTTGGGATTCATTTTGTTTATTCTGTATTATTCTGGATGGATTGGAATTTTTTGTGACATTTCTATAAAACAGTGTATTAAACGATGACAAATCACATTTTTGGAAGGAGTGACAAATATTGGATATTGGAAGAAGGTATAAGCCATTTTCTTCATTCAAAGTTTTGAATGGAAACTTGTAAGGGATATAAATAGGTTTTATAGCATTAATTGAATTGTTTTTATTTGATTTTGTAAGAATATTGAGTTTAGAATTAGGGGGTTGGGGGTGGAGGTATTAAATTGATAGTGTTCTATAATTGTTAGTTTTGAATATGGTATTAAGGTAGGGATGAGGGTTGACTAGTTTACAATTAGGAGGTAGTTTTGATCTGCGTTGATTAGAAATAAGAATAGTGATAAGTGTTGAATGCCTTTATTCAAGTATGCATTCGATACAATCTGAACTTTCAGATTGAAGCCTGTAATGTAAAATTAACTCCGCTACACAATCCAATCAAATAGCTGCATGATATGATATAAGAAATGTGACTATTGCAGTCAAGGTATAAGACAAAGTTTGTTATAGCTTGACCATTGTGAAATTAGGATCTTGTAGTTAGAATCATACAATCTCTTTTTTGGTTTTCTCACCATCATCAGCATCAAACATCTGTATCCTTTCTTTTGACACTTAAGTAGGCATATTTCTATACGTCCACAAATATATTTTGGGTGTATATTGTAATCACCCTGGCTGTCCGTCGGTCCGTTCACATTTTACTCGAGCTCACTCTTCAGGTCACAATTCTTTACAGATTCTTTTGATTTTTATTTTGTAGGTCAATGTCATTATGAAGATGATCCCTAATGGTCTTTTGTGATGACTTTTCCCTGAAATATTGTGTCTGACTTGACGTTTTACACTATTAGCTATATTGTGCATCTGGTGCTCATTCTACAGGAGACAAAGCCCTATTGATTTTCGTGATGATCGGATAATTTTTCACCGAAATATCGTGTCTGACTTGACGTTTTACACTATTAGCTATATTGTGCATCTGGTGCTCATTCTACAGGAGACAAAGCCCTATTGACTTTCGTGATGATCGGATAATTTTTCACCGAAATATTGTGTCTGACTTGACGTTTTACACTATTAGCTATATTGTGCATCTGGTGCTCATTCTACAGGAGACAAAGCCCTATCGATTTTCATGATGATCTGATAATTTTTCCCCAAAATGTTGTTTTCAATTAAGTGTTTTCACTATTATTAGCCATATAGTGTAACTTTTGCTCTCTCTTCAAGCAACAATTCTTTATGGATTCTTTCTTCATAAACCCCATCAGCTGTCGAGAATTAAAACTGTATTTTATTAATTTATTTATTAGGACTTATGAAGTAGAAAGTATATAGCAGTAGACCTATCAACAATATATATATATATATATATATATATATATATATATATATATATATATATCGAAAATAGATTTAAAGTCAAAGAACATCAAATTTATTATCGTACAAAGAAATACAGAGAAAAATGTGTTGTCAAATTATTATTTGATAAAACTCTGAATATTTGTAAATCTGAATAATTTTAAGTTGAGGTAAATGTTTAACCTACTATCAACATCTGGTATAATTTTGAATGATTTTAATGAATACAGCTTTAAACTATTGATTTTAGAAATTATATAAGATACAGTAAGGTTATAACATGTGGTTTTAGAAATTATATAAGATACAGTATCAGTAAGGTTATAAAGTATTGGTTTTAGAATTTATATACATAAATTACAGTAAGTTTATAATATATGGTTTTAGATTTTACATAAGAAACAGGTTATGTTATATTATTTTAGATAATATCTAACCTGTTTCTTTCATATTATAAAAGATAAATGTGTTGTCAAAGTATTAATCTGATTATTTGTAAATCTGATTATTTGTAAATCTGAATATTTGTAAATCTGAATAATTCCAAGTCAGGTAAATGTTTAACCTACTATCAACATCTTGTATAATTTTGAATGATTTTGATGATTATAAAATATTGTTTTAGAAGAAACAGTAAGGTTATAATAAATTTTTCGAAATTACATTAGATACAGTAAGGTTATAGAAAATTGGTTTAAGAAATAACATAAGACACAGTAAGGTTATGATATATTGTTTTTAAGAAATCACATAAAATACAGTGAGGCTAAAATATACAGTTATATAATATATAGCTTTTTAGAAAACACATAATTATAAACTTCAAGATTAAAAAAATTTACAAATGAATTGTTATTTTTTTTAAATAACAAGAATTAACTTTGTCCTCAAGCTCCATGTTTTTGAGATGTTTTTTTTTCATCCGGTCCATTCTTACTTTATACTAACAATTTACTTATTTTTTGACATCTTAGCTCTGATATACAAATCTTGAAATTTATCAAATCCTGATAAAACACCAGCCCCAGCCACTCCTCGTAAAATATTGGCACCAGCACCTTTCATGAAAGATTTAGGACCCTCATTCTTGAAGATTTGCATTGCACAATCCATTGATCCGTTATATTTTACAGCTTGACCTGAGGTCATCATCATTCTTCTTCTAATAGTATCAATAGGATAGGAGATCAAACCACTTGTAACTGTTACACCATAACCAAGAACAAATGATAAAGCTAAATGAGGACGATCACCTAATAAGAGTGGTTTAAGAGTATCATATAAACCAAAATAGAATCCTCGATAGAAGACAATTCCAACACAAGAGATGACAAATCCTCTGTATAATCCAGGAACACCATCAGATTTCAGGGTCTTCTTGTATAAATCTAACAAACCATTGAATTGTCGCTTTCCATCACCTTTTGATGATTTCATATCGTTTGCCAATCGTGTTCGGGCATAATCAAGATGGTAGACAAAACACAGTGACATGGCACCAGCAACTCCACCACTAGCAATATTCTTAGAGAAGTTGACTAAATAGGGATCTGATTTATTCTGTTTAAATACAGCTTTTATTTGATCCTTGAAGGCAAAGTTTAATGCCTGTGTTGGAAAGTATCTCAAACAGTTAGCCAAGTTGCCTCTCCAGAATGATTGCAAACCTTCAGTTTGTAGAGTTCTCTTGGTACAATCAACCACTCCTGAGTATGGTTCACTTAATACACCTTGTTTTAACATCTCTCCTTGGTTCTGTACCAATAATTTTACTCTTTCAATCGGGGCAGCAGCTGTTTTAGATAGGACGGCAGCAGCACCCGAGAGAGCAAAATTTTCAAAAAAGCTTAAAGTTGGCTTTTTCTCTGAAGGCATGATTCAATCTACAAAATATTAGACAAATACAGGTTATTAACCAATATTTGTACCTGAGAAATATACATAAGCTTTGAATAGACTTTATGTCTTTTGGTTTTTCACTGAAATTTCTAGACCCTATCAACTTTCAGACAGAAATTTAAGATCTCAAAATTGAGATAGATCTAATAAGCTAGATACTTACGTTAATTGACTTGTTCCTCTCTTGAAAAAAGTTCAAACTCAAGTAAAAGTTTTGTATATCTTTTTGATATCAAAACGTTATGTTTTCTTGCAGTGCTGTTATTACTGTAGTAGTACGTAATGACAGAAGTAACTAGGACGTTACTAGGAAGAATACATTTTAGTTGAGATTATTTAACGTCAAATGATAGCCTTATTTAGGCATTTACATTCTGTAATTTCATACAAGTTTTGACATTAAACTGGTATTTCCTGAAACCCATTAACTTTAGAAACCAGATGTTATTACACATATTATTATTATTATTATTATATCTGGTCTAATATCATTATTATTGTATTGCACGCAGCCTTGAGAAAGCGTAACATTTTTCTTTGCCTTTCAATGGATGAATTAATTAAGCCTAGGCCTACTACAAAAAATGAAGGAATTTGGAAACGACGATCGCAGTCATTTTATGCAACTTTTCAATATAGTCATAGAACCAACTATATCATTAAACTTTACCCTCGAAAGAGGGGTACGCCAAGGGGGCGTCTTGTCTGAAGTTATACCTCGTCTATATAGTGTCCTATCTATGCAGCTGCCCACACAAGCCGATGATAAAGCAATTCTGTCTAATACTTTATCTTGCTAGAAATTACTGAAAATCTGTCAACAGTATAGCTATTGCTTGAGATGCTTCTTCTCACTAAATTTACGGTGAAGGGCTCAATTCATTGGTTAGTGTCCGCTTGATTGAGCAGTGCTGGTATACAAAACCATTATTTGGATGTCAATTATGGAATAATCTGCCCGTAATTGAGCTTTAGTCATTACAGAGATGCCAACATTATGGTTGTAAATTATTTCTAGGCATCCATGGACGAACGAGAACGGATAGGGGTAACGGCATTATAGACTGGTTAAGCGTTGAGGCATAATGTTGTTAAGCAAAAGCTCCTGGGCCAACTTTTGAATTTGGATATTAATCATCTCCCACGAAGACTTCTTATTTTAAAGTAATTAGATTATAAAAATGGCTGCTCCTGAAGTCAGAGCGGATTTGTATCGGATGTCAGCTTAGCACTAAAATATAATCTTGTATGCCATATCAATAACTTTTGAAGAGAAAACACTCCTGAAAAGACTAGATGGAAATTTATAGTAAAATCGGCCATTTATGAATTAGAGTCTACAGCAGGGAAACGCAGAATTTCGAATAACCCATGTTTCTCAATTCTAACGAATTCCATGGGGCACTCACCCTTCATCCCATTTTATTGATTAGAAGTTTAACTCACGATGATTATTAGTAAAGTATATTTATTCAAATCTACTATCATGTACAAAAAGATAGACAAGTTAAGTTACTTTGTAATGACATGCTACGGAACCTCAACACCTCTAGATACCAGATTGATCCGAATACACTAAACCAAACCAAACCATCCATCTGTAGCCATCTGCAAACTCGTAACTGGTAACTCCGGACCAATAACTACTACGAGACCATCAGTTCAATGACATTAAGTCACAAGATTGCATGTCCTCATTTCAATGCACTGAACTGAAACTCGTAAACCACTGACAGAGTACTTGGAAACCTACGGAATACCACTCACGATGATGTATATCCCATCAATGTAACAAGTTTCAGTTGCACTGAAGTTTCCGACCAGATCTTACGAAGTATCAACAACCAAACCAACAACACAGCATCATCCAATTTGAACCAATCCAACTACCAACTACTACGACTATTTTATGTAAATTGAAAGGTTATGTTTCGTGAATTGAAAGACTGTTTTATGTAAATTGAAAGGTTATGTTTCATGAATTGAAAGACTATTTTATGTAAATTGAAAGGTTATGTTACGTGAATTGAAAGACTATTTTATGTAAATTGAAAGGTTATGTTTCGTGAATTGAAAGACTATTTTATGTAAATTGAAAGGTTATGTTTCGTGAATTGAAAGACTATTTTATGTAAATTGAAAGGTTATGTTACGTGAATTGAAAGACTATTTTATGTAAATTGAAAGGTTATGTTACGTGAATTGAAAGACTATTTTATGTAAATTGAAAGGTTATGTTTCGTGAATTGAAAGACTATTTTATGTAAATTGAAAGGTTATGTTTCGTGAATTGAAAGACTATTTTATGTAAATTGAAAGGTTATGTTTCGTGAATTGAAAGACTATTTTATGTAAATTGAAAGGTTATGTTACGTGAATTGAAAGACTATTTTATGTAAATTGAAAGGTTATGTTTCGTGAATTGAAAGACTATTTTATGTAAATTGGAAGGTTATGTTTCGTGAATTGAAGGACTATTTTATATAAAGGGACATTCCGCTTTGTTTGTAGGCCTAAAATATTTTTTGCTCAAATTTGAGAAAACCATACGCCAAAACTTTACTTAAAAGGTTACTTTATACCCCCACTGGCGCCGCCACTATTTTCCTGTATATGCAGGTTGATATGAATTATGAAGCCATTTACTCCTGGAAAATTTTGTAAAGACTAGTTTAACTGTAAGTAAATCTTTATGTCAATCAGAAAGTTATTTCCTTTATGTAGATAAGAAAATTCTTTCCTTTGTGTAAATCAGAAAATTTTTTTCCATTATGTGAATCAGAAGGTTGTCTTCGAAGCAAGAAATATAGAATTTATTGAAAATCATTAGTACATTTGTACAAACAATTTATTTTTCCTTTCTTTGATAACTCTGATGTTCTTTTCAATAATTGTAGCCTTCATATATAAAATGTACATTTCGATGCCATTTATGGCAATTACCGGCTTGGTCTGTGGAACTTTATTCAATCCTCTATATTGAATTAGGCTTTACGTCCTACTGACATGTTAATCTGTAAGCTATTTATACCATTTTAATCTGTAAGCTATTTATACACTCTTAATCTGTAAGCTATTTATACCATCTTAATCTGTAAGCTATTTATACCATTTTAATCTGTAAGCTATTTATACTATGTTAATCTGTAAGCTATTTATACCATTTTAATCTGTAAGCTATTTATACCATGTTAATCTGTAAGCTATTTATACCATCTTAATTAATTAATATAATTTGTGTGAATGCGTGGTATATTCCTTAGTTGGGTAAAAAATATGTCAAGTAAATTGATGAGAAAAGAATATATTTCATTCAATTTGAAATAGGGAAATTATTGTAGTTAATTGGATGGGTTATTTTGTAAGGGGTGGGCAAGGGGGGTGTTTTATTGAAGATATATCGTCATTTGGAAATCGAAGAAGAGTTGGCTTATACCGCTGCTCTGACATAATGTTACTCATTGCATACTGCATGACTTTGATTTTAGAAATTGCAACATATACAGTAAGATTATGCTATTGCTTTTAGAACTTACATAAGATACAGTTAGGTCATAAGATATTGTTTTAAAATAGTTATTGATAAAATTCTGAATATTTGTAAATCTGAATAATTTTAAGTTGAGGTAAATATTTAACTACTATCAACGTCTGGTATAATTTTGAATGGTTTTGGTGATTCCAGTTATAAAAAATTGTTTTTAGAAATAACATAAACAGTAAGGCTATAATATATTGTTTTTTTTTTAAATGACAAGGACAAACTTTAAAAAACGTTCTCCTCAAGCTCCATGTTTTTGGGATACTTTGAGATTTCTTTTTCATCCGTTCCACTTTTACTCTTAACAATTTACTTGTTTCGTGATATCTTAGCTCTGATATACAAATCTTGAAATTTATCAAATCCTGATAAAACACCAGCTCCAGCCACTCCTCGTAAAATATTGGCACCAGCACCTTTCATAAAAGATTTAGAACCCTCATTCTTGAAAATTTGCATTGCACAATCCATAGATCCGTTATATTTTACAGCTTGACCTGAGGTCATCATCATTCTTCTTCTAATAGTATCAATAGGATAGGAGATCAAACCACTTGTAACTGTTACACCATAACCAAGAACAAATGATAAAGCTAAATGAGGACGATCACCTAATAACAGTGGTTTAAGAGTATCATATAAACCAAAATAGAATCCTCGATAGAAGACGATTCCAACACAAGAGATGACAAATCCTCTGTATAATCCAGGAACACCATCAGATTTCAGGGTCTTCTTGTATAAATCTAACAGACCATTGAATTGTCGCTTTCCATCACCCTTTGATGATTTCATATCGTTTGCCAATCGTGTTCGGGCATAATCAAGATGGTAGACAAAACACAGTGACATGGCACCAGCAACTCCACCACTAGCAATATTCTTAGAGAAGTTGACTAAATAGGGATCCGATTTTTTCTGTTTAAATACAGCTTTTATTTGATCCTTGAAGGCAAAGTTTAATGCCTGTGTTGGAAAGTATCTCAAACAGTTAGCCAAGTTGCCTCTCCAGAATGACTGCAAACCTTCAGTTTGTAGAGTTCTCTTGGTACAATCAACCACTCCTGAGTATGGTTCACTTAATACACCTTGTTTTAACATCTCTCCTTGGTTCTGTACCAATAATTTTACTCTTTCAATCGGGGCAGCAGCTGTTTTAGAAAGGACAGCGGCAGCACCCGAGAGGGCAAAATTTTCAAAAAAGCTTAATGTTGGCTTTTTCTCGGACGCCATTGTTTAGTCTAAAAATAATAAAACAAAAAACATTTCATAAACCAATAGTTGAAGCCGGTTCTGTTAGCTGAAGCAATAGAAAGGTCTTCGAGAATTCAATGATTTCAGATCTTTATTTAAACTTTACGAAAACAGGTAGATTCAGTACATGTACTTACGTGTATTGACTTATTTCTCTGTGAAAAACAAAACCGTTGATATCACTTCCGTATAATATCTATTTATGTTGTCTTGCAGTGCTGTTAATACTGTAGTAGTATAATGTTGTAACAGAAGTAACCAGGGAGTAACTAGGTAGGTCTATAATACATTTTAGTCGAGATTATAACTTATCGTCAAAAGCCTCTATACTATAAGAGGCCTATTTGTTAATGATGCATAACGTTTTGCAATATGATGGTATGGTATGATGTAATATTCTAAAAGCGAATATAAGGGCGAACCTTGTGAAACATTTATTAGCTTAATTAAATGACTGCATCAATAGAAAACGCATCATTTCCATATTACGATACCAATTATTATTCAAATGGTGTTAGTGATTTTCAAAAGAGTCTTTATGTTCCCAGTGCAAACTTCTCCAGTCAGTGTTTCTCGATTTTCCAGTACCACTTAAGTCTGTTTAGTACGACGTTTAGGATCAGGATTTCATCTTTTCACCACCTGCACCTAGTCTTCAATTTAATGGCATAAGTCGCATCCGATCTGTTCCCATCTAGACTACTAACCACTGGCTAAATTGCCTCTCCCCATTCGGGTGAGGCTGCGACTGATCTGAGGTTGAGGGGGCAGCATTTACATTACATTAAAGTCCTTCTGTGGCTAGGATAATCTAGTTAGTCCTCGAGACATCGCTGTTCACTAGGCTGTGATTGATGCAGTGCGCTTGTACCTTTTTGGAGCCAATAAAGAAGGCCAGTAATTTTGGGGACCATTTCCGGTAGACCAATGGATGTGGCTGACTGTTAAAACAAAGGTGCTACATCTGTTTCTAAACCACAAATACTTTATAAACAGGTAAATAACAAAAGTAGACTTGAAATCATACCACCTAATACCAAGATCATTAATATCGAGCAACTAAAATAGTTTTAAGCAAATTGGGAACGCCTGGTGGCTAATTTGGCAGCCATCTTGAAAAATTGTCAACATCTAGGATTTTTATTTGGGCAATCTGTTAGATTTGATTTGTAGTACTTGCAGAAAAAGTGTGCCAAGTTTGCTGCTTGTATCATCATTTTCACCGTTCCCATGAATATGTTATGTAACATGTATCTGTTCTGCAGATTGAGATGGATGCAATATATGGTGAGCGCTAGGGAAACATTATGCATACTTTGACCATCTTGACAACGCAAACGTAATAAGAACTAAGTCTTATTCTGTGAAGATGACTGAACTGTGCCTCATACAAACAGTGACGGTTAAAAATACAAAGAAATACAAATACTTAGGTCGTGAATTATTTCGTTTTGTAGAATAATATGACCTTTTTTTCCAAACGTTTGCATACCTGTAAATCTTCATACATAGATAACCCAACTTTTGTTAAAAGAAGTTTATCTAACCACAGAGGCTGGATTATCAAACTTCCTAGGCGAGGTGGGGAGCACTACGGACCAGAAAAAAATATATCCCCAACCACCTCGTCATAGGCTTATACAAAAATTTTTATCTCTTTTTATTTAGATTATGAAATTTGTAATTTTTGTATGTAAATAAGTTTTATTTGTTTCAAAATGTTTTATTGTTTTAAGCCTGTACCCCTGTTCAAATTGAATGTCCGACGCGATAGTTTTACCTTACATGAAAAACAGAACGTGGAACTTTACATCAGCTTTTGCAAAATAAAAGATCTCTGATTGTGATATCAGAAATTAACAGGGGTCTGATTCTTTCAGACGAATTACCTCTCTTACTGTTAGTTGGGTTGGTGGCGCTGAAGACAGAATATTTAAAAATGCGCCATGTTTGGAAACTTCAAGAAGAGATATTTTAAAATGTGAGTAATTATTGAAATTTTGTAAAAGAACAATTTTTATGAGGCCCCAAAATTTGATTCCCGTCTTTAATATAGCGAATACCATCAACAAAGTGATCAATTTGCCAGTTTCTATGATGATAAACCATCGAAAACAAGATGGTTTGAAGAAATGGGTCATGTACGTGCAAATTATCATATAAGAATAATGTCTACAATTGTCGTTATGTAAAGAAATATAATATAAACATAACATGGCTATATTTCCAGTAAAAGTTGCAATTTTTTGGCACGTTCTTATTTGTTGTATATGTAGAGCACCAGGCAAGGTATACCACTTTTCATTTATTTGGATTTCGGATTTCGCTTTGCGGTTCGGATCGTAAGTAGCCTACTTTGTTTATAATGTTTATTACTGGAAAACATTGACTTTGGTGTATTTTTCAGGGAAGGTGAAGTCTGTCTATAGAGTAAAATAATAGTTTGATTTGGTGTACTGTATAATTATATAGTTCCTATTACACTCAGACAACAGTGAGCTCAGGATTGTATTTTCTTACTCCTTTCACAAACATTTAAAATAGATTCTCAACGCGAAGAAAATCTCTCAGTACTATTTTGTTGTTTATATTTCAATTCATACAAAGATAATTGGCAAAACTACTGTGGCACATTGGGGACATTTGCAATTTTTTTATTTTTCGACGTTTCTCAGTGGTTTGAGAGCAGAAGAACTGCAGAAAACAGGAATTGAAATTGTGAAAATTCGAGAAACCGACAAAAAATAGAAGGAATGGAGGGAAATAGATAAACTTTAATTAGAAAGATGACACAAAATACATAAAAATCATAAAAATTCATAAAAAAAAATCAATCAAAATCGTAAAAATAGTTAAAACATGAAAAATTAATTTCATCCGTGGTGGTAATACATTTCAACCGCGGTTGAAATTAATTTTTGCGATTTCACTTTGAATTTTTTGTGTTTTTCATAATATTTTGGAAAAAATTAATTTTTCATGTTTTCACTATTTTTACGATTTTGTGTACTCATTCTGTGCTCTATTATTCTCAATGGATCGCCTCTGTCTGTCTGTCTGTCTGTCTGTCTGTCTGTCTGTCTGTCTGTCTGTCTGTCTGTCTGTCTGTCTGTCTGTCTGTCTGTCTGTCTGTCTGTCTGTCTGTCTGTCTGTCTGTCTGTCTGTCTGTCTGTCCACAATTGTTTGTTGACACGATAGAGAGCTGGGTCCTTGATGGATGGAACTTGGTGTTGGTCTTTGTAATCACCCAAGGATGAAGCCTATTGAAAATCAGACGAATCGAAAAATATTTACTATGAGTTATTGCCCTTGTTCTTGAATTGTTTGTGGACACGTAAGAGAGCTGGTTTCTTGATGGATTTTGACGAAACTTGGTGTGAGTGTTTGTAATCACTTCAGGATGAACCCTATCGAAAATCAGACCAATCGAAAAATATTTATTATGAGTTATTGCCCTTGTTCTTGAATTCATTGTGGACACGATAGAGAGCTGGTTTCTTAATGGATTTTGACGAAACTTGGTGTGAGTGTTTGTAATCACTTCAGGATGAACCCTATTGAAAATCAGACAAATCGGAAAATATTTGATATGAGTTATTGCCCTTGTTCTAACTTAGCAATAACTCATATAAAATAATTTTCGATTATTCTAATTTTGGACAGGATTCAACCTGGGCTGATAATAAACAATTTCACCAAGTTTCATAAAAATCCATCAAGAATTGTGCCTTCCAGAGTGTTTACAAACTAAAAATTGAACGGGTTCTGAAGAACAAGGGCAATAACTCATATCAAATATTTTCCGATTTGTCTGATTTTCAATTGGGTTCAATCCTTGAATGGTTACAAACACTTACACCAAGTTTCGTCAAAATCCATCAAGAAACCAGCTCTCTATCGTGTCCACAATGAATTCAAGAACAAGGGCAATAACTCATAATAAATATGTTTCGATTGGTCTGATTTTCAATAGGGTTCGTCCTGAAGTGATTACAAACACTCACACCAAGTTTCGTCAAAATCCATCAAGAAACCAGCTCTCTATCATGTCCACAAACAATTCAAGAACAAGGACAATAACTCATAGTAATTTTTTTTCGCTTGGTCTGATTTTCAAAAGGGTTCATCCTTGAGTGATTATAAACACTCACACCAAGTTTCGTCAAAATCCATCAAGAAACCAGCTCTCTTACGTGTCCACAAACAATTCAAGAACAAGGGCAATGACTCATAGTAAATTTTTTTCGATTCGTCTGATTTTCAATAGGCTTCATCCTTGGGTGATTACAAAGACCCACACCAAGTTCCATCCATCAAGAACCCAGCTCTCTATCGTGTCAACAAACAATTGTGGACAGACAGACAGACAGACAGGGGCGACGACTATATATTAATGTGTGGGCGTATAAAAAGATCCATTGAGAATAATAGGGCACAGAATGAGTACACAAAATCGTAAAAATAGTGAAATAATTTCAACCGTGGTGGTAATACATTTCAACCGCGGTTGAAATTAATATTTGCGATTTCATTTTGAATTTTTTGTGTTTTTCATAATATTTTGGAAAAAATTAATTTTTCATGTTTTAACTATTTTTACGATTTTGATTAATTATTGTTTTTATGAATTTTTATGTATTTTGTGTCATCTTTCTAATTAAAGTTTCTCTATTTCCCTCCATTCCTTCTATTTTTTGTCGGTTTCTCGAATTTTCACAATTTCAATTCCTGTTTTCTGCAATTCTTCTGCCCTCAAACCACTGAGAAACGTCGAAAAATAAAAAAAATTGCAAATGTCCCCAATGGGCCACGGTACAAAACAGCCAACAGTATAGTAGAGCAAGTCGTAATAGGTCTAGTGTTTGACTAAAAAGGCAAGAACTTTGGAAAAGATTTCAGCTTTACCATTTTAAATCAGGTCAAGGTAGTACTGGCTTTATGATGATTATTCATTCATTTATCTCTTCCAAATTCTGTCCATCTATCCAGTGAATGAATGAAATAAGTATGAAATTGCAGAGGAAGTGGGTGTATTTACAAAAGAAGAATTTGAGATCCACCAGTCTTTCCCTTCCATTTCCAACATATAACATTGATAAAGATAAATCCTTGATACCAGTCTATCTTGTTTATCTTGAAGAGTTTAGTTCGCTTGAAGTTTAAAACGAGTTTTTTGAAATTGAGCTGAATCTAGATGTAGTTGATGTTTGGCTCCTTACAGAAAGCTTCATTCATTATGTTGTTCTTTTGTTTAGGTAATTATTGATCAATAGCTTGTAGCATGTGAAAAGATGGCCCTAATGTTTAAACCTTATTTTTTGATCATTGATCATTGAAGGGAAGAAAGTAGATTTTGGTTGAGATTAAACCAGGCAGATATGTGGCCTAGGTCTTAGTCTACGATATCTAGGACAGTCTATAAGGATCAAAAAATAACAATAATAAAGCCCAAAAGAGGCATAGGAGCTAAGTCAACAGGCTCCGGGTCTTGGTATCTAGAGGTGGTCAATAAGACCTCCTGGCCTTGATCTTTGAAGTAAGAAACATCAGAAACTGTCACAATTTCTTCTAGTGTAAAGATATTCTCTTCCTTCTTGTTGTTAACTTCTTACCTCATTCATTCGTGAATAGATAGATAGATAGATGGAGGAATAGTTAAATAGATAAATAATCTAAATTTATCTAAGCCTATGATTAAAAGGATATAAAATTTAAAGTCTCAAACTTGGTCAACAATTCAGTGTATATCCATTAAACTAAGCTTCTATGCCTGTTTCAAAATTACTTAGTTTAATGGATTTATATTGAGGGTTTCTGTCGTACAGTTATGAAATCAGATAAGTCCACTCATGAACTAAGTCTCATTTTACCTTATTTCAATTTTTTGGTCATCCTAAGAGGTAGTATACCTTTAAACATATTTCGCTTTCATTTTGCAAAAGTTTTTAATTTTATAGCGTTGTGGTAGTGAGTACTCATCCCCCAATTTCACAATTCTGTGGCCCCTACTCGTCCCGCACAGCTTCACTGCCCATGACATCCTGAGCAGCAGCATTTGTTTATTAGCAAACGATCATGTTACCCACTTATAGCGACTGAAATATCTTACTGTGCCGATTAGAATAAAGTTGTTAATATGTATCATTGTTTTTTCAGGGGAATAACTATATAGGAGGGCGTCTGATAATATTACTATAATCAATGACTATTAACTGTATACATGGGTGAAATACAAACATAATTTCAACAATGGAGGCCTAATCGTTCTGTCGCCCGTCTCGTAAAAGCAGACGCGGAGACGTTCAAATATATATTCTGGTCCCGATTTTTCAATTTCCATAGTCAAAATACCAAAAGAAACCCAAAACGTACAGCAAGTTCCAAATTTATCCATCCAAATTATATTGCCCAAACAGAACAATGATGTTTATAGTAATCATACCCGATCACTGCTCATTGTGGTGGGAAATCTAAAAAAAAAAAAGTGAAAGCAGCGTGATCCTTGAATACACGAAGATGCATACGTGCACCAAGGGTATAAAAATTGGTTAAATAGCATGTCGTGCTTACACAACGATAAAAAAAACCCTCACAATAATGCCACGACTGACACAGCAACAAAGCGAGCAAGCTCTTGGAATGGTACGGTTGGGAGCCACCCAAGCTCATACAAGAACCCTCGATTCTTCCCGTGTTAATGTAACAAACTTGATGCAACATTAATGTGCAGGCACACTAGCGGTCTTTAATCTGTGACAAAATTCTCCAACCAAGACCGTTCGTGTGATCGGACTTTTATTGGCAGACTGAGCTCGGACAGACCCAAAACGGACGTCATCAGCGATCTGATTCGTAAGGTCACAGGGTTAGTCTAAAGAATCTGGGCTTACAGGAAGTAGAGGGTTCTACAAGATAAAAAAAACCAGGAAGTAAAGGGTAGGCTATGATGTTGAGCTGTCAATGGCCCCACCTTGCACGACGATGGAAACAACCAGACTGGTTGAGATTAGTCTTCAGCGATGGAAGTCGGGTTTGTATGTTTGGAGATGAGATTAGATGATTGGAGACAGAGTTTATTTAAGAGGTAGTACGAAGGAGTGTCGCGGTGTGGGGAGGGATCTGTGGACAGAAGAGGACTCCACTGTTCATCGTTAATGGCAACTTGACAGCCAAGCGTTACATCGATGCCATTCTCAGCTAGATGGTCTTACTATTTCTGCAACAATAACCACATGGTGCCATTCATCCACATGGAAACACCAAACCCAGGTAGAGTCCTAGCCAACTTCCAATCAACATTATTATCTACATGTTCCCCCGACATGTCCCCTATGGAACAACTCTTGGGGCATCATGGACCTGCAGTGGTTTTTCTCTTGCATTGTACATTTGACAGCTCGGTTTTTGTACCTCACTTTGTGAGACTCTGACACCATAGCCAGAAGTTATACGTTTGTCATTTGTTGTGCTGGTTCCTTTCACTTTTAAGACAATATCTTTTCAATGGTCTAATTTTTAGTGGGCTAACAATTGGTATTGGTACTCTGTTTTTAATTAACTCTTTTATTACAAATTGAGTTTGATTAATAGATGCATAGATGTTTATACCATACTTCAGACATATTAGGAAATTTTATGGTCGTTATAGCGAAAAATATTACTATCTGTTAGTAGTGGTGGGCGGTCTCCCTCGAGACAGACCATGCTTACTCTTTTCGAAACATCTGTCATGGTTGGTTACTTCTCTTTAGAGGAGTCCACTACTATAATATTTTTACTCTTGATTTAGCCATACTTTGGACGAGATTTTAATTAACGGATTGTCTTGCTTCTACGGATTTTTATTCGGGCATAAATTACGACGGTTTTTTGATAATGAGAATTTGCATACAGTTTTGCATCAATAATCATATGAAAAAATCTAATCCCGAATTGCTTTACGTCAGTAACATGCAGTACATCTCGGTCTTTAGTCAACAGCGATATTCGAGACCAATATGGCGGACGTTTGTTACATAGACAAGATCGTGTAGCTGTAAATCATTTAATTGCTTCACTTCCAGCTAATATGTGAGTACATTTACAGTTCCCGTCCCAAAGATTAAATTGATGTAAAATATTTCATGACTCTTGTTGCTTTAATTGTATTATTGCAATTGTAATATCCGTACAATCTGACACACCAGACAAGTCAAAGTTCAATACCAGAATACACGGTTGTGCTATTTACGAAAATGTAGTCGACCAAATTGTATAAAAAAAATTGCAATTTTTCTCAAGTCTTTTTATTGTTTTATTCCAGATTAGCCTATACAATTGAATGAATAATTCTGTTATTCTGGGAAAACTATTAGACAAATCATTTTGTCTGAACATATCTGTGCATAGGAATCTAGACTGTTGCCAAAAAGTTGGGTTGGAACTGTTGTTATCCAGGAATTCAAATCTGCCATCCATTTCAGATGGATGCTGATGTTAGATGTTAATGTCTTTCTTTCAGGAGGTTTATAAAATATTAGGGAGAAAGAGATTTAAGCCTTATGACATGGAGTCTGAATATGATGATGGTGATATGGTCAAAAGTAAAGATGAAGTTTGTTGCTGTTGTCTAAAATCCTCTAAGGGCAAAAACTGTTTGAGATTAAACGGAAAAAAGTGTTCAGTGGCCAAGACTGGAGAGAAAATACAGAAGTTATTTGGATTGACTGACACTGGCAGTAGAAAGAAATATTTGAATCTAACCCTAAAAAATGCTTTAATTTGTAGAGGTTGTTTGATTAAGTTAGACAAATTTGAGGAATTTACATCTTCCCTTAGATTGTCCACAGATACATTCTTAGGTGATTCTAAACAAGATGATGCCAAAAGAATCAGAGCTGCTCCGAAATTAGCTCGTGGCAATAGAGGTAAGTCTTAAGAAGTTAGAAATTAGTTGACTTTCCTGACATTCGATCCTATTTGATGCTAGATTTCAGACAGCTCAGATTAAAACAAATTCCTTTGTCTCATACATCCTCCAAAATGGTCAGCTAGTTTTAATGACTCCAGTATGAGACATTTAGATAATGATGGAGGGAAATAATTAAGTAATAGAGCTCTTTAATTAAAGGGGAAACATCTTTATTTTTTTCTAAAAAAGCTTTGAAGAATTCTTTCATGGTTGTAATGAAGAGACTGAAGTATAATTGGTTGACATCTAAGTCAAAAAGCTGACACTATTTTTAGAAAACATGAATTAAGCTTAATCCTTCTGACAAGAATAGAGAATCAAAACAGATGTTACAATTTTACAAACTGGTACAAACATGGTATGTCATAGCTTATTGTAGATCATTAGGAAAAATAATTGATAAGCTGACATTTCTATATTTAGATGATAACTGTACAAATACAACATGTGTGAACATTAAAGCAAAGTACCTCAATCTACATAGCAAAGTTTTTGAATTAGAAGATATGGTACATACCAGTCAGATAAAACTATCAGATGAAGAACTACTTAAAAGTTTCTTTCAAATTACTGCCAAGCTATTTGGTAAAAAACTGTACAGGTGAGATTGTATGTATAGATTATGGATAGATTTTGATTATGAGAACTGTAGAAGAAAACGTGCCCTAAAACATGCCCCAAATGTCCAATCTCTCACATTTGCTTGAAATTTTTTAATATTTTCAACCTCAAATGAAAACGTGTGTAGTCTATGATCTTTTGATGCCATTACCTATTCACCAGATTTTTGTGTAATTGCTTTTGGTAATGTTATGGAAAGATATTGAGGTGGAATGGTTGATCAAGGTCTATCAAGACATACATCATCACATTGCTTGCGTCTTTATAAATCATTCATAAGAGGAAGATGTTGTAATTGTCGTCAAAATGTTTAAGGGTTCGGGTGATATTTCTTGTGCCTGGCTCCCATTAGCTACAGACCTAGTTTCAAGTATTATTTACTCTACGGAAAACAAAATGTACTGTTTGTTTAATGCTCTGATTGATAGGCCTACTTGAATCTCTTTGCTGAATATTTGTTTGCATATCTAAGAAAGAAACTTATTCTTAATTTAAAATGGTGTTATATTTTGTAGTGATATAGATGTTTATCTAGAAGGTGGTCATGTTATACATGGACATAAAATAATATTATCAATTCATAGTTTAGATTGGGGCATTGATGGTTTTGATAATTCTGATGAATTATATTTAACAGGTAAATTTAATATTACATGAACATATTGGTACAAACACCTAATTCAACCCTCAATTTCTACTTTTTGATTCCCTTTAGAGAATAAAAAAAGGATGTATTGCTTGTGTGCACTTACGTGAAAATAATCTGACATGCTTTACAAAATTTCAAATTGGCTTAACTTACAAACATACAAAAATATGTATGTTTCTTACATGGAAATAACACATATGAATAGTTCACAAGCATTTTGAATCTCTACCTCGACTTAATAAATTGAATTTTTAAAAAAGTTACATTATTTGAACAAAGCTTTGTAATCATAAATCTAAACCTTTAAATGTAATTCATGTAAATGAATATTTGATATTATTTATTATAGATGTCAAGTTTGATGTAGGGTTTGCTATATTAAAATGTATATATACAGATAAATTAGATATAGACAAGCTAATTGATTCAGATTTATTAGAGTTGTATGGTGCATGTTCACGATATAAATTATCTATTCTTTTTAAAAGGTAACTTTCTTACTTCTTGATATCTTTAGATGTTGAATTTCCTTGTCATTCATCACAGCAACAACATTGTCTTGTGAATTGTATAAGAACAGGAGTATACACAACAGAGTTGGGGGATTTATCTTTGCTGTTTGCTGTCACAGAATCCGTGATTCCCCTTTTTTCATACTTTAACTGAAAGTGTATTGATGATAGAGTAAATCTACAAAATTAAAGAATACATCTAAGAAATAATTGATGCGATATCCAATAGACAATGTCTATATTTGTAGCTAACTTAAAATGCTCTAACGCTGAACTTTGTTTCCGTCCATCTTCATTAGCCAACATTGTGCGGAAAAGTCATGTTATGAACTTTGTTTCCAATAGTTTGGATCGCTTGAACAATGATTTGGTTCTATTTTTATCATATTCAGTACAAAAAAAAGGAAGCAATGGAAATTAATAGTTTCAATAATTCAAGAAACAAATCAATGCCTACCTTGAAGAGAATTACAAAAGAAAAGCAAAATAAAAGTGTTAGTTTGTTTCATTTAGTATTATAAAACAATTCTTAGCCCTGTTAGTGTTTGGTTAATATAGCAACTCAAATATGATATACTTTGTATATTTTAGGACAGAAGAAGTTTTAAGATGTAAACTTAAAGAAGACAATGTTGAAATGATTTATAAATATGCTGTAGACAAAAAATTTGATAAATTAATTAATTATTGTAAAGCCTTTAAACAGACACATGATGTAAGTATTCCTTTTAATCTCTTATTAAATATCAGCTCCACTTCATGTCTTGATGTGGGTGTTGCTATAGATCAGTGGGCTTTCTACAAATCATGAGGTTGGGAAGAAGGACCTATTCATGTGTTAAATAATAAGAAATTTAATGGTGGGTTCCCACAGCCAGAAACACAGATATATAGAAACATCTTTAGGAGAGTTCAATTGGGTTTTGTAAAAGTTTAATTAAAAATTTAATTCCATGAAGATATTAAACTGTTTAAACTGTATCAAATCCTATTGTACACTAAACAACTGACTAAAGAACATAATGCATATTTAAGATTTTTTTAGATTTAACACTATTTCAAGGTGTTACACTTACAACTCAAATTGTATTGTTATTTCAGATGAATGTAGAAGATGATCAAGACATCAAAGTAGAACCTGATTCAGATGAAGAATCCCAATCTTCTGTTTCCATAACAACTAATAAATCTTCTGTAGACCATTCATCTATAGTGGATTCCAATAGACAAATAAGGATAGTACTTAACAAAATAGATAGCTCACATCTAGAACCAGGGATTGATTGTAAATCAACAGAAAGTGAGTTAGTAGATAAAGATCTTGAGGATTCAGATGTTTCAATTAAACAGGAGAATGAGAGTGAAGTTGAAGGAGAAAATAATGATGATATTGATGATGTACTGGAAAATGATGATGATGATGATCCTATGAATGATATTGATGATGATGGAAGTAATACTGATAAGAATGATGATGAGTACTCGGCAAGTGGTCACGTGCATACTAAAGTAAAAAATACGAAAGCAAAAGTAACTGTTTACTCATACTCAAATGCTTCTCAGGAGAATCCAACAGCAGATGCTACTGATGAACATGGTTATTCTCAAGAAGTTGGTGAACTTCAAAAACTAAACATTAGAGATGTTGAGAGAGAATTGAAGGCAAAAGATCCAAAGATTGATTTGAGGACCTTCGGTGAAATAATTGAACAGCATTGTAAGATATGTCCTGGACTTAATCCTTACAAGTGTAATTTGTGTGGCCGTGCATATGATCGTAAAAAAGATTTCCAAAACCACATGATAGAACATTTTGGGGAGAAGCCATTCCGATGTGATTACTGTCCGAATGAATATAAAACTAAAACATTGTTAGAAACACATGAACGGGAGCACACAGGACAATCACGTTTTATGTGTCATATTTGTGGCAAAGCTTTAAAAGATCAGCGTAGTCTAGAGAGACACGTGGATATTCATGGTGAACGGATTAGTATACAATGTGAAGTTTGTGGTAAATATTATGCCACTGAAGTTAGCTTGAAGAAGCATCAGTTATATCATCTAGAAGATAAAGACAAGCCTTTCCAATGTAAGGTTTGTGGCAAGGCCTACATAGACCGAACTTATTTTAAGATTCACGAGAGAACTCATACTGGAGAAAAACCTTATCAGTGCTCTAAATGTGGGAAGGCGTTTTCACACATAGGAACTCTACACAAACATAACAGATCCCATGCTAAAGCTTTTAACTGTGGTGTCTGTGGTATGTCCTTTAATAAGAGACGGAAGTTACATTCCCATATACAACTTCATGATGAAAATGCCACCAATGAGGCACCACCCTACGTGACTTGTGACCAGTGTCCAGAGATTTTCTACTCTAAAGTCAGCTTAGATTATCATAAAACATTAAAACATCCACAGTTGAAGCATCTGGAAGAATTTTTTGATCTTTCTGAAGATAAAACAAAGTACACTTGTAAAATATGTTTGGGGGAGTGTACTGAAGCAACACAGATCAAATTTCATCTTGCAAGCCATCCACAAGTAGAACCATTCAAGTGCAATGTCTGTCCAGAGAGATTTCGAAATCGAACAGGTCTTTCTCAACATAGACTTACACATATTAGAGAAAAATCCTTTAAATGTGAACATTGCAATCAGTCTTTCAGTAAATTGTTTATATTGAAACAACATGAGAAACGCCATACTGGAGAAACACATCTGTATAAATGTCAACTATGCAACAATCCTTTTCGTTGTAAGCGACAGTTTGTGAGACATGTCTTAAAACATAAAGGTTTGTTTTTTATCCTTCTTTTTTTGTTCATCCAGTAAGAAAGTATACAAGTATTCTGATTTATTTCCTTATATACAAGAATTAAGTCTTCTTCTGTTTTAAATAAGTAATTCTTCAAAATAGTATGCTTGTATCATTGACTGAATGTTTGCAACTAAACATTTCTAAAGTATTCAGCTATCCAGAAGCCATTTAAAGGGATAGCTGTGCCATTTTTATTACCAATCATACTTTAGTCTCAGAAGGGGGAATATATCACAGCTCACCATTGAAACTTATCTATAGAAATAGGACAAGAAATTCCTAGTTGTGCAATTTTAGTACATTTCTAGTACTTCTAAAGACTTTACGTATTATTCCAGGCTCAAATCAGCCCTCTAAAATGACACATCTGTCCCTTTAAATTATGCATTTTCAAGGTATATTTGATTGAAACTTTTGTTCTTTGTTTCTATATTGTTGTTACCTCTTTTTCAATCATTTAATGGCTTTACATTCTATTTGTAGAAAATGAAGATTATATGAAGACTGAATATTTATCTATTCTCAATAAAACAAGTGAAGAAATGAAGAAATATATTGAGTCTAACATAAAAAAGGCAGAAGTCATGTGTGATATTTGTGGAAAAATCTTCTATCAAAATGAAAACCTGAAAAATCACATGCTGACTCACACTACAGATAGAAACTTTGAATGTGACGTGTGTGGAAAAACATATAAATCAAAGAAAGATGTCCAAGTTCACAAATACTCACATTCAGCTAATAAACAATTCAAATGTCAACAATGTTCATATAGTTCACATCTAGCAGTGGCTCTAAAACGTCACATGAGATCACATTCAGATTTACGACCTCATCAATGTGAACAGTGTGGAAAAGGTTTTAAAGATAAATTCACTTTGTCTGATCACATTAGGTTTCATAAAGGTGATAAACGCTTTAAATGTGATCTCTGTGATCGAGCGTTTGTTGTTAAATCAGCACTAACATGCCATCGTAGGACTCACACTGGAGAAAAACCTTATCAATGTTGTGTGTGTTCGAAAGCGTTCTCCGACAACCGTTCTAAAAAGAAACATGAAATGACTCATACGGTTGATGATAATCCACAACCAACAGAACAGTTGTATATTCCTCCAATACCCCCAATTACAGACCAGTCGAGTGTGGAAATGAATCCAACATACTACAGATATGATACAGTACAACAAGTTTTTCCTTGTACTATCACAGATAACCAAGATCATCTTCACAATGTTAAACTATGACAGGAATGTAAAGAAGATTCTTACATACAGGGAAAACTTATATGTGATTGATGAAGGAAGGATCTTATGTGATAAAGCATATTTTGTGATTATTGATTTCATCAAATTTTAATGCTTAGTTTTAGTGAAATTGCAGAATGTCTGACTGATAATTGGAATGGGGCAAATTGATGCTATCAGTGTCTCCGATTCACATAAATATTTGAGAGAGTCCCTTTTAGAACTTTGTAATAGCTTCACACTGAGAAGATGTACCTTAAGCCTAAAGTGATTTTGTTGTAGATATCTTGGTTCAAGCTGTAATAATTACTTTAGAATGATTTTTACTTCTTATTCTTTTTGCGTACTTGTATTCAGAATAAATAAATATGATTGAATTGTTATGTTATAAATTGATCATAAACTGTACTGTATTCTGCACAAGTTATATAATAAGGATATTTATTTCTTAAAATAAGAAAAAGAAAAGTATTCTATTTTATTTTCTTTATTTTATAAATATATAATGGTATGGCAGGTTATAATTTGTAAGGCACATTTAATATAAGAAATATAATAATTATTTTGATTAAAGCATTATCATAAGTGTAATGTATCATTTAAATGCTGTAATTTTTTTAATAAAACATCACATCTGATCAAATTCTTTTTATTCAGTAGCTAATTAAAGGAATACTACCTAGATTGGACATAAAATTTTAAGTCTCAAACTTGGTCAACAAGTATATATTCATCATTTGGACTTACTAGGTGCCATGACTAAAGAATAGAATCTCTATATAAAATGACATCCATTTAAGTAAATAATTATTGAAAAATGCTTATAAGTGTGTTTCAATAATAACTTAGTTTAATGAATGACCAGTTCAAAATTGGGCCCGCGCACAATCTTTTATACGCATACAATTTTTTTTAATAAAACATCACATCTGATCAAATTCTTTTTATTCAGTGGCTAATTAAAGGAATACTACCTAGATTGGACATAAAATTTTAAGTCTCAAACTTGGTCAACAAGTATATATTCATCATTTGGACTTACTAGGTGCCATGACTAAAGAATAGAATCTCTATATAAAATGACATCCATTTAAGTAAATAATTATTGAAAAATGCTTATAAGTGTGTTTCAATAATAACTTAGTTTAATGAATTAGTACTTAGTTTTATGGATAATAAAGGGATTCTGTTGAATAATTATGTCTCCAGATATATCCACTGGTTTATTGATCACCCTAAGTAGTAGTATACCTTTAAAGAAAAATCCAAAGGAATAAACCAGAGGTAGTGACAACAGGGTAATATATATTTCTACAGGCAGTCATTAGGCCTTTTATTCTGAAATTATACTGGAATTAATTTCTATTACCTGGTAAAGCACAAAATGAAATGACAAAATCTCTTATAATCACTTTAAGTCTCTTTCTAAATCTATCATCTTCGTGTATTTGTAGAATAATTTGAACCCATAAGAGCATTAGTATAGTCACTGACTAATTCACTATTTAAACCTAAATCATCAAATTCTCTAGCAAAGGAATTATCAGAAAAACTATCTTGGTGATTATTTTGTTGAACACCAAAATCAGTTGATAAATGTTCGGAAATGTAGTTTTGATCACTTTGCCAGGGATGCTGTCTTGACCTTGGTAGCTGGTCAAGATTTGGATTGGGTCTTTGATTATATTGTTGATTTGGTACATCTTGGACATATCCATCATCTAGAGTTAATTCACTATTAATTCCATCCAATGTCTCTACCTGCTGAGCCTTTTTCTTAGCTACATCAGCTAGCGCTGTCTCTCCCTTATCTAAAGCCATGTAATATATGTCCATAAATAAGTCTTTAGCACCAATATCTACTGCTAGAAGGAAAGCTTTATCAAAGCGTGCATATCTTAACAAATGATGAAAAAATCTCCTTGCCAGACGACTTATTGGATCACGAAATTCAAAGATAATTGATTCAGAAATGGCAGGTTTAGGAGCATAGAATGTAGCCAATGTGGCTTCTAGTTGTGCTTCTCTCTCAGCATTTAATGGTTGACGTAAGAGATGATTCACAATGGTAGATAAACAATAATAACATGTCTGTCCCTCTACATCCCAATTTAAACAAGTCAGTAAACTAATAGCTTCATCTAACTGTCGGTGTTTAATGTACTCTTTAACCAGCTCTGAGGGGGAATATCTTTCGTGACTGAGAATTCCAAGATGAAACTGCAGCAATACTGGTGGTCCTTTATCAAAGGAGAGAAATAAAGAATCCACATAGTCAGATGTGTCAGTAGAAATAGGATCATAAGGACACCATTCCATTAGATTTAATAGTGGTGGAAAGCGAAAGAAGCGGCTGACACGAAGGTATTTTTCAGGATTTATTTCTTCTTCAACCAGTTGAATTTTCAGACAAGATAAGGCGATATCAAATATTTGTATGTCGCCACGACTGCTTCCCACCAAAATCACTGTACCATTGGGATGCCAACAGATACAAGCTGGTTTCACTGAACATCTTGTAATTTGTGTTAGTTTCTTTTGGTCATCGTGCATCACTATTGAACCATCAGAACACCCTAATATAACTTTATCTTCTCCTGGACTTATACACTGACAAACAATAGGACTTTTTAAAGGAATAGCTGTCATAGAAGTTCTCTGTATCTTGCCTCTAATGATATCATATTTACAAGTAAAACAAATGGTTTCCCCTCTAGATCCTTTTGATTCTTCAATGGCTAAGATTCGCTGGGATTGTAGCTGACTAAAAGTCATGTAAAGTGGATCATTCTCTGTTCTAGTGAAACACAACACATCAACTGAAGGTCCATTGGCATGAAGAACAACTGTATTGGCTCTCTCCTTGTCTGTGAACATTGGACTCCAGGGCCAAGCTTCATCACTTGCTGTCATCCACCAAATCAAAATATGATCATTGTGAATATTACAGGAAAATCTTCTGTCCAATCGTCGACCTTTTGGGCCTGGTATTTCTAATTGCATTACTTTTGGCTCCCAACTAGCTAACTTATCTAACCTTACTGCAGCCTCAGCCAAAGATGGTCGCTTTGTGAAGTAAACATAGTCAATCTTACTAGTATCAGGAAATGAAGCAACCATAAATTGGTCAGTCAGTTTAGAACAGCACAATGTATGGGAGGAGAATTTGCCAATCATTGACTTGTCCAATAAAATCTTTTCAACATCTCCTGAAGTTTGTGTAATAACGAATGATATGACACAACCATTATTCAAGATTACTTGAAGTATGTGTTTTGTTTTCCATCTTATGTCAATACAATGATACTGACTCATTAAATCTTCAACTTCCTTTAAGTTATCCTTCAGTTTCTCTGGCCTTTTATTTCTGGGTGACCAGACCAAATCTCTTGACTCAACATACTGCTGCTTTTCTTCAAAATATGGTTGTTCTTTACTATTTACTAGTTCACCTTTATCATGATAACTGTGACATCCTATGACACTGTCCGGGATAGCATAAAGGTTTCTCAAAGACCATATATACAATTCACACAAGCAGGATGCCATGTTCTGGTTTTCTTTTGTATAAATATACTATATTGACAAATTGACAAACTTACTCACTTATCATGTTTGTTTACATTCATTGCGCATGGGAATGGCTTTAATTTCCGTTTCCGGTAGCTATTTAGTCGGCATCAAATGAGTAAGTTTCCAATTTATCGTTTTGTTACGTACAATTTAAATATTACCTAAACAAAAACGAAACTAAAATTAATAACACATGAATAAGCAAAACTACAATTCATATTGTATTATGTTTGAAGCGAGTATAGGCCTAATGGTCGTAAATAGAAATAATTTTCTATAACTTGTGAAAACTCCATAAATTGTTTGCCATTGCGTTTTGCAGTAGCGAAATTACTTTTCTGTGTATCCACACTTTGTCCATCTGCCTGTTGCTGAAAGCGTTTTAGACCAGAGATCGACACTGGAGGAAAGTTAAAAGAAAAGCATTTGGTTTATCAAATCATTTAAAGAAAAGACTGAAAAAAAGAAACAAAACTTTTTTATATTTTAAAAGTAAATTTATTACCACTTCTGTATCTGGACAAAGGCAAAATGGTCCAAGTCTCTCTTGCTTCTGTCTGTCTGGTCCGCAAGAACAAGGCTTCAACTCAAGAAAAGAGCTGTTCTGATTCATTAATTACAGAACTGCCAAAAGAATGGGATAGTGACTGAGAGGGGCATGACTATTAATTATGGGTTGGAATTAACTCACTGCACCGTGTATTGCGTGACTGATAATAACCCTACCTACACTGAAACTCCTGTCATGTGACATTCTTAAAGGACTCGTGGGTACAAATCCTTGACATGCTTTCTTTTTTCCTCAAGCTAATTTCAACAATTTTAGTGCTGTGAGCGCATACATATTTATATTATTTTTGATTGGAAAACTATGAAAAGCTGAGTCTTTTACGGAATATTGACTTGACATTGTTTGTATTAGAGAATAGTATATTGCCTACCTAATAGGCTGTATTTGTAATTTGAATAATGAAAGGTAATTAAACAGTAGAAGGTAATTCATTCAGCATGCAAGTATGACACCAAATGTAGGCCCTGGTTATATAAAATGTGTTTGAATGTGGCCAGTTCAACTTTTACTTTGTTTTCTTTCCTAGATTGCTGATTAAAAGATACTCAAAGTGTTTAAAGAGTTTCACAATCAATTCCGTTGTGGGGGAAAATAAACAAGAAATTCATATCTGTACTAACGTTATATAGAGAAGAAAACGTTATATATTGCCAGGTCTGAGGTAAATGTACTAGAACAGAAGTTTGGTCAATGTATCTTCTGTTATGCTCCGTGGGCCTAAATAGAGCATGCTGGAAAATTCTTAAGTTTCAATATAAGAATTTGCTTTAGTTTTTGTGTTGTAATATGATATAGGTAACAACACTAAAGAAATGTGGAATTGCCCCTGACTTAGGTGTGCAGCACTAAATATATTGATATGCTAGTTTAAAATTTGCTTTTCTAAACTAACTCGAAATGTATGGAGGTAATTTGCTCTTACTCCCATTTTAGAAAGAATTATGAACGCAAGCATACTGATTTGCATTCACAGAATGCAACAGAGAGCATAAAGATTTATAATGCCAAGAATTTAGATTTTGAGTACTTCATGATAATATATATATACATGGTTTTAGTAGTATTGTCATATTTTTGACCCCTTTATGAAAATAAACTATGATACTCTTGAAATCCTTTGTTGATTATTTGATTTAGAATGAAAATTAAATGATTAAAAGCTTTGACTTTTTGTTCAATCATAGATATTGGCTTTTTGTATCAAAGAATGGTAAGGTTGCAGTGTGTGTCGGCTATTTCAATAATTTTAATGAGTTATTCAAGGATAAATCTTAAAGTAAGTTTTGTGATAAGGATACATAAATGTAGATTTTAAGATTATGGTTTTAATTGTGTATTTAAGAAATTCAACCATATTTTTCTAGTGGGTACCAGTGGTAACAGTGTAGAATGTCATATCATGGTAAATGGTTGGGACCCAAGGATTTTACACCTGGTTCAGGTGGAGGAGGTAGTGTTTTATAATATTGCAATCAGTAAATAGTTTTAAAAGAAAAAGAATGAGTTTTGTATCTTATGAATTTGAATAGCATATCAATCTGGATTATACTTGATAATGAAGAACCTCAAAAGAAATATTTCGTTTAATTTACTTGATTGTAATGAGCTAAAAGGCCAAAACAAGGGAATCAAATTTGATTTACTTCTGAAAGGTTTTCAAATATTTGAATTTGAATTTATATATTGAGAAATCCAACATGAACTGAAATTATTAAAGTAACAACTTAATGTTGATAATGAAATGCTTATTTTTATGTAGAAAAAAGGAAGAGAGATGACTTTTATGGAAGAGGTGGGTTTAACTCTGGTGGATTCTTTTCTGGTTTTGGTGGAGGAGGAGGGTTTGGAAGAGGAGGAGGGTTTGGACGAGGAGGTTATGGTGGAAGAGGTGGATATGACCACTATGATATGCCAAGACATGAGTCAGCTTCTAAAAGATTCCATCGTATGGAAATGATGCAGCAAATAGCTGCCTTAGAACAGGAAGAAGAAGAAGATTATATACTCAGAGAACGCTTGGAAGAACTGAAATTCCAAAGACAAATGAGACTGATGGGAGGACCAATGAATGATGATTATTATGGTGGCTATGAAGGATATGGTGGTGGTATGAGAGGTACAGGATTTGGAGGTAGAGGATTTGGGGGTAGAGGTGGTGGATTTGGAGCCAGAGGCAGAGGTTGGGGACAGAGAGATCAAGGTCGGGAGTACAGAGATCAAGGCAGGGGAAACAGAGGTGGTAGAATCCGACAAAATAACAGAGACTTAAAAAGAGCAAAAGATTTAGAAGGCAAGCCTCCAGGACCAAGACCTCCTATTGATTATGAAGGCAGGGATGATCGACTTCAGAAATTAATAACCAAAATGAAAATCTTTGAAGACAAGAGAGATGAATCTTCAACATTATTCTCATGTATTAGAGCCTTTAATCTGGACATCGATATTTATTACCATCAGAAGTATTCCACTATATTTTTGGATGGTTTATATTTTGGACGTGGAGTTGAAAAACCCTACAAGCAAGCAGCCTTTGGTGAGGCCATCCATAAATTACGTACAAAATCTTTGGATGAGATAAAGAAAGAAGCTGAAGCTGCTGGTAAATATGGTGAATTGCCAACTGAGAGAAACGAGGTGATGTTGTACAAAATGGATATGAACAAAGTATACTGTGAACTGAAATATGTAGATATGCCATTTGGGGAGAGATTGAAGCTTCTTATTAATGAACTCAAGACCAACAAGACTATGGTGTTTTTGTTGAAGGTCTTTTGTGTCAAGTTTGTATTAAATGTGCAATGTATTTATCACTACCATGAAGATGAACCTCTAGACAAACATGAATTCCGTGTGTATATAAACGAGTTATTTTTGGCATCCAGTAAGAAACAGTTACGAAAGATAGCCGAGTACGAAGTCATGAAAGAAGTATTCAGAATTTTGAGAAAAGACCCGTTTGAAGAGATAATGAAAAATGATGGCAGGTTAGATTTCATTTATCTTTATGGATGTCCCAGATTCAACACTGACTTAACTGTTTAATAATGAGAATGGTGTTTAAACTTAACATTTTTGTGTTATTGTGAGGTTTAGGTTAGATGAAGTTGTTGTTTAAAGCGATAGTAAAGAGATTATCTAAATTTTGGATGGAATTTGTAAAAATTGGAATGGTGCAAATTGATGCCATTGATGCTCATAAAATGTTTTAGAAAACCCTTTACAATCCCTTTAATGTTCCAACCATTTTTGTCTATTTTTAGATTCAGTACAGACTATCCAGAACTACCATTATATGTGACGTATCGTGGTGTGGGTGAACAGGTAGAAACCAATGCTATCAATCTACGTTTTTACCATGGTATAGATGATTTAGATTCCATTAAACAGAATAAGCCTGAGGATATTATTCTCCTAAAGAGAAATATGTATCTTGCATCCTGGTTTACACTTCTGGACGAGAGTGCATCATATGCTAAACTATTGTTGAAATGGGTTTGGAGTACTGAAAGACCACCAACTACTGGCAGTAAGTTAATATAGATTGCTGATAATTGAATCATTACTCTAGTTTGGATCATATGGAAGTTACATTGAATTCTGAAATTTGGCTGGAAAATCACCTTCTTGACCCCAAAACAGCTTTCATAAATCAAACTGGAATCTCTTAAGATAAAAGTTACATGAACTTATTAAATTAATGAACATATCAGCTCAAAACATTGTACAGTTTTATTTTGTTAATTGTTTCATAGTCATGCCTTGAAATGAAATATGATGTCATCTAGATACAAAGTGTTTATTTTTCTCATTTATTTTGAGCATCATGCTGCAGAGTGTTAACATGTGTTTCTGAAAATATATCCATCATCAGGTTTTAGACGGTTAATCCATCTCCTGGTCAACTAGTTAATAGGAAATAAAAGCTAGTTAATTGTACCTACACATTTTGAGCATTTTTGAGCTTATATCATCAGAGATTCAGCTAATAATATATTTTGTATTTATTTTCAGATAATTCATATAAGAAGAAGTATGAGGTTTGTATTTACATTTGTTTTGAATAAGGTTATATGGATATACTACTTCTACTTATATTACATACTACATTTCGAAACACATACAGGTTAGGTTATCAAGTAAAAAAATTTATAATGTTACCTGTAGTATATCCATATAATTTGTGTTCTTAATGTTTACCTTCCTGCTTCTATATGTCTTACAAAGATAAAGGTTATTTAAGTATGAATTTTGACATTTTCGAATTTTGCCAGTGGGCAATATCTTGCCTGGCAAGCTGTCTCATGTACATATACAACATTACCGTGTTTGTTGTTATTTTAGGGTGCGTTTAATATAAAAGAGAAATATACTGAAATTGGTCAAATAGCTAGACAAAACAACTGTCTTATTATTACGTAAGTATAGTTTATTTTCTCACCATCTGATTCTTCACCACTTTGTTTATTAAGTGCTATCTCTCAGGGCCGTAACTACATCAAGTCAAATGAGGAAAATGCTTCATTCTGAATTTGACCAAAAAAAAAAATTGTTTTAAAAGATATAAAAAGAATATCTGCTAAATATTGCATTGCGTTTAAAGACTTCAAATACAACAGGAATTTAGCCTCATAGGAAAAAGAAGCAAGGTGCGGTATTGTTATTAGTTAAATATTAAAATATACATATTAATTACAGATGTCATGTATATCTACAAGACCAAGAAATTGGAGTAGGATATGGTATAACAAGAAATTCAGCTACTAGAATGGCAGGAATATCTGGCTATAAAAAACTGTTAACTACACAAACTTCACTCCATGTGAGTAATTTATTTATATTATATCATAATACCATTGAATAGTTAGATATCAAAAATCATGTCAAAACTAGTTTTCAGTGTCTCCTACCAAATTGCTTATCTTTGATAGCTGTGTGCTGTATACAGTTAGTTCATCATAAGTATAAACATGTTCTTATGCTGTATTTGTTACCTCTGGGAAATTGGAAGTTTCCAACTTGGAAGTCTTATTTACCATCTTTCCCAGGGGTAACAAATACAGCATTACCATGTCTTGAATTGGTACAGATATGATGGCTAAGATATGATGCATCAGTCATCTATTCTGCCATTTTGGTAAAATTGAATTCAGTTTTTACTGAACACCCCGAGCAGAAAAAGTTTTTAGATTTTTTTGATAATGTTTGATTTATGTCTGCATTTTAGCATACAAATGAACATGAATCGTGTAAAAGAAAGGAGATCAAAATTGAAGAATTAGCACAGAAAGCAGCAACATTGAAGGGTAGAAAACGTAAGGTGCCAGTATTTGATGATATTACACAAGGAGAAGCATTTGTTGATGATTATATTATTGATAGAAAAGAAGATGATATAGAAAGAGATGTGGAGACTGATGCCATTGAGGATATTGCTCAAATTGCTATAGGTAAAGCTCTTATTTTATTGTCAATAAAGGTAGTAATAGGTAAAGGGTATAATATTCGTAACAAATAAGAAACATACACTGGTTGTTTTAAGGGCCAGTATGTAAATTATAGAGATGATTTAAATCTGGCTGGTTCTGATTCAGTAAGCAGTTTTTAATTTTAGTTGAACCCTTCAGGATAAGCAAGAGACATATTGCTCTAGAATTTGATATTTTATTTATTTAAATCTGTACATTACCTAAAAGTAACTTAATACATAGTGACTGTTTAAAAGTTTACTTAGACCTTTTAAATAGTTATGGCATCCTAATTAAAATTTTCAGTTATGTTTAGGGACACATTTCTTGCTTTTCATTTTGAATACTACAGATAACTTATACATGTGTTTGAGGTCACTCTAAAAGAGATTTTAACAAATTATCTAAAAAATATGACTGTTTTCCTATTTTAGAGTCAGTAAAGGATGATAAAATGGCACCATGGATAAAGGAAGCTGTAAGAGAAGATTTAGAGACCTTATCTAAAGTAGATTGTTTGATTGAGAGTGGTTTACTATACTCTGATGTGCCAATGTATCTGTATAATTTTACCAGCTATTACTGTTATAAATATGACCTACAGATGAGAACTCGTATTGAGGGTGACAAGCTGATAGAACTAGCTGTTACCAAACTAGCCTCTGATCTGAATGAAGTGGTCAACAAACTAAAAGACATTGAAGGCCACTCAGCTCATGGCTATACCCTTGAACAACTAAGAAAAGAGGATGGTACACTTCAAGTTTTCACCCCAGTAGGGAAAAAAGACAATCGATCGCGTAAAAATTAAACAGGATGTTTTCACAGAAAACAATGTTAATTAGTGAATGGTTTCATTATGAAATGTGCCATATAATTATGAATAAAATCATGAAGAAATCAATCATATGCAATCATAACTTTTGCATCCTGTTACTATAGATCAACCAGACATAGATTTTACATCTTGTGACTATAAAATATTATAGATCAACTTGATATAGACTTCAAATCATGTTACTATAGATCATCATGACAAAAATTTACATCCTTTCGCTATAGAATGAGCTGATGTCGCTTTACATTCTGTCACTATTGATAAACCAGACATAATTTATACATTCTGTCAATTAAAGATCAACCAGACACATTTTACATTCTGTTACAATAGATCAACCAGACATAGATTTTATCAATCTGACAAATATTTTACACTGTTCAACTGGACATAGATTTTTAAAACTTTAAATTGCTTTAAATTACATATCTTAAATTTGATATGTTATACATTTTATGTATGTTCATTTATATAGATTTACTTTGTAAGTTTAACTGCCTTTCATCGCTGTAGGTCATATTTGTAAATTTCATTTTATCAAATAAATCACCTTTGAGTTAATAATTTTAAGTAGAATCTTGCTTTTTATTTGGTCTATAAGAGAAATCTAATAATTTAGAAATTCTTTTTGCTTAATTCTCTTCCTAGCATTTGCTTTGTGTGGCATCGTTTTTTTGTTTATATTTGTGTACTAATATTATTTGCTTATTCAATGTAAAAAATTTGATATTAGCAATTAATCTATTCATGATAGTAACTTTGGCTTCATAATAATCAATAGATATAATTTTCTTTTGTGAAAATAGCAAGTATTTAAGATCTGCTTATTTTGATCCAAATTTTTTTTATCATTGATCTTTTCATTGATTGCTAAAGTTTCCCAGATCAGCATTACGGGACAGGATTTTACCCTGGAGCGTCAACCGGTGAGAGTACGGAGCTCTAATTAGGTGTATTAGAAGTGATTAAGGTGGGTACGTGGATTACCTTTAGTGCCTTCTTTATCAGCCTGCTAGGTGCAGATAGTAGGATTTTTTAACCTCATTCCATTGTTCCTGTAGGATTTTATGATAGCATTACCACAGGGACCAGGGAAGTAATAATCCCCTAGGTTTATATTTAGAACGTGTTCAAAGGCTTATCAAATATAAAGTCTAGCTCACTGGTAGCCAGATGAATTGATCAGGATTGAAGATACGAGTTACTTCCCTTTGCCTTCTCTTCCCGACGTTTTAGATCTAAAAAACAATAGAGTGCACGTTGTAATACACAATAAAATTCACTGCACGTTGGTTGACCGCATTGGACACTACCAGTAGTAAGTTGCAATCAATTCTACCTCACAAGGTAGCTTTAACCCGTAAGTTGTGTCTAAGTAATGCAATTGTCTTTCGGTATGTACAGTATATCATCATGGACATAAGGGGTCCTACATTTCATTGAAGTTCGTAGGCCTTCTGCCCTGGTCTTTCCGAAGCCGTCACCATTACTTTTTCCGTCGTTGCCCGTCCGAATTTGAATAAAAATTCAAAACAGCACTGATAATCTTGATAAAAATATAAAGCATGAACACATATATCACTTTGAAATGTGCAGTCAAAATTTGAGACCATTTTTCGGTTGAAATTTCGGGGAGGAAAGTGTGCTTCTTTTCAATGTCAACTAACAAAATTTATGTAATCAACGAATGATCCATCAGTGCTGACACTGTTTGAAATCTACTCGCTTTCCACTTCCCATGCAGAAGCTGTCTGGTCGCCGTCCATACATAATTCCTGTGGTCATTCCTCGTTAACTTCAGCAACATTTTGAGTGGGCCAGCCAACAACATTGGGGACATCAGCAGTGGATGATAGTAGGTATCGCAATTCCACCTCAGAGTGGAGTACGAGTTTTGGCAAAAAAGATTTGAACGTTTTACAGAACAGTGTGAGGTTGAAAGAGACCCGTGGAGAGTAGGCTAATGGCTGGAGAATATTGGCTCAGGCCATAGAGTTAGAGCCGCACAATACATCGACCAAGTTCTCCGACCCCACGTCGTACCCAAATTTGCAAGACTCCGAATCCACGCCTACCAGCACGAGAGCGCCAGTTCCCACACTGTCATTACCAGGATCTTTCCCCTACAGCATGGCAGAGTAATACTTTGAATCTAACTCAGTCTAGACGTAACCCGATATCGAACTCTCTTAGATGATATATAGATATGGATGGCATGATTTTTTAAGGTAAAACTTTCATGTAAATGCAGGGACACATTTCTCTAGATTTTGTGTAGGCGTAGCTGTTTCACACAAATTTGAGTAACACAATATTTCGAAATTCCGAGAATGTCCCTTTAAGAGGGGAAAGGACTAATGATGATAATGATAATTTAAAACTGATACAATTACTTTCATCGCCCAAATTAGTAACACCCCTTTAGATCTAACTGACAGACCTTTTTAAAGGAGGTAGTTCTACAAGACCCGTCCAATTCGTTTAAAGTCAGCCTGAATTTGATCCATAACTATATTTTAGGCGATTGAATTATCTGCCCCTGTTATCGACCGGAAGTAGCACTGGAAGAAGAAAGAACGCTGGAAAATAAATGTAATTTTATTCCATAATGAAAACAGAGTAAAAGGTGATTGTTCTCAGCTAAATTTTTAATATTAACGTGGAGTGATATTTCTTATCATTTACATGCAACAATTATATAAAAGTTTGCGTCTATTTTTCCTAACCATCATTTTTACAGTACAACCGGCATACACATACACGCACCGGTTCTTGATCCCTTCATCAATCGGTTAGTCCGAAACCCACTGACTCTTCACTGACAGTTACATTTTTCAGTGCTTAAAGTAACACACTTCCCTCCCAGGAGTTTAACATACAGAATTTAAAGACTCTCAGCATATAATATGATTAGCCATATTTGATTCTGTAAACATTGTGATCGAGGAATCTTCTTATGCATATGATATATTGAGATTGCCAACCTGGTATGCTAACAAAAGTAACATCCCACTAGCCAAGATATCGAAATCTTTTGTAAAACTAAAAGTTTAGAATATGCCACTTTGTGAGTTATTCCCCAATTACTCCTTTAAATTACTAGTATATACAAGTATACTTATGTTATAATTTTTTTCAGAAAGGGATAAATCAACCCAAATCTATCAAAACTATTAGGTAGTTTTGATTAAGTAATGGATGATCAGTACTACTATCAACATTCACCTAATAAGAAATTTAAATCAGATACTGGTAATATGGATAGTGGATACTGGGGAAGACCTGGAGCAAGTAGCATGAATAATTACTCAGCTTACAGCTCATTTTCTAATTCTACTGGCTCAAACCAATCTTCTTATAACTCAACTGGATGGGGGAGAGGTAAAGGAAGAGGGGGAGGAGGAGGTGGGTCATCTGGCTATGGAGGATTTGGTGGTGGTGGTTCTAATTATGGAATGAGCTCTTCAGGTTATGGAGACATGTCCAGTTATGAACACAATCAGCCATCATCAAGTCAGGTTGATCAGATGTTCAAGAAATTTCGTAAAATGGAAATGATGCAAGAAATAGCTAAACTGGAAGAAGAGTCTGAAGAAAGTATGATGAGACAGAGAAGAAATAGACCTGGACCATATGGTGGAGGTGGGTATGGGTTCGGTGGTTACAACCGTCCTGATTCTGGTTTTGGACGTATGGGCGGATATGGTAGAGACTTCAGTTCCTTTGATTCTGGTATGGGTTATAGAAATGATGGCTGGGGTGGATATGGAAATGGATGGGGTGATAGAAGAGGTAGGGGTGGACGTGGTAGAGGAATTGATAGAAGAAGTGGTAATAACAGAATAAGTGGTAATGATAGAAGAGGTCCTGGAGGTAGAGAGCGTAGGAAGTCTGGTAAAAGAGAAAATACCAGCACTAATTCCAGAGATGGAGAAAGAAAACGAGGCAAAAAACCAAGATATAAACCAATTGATCCAAATAAACCTATGGATGAAGAATCAAGAGATAAAAGGTTAATGACCCTTATAGAAAAGATAAAAACTTTTGAAGATAGATCAATTGCAATTTATACTTTAGAAGACTGTGTAACTAAATTTAAATTAGATATTGACATTTTCTTTTATCGAAAGACATCCTGTGTATTTCTCGATAGACTGTATTTTGCACGAGGTTTTGAGAAGCCACATAAAAGTCATGCTTATAAACAAGCCATAGAGAAACTCAGGACTAAAACTTTAGATGAAATAAAAGAAGACGCCGAAAATGCCGGCGCTGTAGCTGTGTTTCCAGACCTGGCAGAAGATGTACCAAAAGCTCTGACTGAGGAAATGAGATCAGCTGTTACCAGCATAGAAATGTCACAGAAACCATTCAAAGAAAGATTGGGACTGTTTATTGAGGCCATCAAGGGACAGAAACATTTTATGGTGCTGGTACGTCTGTATTGTACCAAATATATGATCAACTTGATCACTGTGTATGATTATCATCCTGAAGAGACAACAGATATCCATGAAGCTCGAGTCTATGCTAATGAGGTTTTATTGAGTGAAGCTAAAGGTCCTATTAGAAAGACTATAGAAGAGGAAGTTTTGAATTTAATGTTGGAATCATTCAAGACAAAGACATTAGATGAGATTATGGAGAAGGATGGAAGGTGAGTCTATACCCTTTGAGCTCTGTTTTCAATTTAACACAAGCTTATCTGATGATCCCAACATGTCTTATTGATTAAAGATCCTTAGCAGGAAAACTGTCTTGAAATTAATTTCCAATGTTAGTACTTAAGGCAGCCACAAGAATCTCAAGTCTGTAAGCTTTAAAGTGACCTGTAATGGTGGAGGTTCACAAATTGGTAGTCAGACATCATATATCATCTGTCTGTGTGCATTTTGGTCCAAGCTAGAGATTTGACATAAGTTTTCTTCTTTGAATAAAGTATCCAGTAATGAATTTGTATTGAATTTCAGATTTAGTCAAGATTATCCAACCTACCCTACATTTGCACGTCATCGAGGTGTTGGTTATCAAATTGAGACCAATGCTTTCAGACTACGATTTTCTATGTTTGTAAATGATCTGGCTACAATACAAGACAGAGATCCTGCTGATGTAGTTTTATTTGAAGACAGTACATGGGATGGTAGTTGGGTCAAGATTCTAGAAGAAAGTGCTACATTCGCTAGGTTAATATTAAAATGGATTTGGAGTGTAGAAGAGCCAGGGGATGCTGATGATGATGATGATGATGATGAGAAAGAAGAAGTCATAGAGGAAAAGGAAGAAGGTTTGTATTGAAAATTTTATGTATTTCTTTTAAAAAGCATGATTTTATCTTAGTGAAGAGTGGTTAAAATTAAAGATAGTTGACGATTGTAATCAAATTATTATACCAATGAGAATATTGATGTTGAGAAAGTAATTGATTGGTGATATCAGGTGTTTTAAAGGGTGATCATGCCTTGCTTTGCTACTAACATCTTAAAATGAAATTTTCACAGGATGGTACTCAGTTCTTAAAAATTTCTTTTTACAAAATCTAAAATGGTAGTAAATTATATAAAACATTTTTTTCTAAATCTTTTTTAGGACAAACACAAAAAGACTCAGAAGCTGAAAAAATAGTAAGTTAATTTGTATGATTCAATATTAGTTCAATTTAGTTGTGATCCTTTCTTTATTTTTTTGAACTTGCTCCTTAATTTATGATTTGTTTTGAATTGCTTTTATGATATCACATCACTGATTTAGAGGGATAATGGGCGGAGCCAAATGGGGGCAGAGGGGTTTCTGTCTCTCCCTTACAGCCCTGAAGGCTTGTTTTTCAGGTTAAAATCTCATAACTAGGTTAGAAATTCGGGAACCTCAGGTATTTCACCCCCCTCGGATGTAAACCTGGCTCTGCCACTGATGTTATCAATAATATATTTAAAAATACAATTTCAGTTGTTCAGTGCTTTAGATGCTGATATTACAGTAAAGAGAGAAGAAATAGCTAAGGTTGCACGTAGAGAGAAATGTTTGGTTGTCAAGTAAGTGTTCTCAAGCTATTTTCTAGACTAGATTTCCTTTCCTATGTATGTGGTGATGCCTGTAAATCTGAGATAACTTGACCGGATTTGCACTTGATTTTTGTCAATATCACTTATGTAATATTTACTATTATTGGTACAGTAGTACTATATATATTTCTTCTCTTGCAGATGTCAAATTTTAGTACAAGACAAGTTAATAGGAGAAGGTTATGGTACTTTAAAGAATAATGCTACTAGAATGGCAGCAATGAGGGCTTATAAGAACTTGATGGCTACACAATCTGCTGTTTATGTAAGATTCCAGTTTTCCTTCTCTATTACTTATTGATAGTCAATTAAACTTGGGTTTGATAGTTAATGTTTTATGATAAAACTGAAATAGATTATGTAAAAATAAATTCCACAAATATGTCCAACATTTTTCTAAGTTTTGTAACTCTTGTATGTGTTTCAGTGTCATTTAAATCTATATTGCACCATTTTCATTTCCAATTTGACTTCTGTGGTTTCAATGATGTCACTATCGTCAATTTGAAATGGGGTTAATAAAAGCTATAAATGTCTCCGATACATTTTCACAGGAAACCACTTTTAAGTCATTTTAGATTACTTAAATTTCCTTTAAATTACTTATTTGAATTTACAGCATATCAACCAGAAACATTCATTTGCTCAACATAAATGGGAAGATGTACAGAAAAGAGCTAAAGAATTAAAAGAAAGTTTATCAGAAGCACCTAATTTTGACCATGTTAAATCATTAGATGTTCTACAAGAAGAAGGTATTGTTTGCATTTGGTGATACCTGTAGGCCTACACAGTTTTAATTTGCATTATGACAAGATACATACATTGGTACAAGGATATGATTCTGCATTGTATAAACCAAGAGGTATCCCAATACGTTTCAAAGTTTGGCTTTTAAAAAGTAGGGCCTAGGTTGTTTTTGTTTTTTTCAATATTTTTCCAAATATTTTCTTTTTCTCCAAAATTTTCATTTTTAATCTAAATTTGAAATGTGTTTTATTAATGTCTTATTACCATTTTTGTTTTGTTGTATTTTAGATATCGAGAAAGAAGATGACTTGGCACCATGGGCTAAAGAAGTTGTGAGAAGGGATCTTGAGAAACTGTCTCAAGAAGATATATTATGTCAAGAAGACCTAGTCTATCTTGATACACCCATGTATATACGAGATGTTATTGGACATTATCTCAATCCATATGCATTGCACATGAAAAGTCGCTTCACCAAGAACAAACTAACGCGAGTTTCAGTGAACAAAGTGTTGCAGGATACTGATGCTATAGTTAAGAGTCTACTGACTTGTGATGACAAGCGTTGTAAAGGTTATGTACTAGAACAAGTGAGGAAGGATGATGGCACTGTGGAAGTATTAAATACTGTATCTAAATTAAGTGAATCAAAATTGGCAGCTGCTGTATCTAGATTGAAATAAACTGCTCTGTTGTATTCTGAAATTGATTTGAAAGTTTAAAAAAAGAAAATACCAATTATATAAAGATGTGCACAAATTTGAAAATTTTACTAATGAGGCGAAACAAAAATTAGCAAGTGATCAATTTTTTGGTCAAATTTAGATTTTCCTTTCGATGGAAATTCTTTATTAACTTTTAGAGAAAATAGCACCTAAATTAATTAGTTGAAATCAAGATACAGTCTTTAAAACTTGAGAAAGTATCTTGAAGAGTAAAATTTGCCTTAACTTAACAAGAATAATAATTATGCTTGGAAATTAAAATTAAAAATGCACAGTCCAACTTTAAAAGTTCTGTTTTGTTGATGTTTTGTAATTTTCAAAATGTAAATCTTTAAATTATGTTATAATTTACTTCATTTGTTAGACAATTAGGTTAAAGTAATTTGAATATATTGTAAAGAAGTATTCCTATATTTTCATGTGGCATTTACAGATTCACTCGGCACCTTTTAAAATTTCTTGACCTACAATTCCACATAAAATGATTTGGAATTGTGTGTTTGTGTTATTTAAGAAATTGAGTCCTGCAAAAAGTTTGGCATTGCAGAATATTAGAATTGGTGCCAATTGTAGCTGTAAATGCTTTGTGTAAAAATCCTCTGAACAATTTATTTATATCTTTCATTTACCATCTGATCTAGTGCATGAACAGTCAAATTGTGTTAAAAATAAAATTCACTCCACTTTTGTGTTGTCTGGAATTAAAATAAAATGAAGTAGATTTCAGTGTTGTTTTTCTATGAGAGTTAAACTGATATTATTTGTCAGAGCTTTAATTTTCAATATTGCTGGCCTGAGACTGACTAAATAGATTTTAAGATTTTCTGTTAAAACGAAACACATTTTTGCAGTATTTCAAATCAGTGGATCAAGAAAGAACTGGGTGGTGAACCTTTAATATCTTGCATATTATGTTCAGCATTGCAAACACAACCTATTCTTTACATACTACACTATCAATTGGCCAACATTAGATTACTGGGCAAAACTAAGTGGATTTTATATGATCAATCTGAACCAAATAAACTATATCACAGGAAGACAGAATATCACTGGATTTTTGTCTGAAATATCGTATTATGGATCCGTGTCCTTGTTTTAGGCGATTGTTTTCTTAATGGATTATTTCCCTTGGATTTATTACATTGGCTTCATTGATTTCCAAAACCTCAGGAATTATTCAAATGTAAAAGTAAGTTCACTGGAATTATATTCTAATTTATTGGATTTGATGTCGAAATTAATTTGGTGTCTTGGTTTGACCAACTACTGTCTGAAAGGTGGGTAAATTTCACTGGAAATATTCTAGTCCAGGAAAATTTCTTCCTATCTCACTGCATGATATTGCTTTTCCTTGGACAGAAATGTAGGAAATAAAACTCCATTTAAGTTCATTCTTTGTGATTACTCTTACAGATTGTGATAGAAGTAGGAGTTAGATAACAAGTAACACACTGTGGTACTGACAGACTTCAGTGTGGAATCTTGTGTGATTACTACAATTTCTTATTAACAAAGAAGGTAATTTGTACCAGAAATGTTGTGAGCTTTGAACAGAAACCTATGTTATGGGTTGCAATTGTTCTATAGTGCAGTTCTTGCTGTAACAGCACCCTGTTATCAACAGTTTGTAAATTAGATAAGCTTAATTCAAAGCTTCTGTGTACATAAAATATATTCAGGTTATATTGTCTGTTTTCAACTAAAGGGACAGGAATTGACCTACTATTTAAGATCTCTGTAATCTGTATGATTTAAGTATTAATTCATTATTTTGGTAATAGAGAGGAACAATTATATATGGGTTCACTGGCAATGATTTAAGGTGCGCCTGTTGTTTTATTAATTTCAGTGAAAGTTGATAATCAAAGATGTCGTATTATGACCAATGGTTTCTCACCAACCAACAGCCAGATTCACCAGGTTGGTGTACATGTGATGCTTGGATATATCCCAAAATCCATGTTACAAATTTGAAGGTTAAAGACGATTTTTCTAGGTCATTAAAAGTTTATCTTGGAAACTTACAAAGGCTCTGTTTGCAGCACTCTAATTTCCTGTTTGAGTCTTGTACTTCCAGGATGTTTCTTTAAGAGGCAAACTTCTTTTGAACCTTTGTCAAAACAATAATAATATGGCTGACAAAAGTCGTCTCATGTCACTGGGTTATTTATTTGATGCTTGTTTTGAATATATTTTCCTTGTTCACCTTTTATTTCAATTATTCTAGTGAACAATGTATTATCTGATACTGTACTTAATCTTTGTAGGAAAAAGAAAGCGAGAAGATTTCTATTCTGATGGAGGAAAATATTCCTCAGATTACACAGAGGCTGGTGGATCAACTGGTAGAGGTGGTGGACCAGGTTCTTCTTACAGAGGTGGTGCTGGAGGATCAGGAAGAGGTAGAGGTAATCAAAGTGGTAACAGAGGAGATCATGGGAGGGGAGGCTATGGACCTACCAATTATTCAGATTATCAGCATGGAAGCACATCTTGGCAGGGCTTTTCAAACAATAAATTTGTTTCGAAGAAACAACGAATGTTGGAAGAAATAGCTCAACTTGAAGATGATACTGAGGAACTGATGTTACAAGAAAAGCTCAGAGCTTTGAGGGAGGAAAAGAAGATGAGAGAAATGGCCTTGAATAAGCCATATTTATCAGGATCATCATTTATGGGCCGAGGTGGATTTGGAAGGGGCAGAGGATTTGGTCCAGGAATGCCACCAAGAGATAACTTTGGTTGGGGTTATGGAGCTGGACCTTCCCGAGGAAGAGGTGGACAAGGTTATCATTCTAGACGTGGTGATGGACATGTTAATCGTGGAAGAGGTGGTCCAGGTCACAGATACAGAAAAATAGATAAGAAAACAGATAGAGAATCTGAAGAGAAAAAAGAAAAGGAACTTGAAGAAAATAATCCTTACGAATATAAACTGGAACTTAAAGAAGAGGTTGACATGAAAGGTCGGGATCAACGATTACTGACTCTGATGAAGCTTATTAAGTCGTTTGATTATAGGTCTTCACCAGCACAAACATTGAGGCATTGTATACGAAATAATAACCTGAATATACAGGTGTATTTTTATAAAAACAAATCAGTTCTTTTCCTGGATAAACTATTTATAGCTAGAGGTACAGCCAGAAACCAAAAGTCTGACACTTATACACAGGCCATTGATAAACTGAGAAATTTATCATTGGATGAAATCAAAGCAGATGCAGAAAAGGCAGGAGAGTACAATGTTTATCCGGAAAAAAGACAATATCCAGCTCATTCCACAGAAGAAATGAGAAAACTGACCACACCCATAGAAATAGCTGACTTTCCTTTCAGAAGACGACTGGAATTGTTCTGTATAGCAGTAAACCGTCATGACCCCAACATAAACTGTACCAAGTTGTACTGTACCAAGTATGCTATGAATTTGAGATCAGTATATACCTTTCATCCAGAAGAAGCAGATACCAGAAGACAACATATGAGAATCTATCTATGTGAAATGTTTGTATGTGAGGCTATAGGTTATGATAGAGGTAAATGTGACAGGCAGTGCATTAACAACTTCTATGAGACCTTGAAGACCAAGACTATAGATGAACTTATAGAAAATGATGGAAGGTAGAGTCTTTGTTGTATTAACTTTTATTATGATTCCCTGATACCCTGAATTATGCTATTCAATCAAAAAAAAAATGGACTGATAATAAGCCAATGCCAAGTAATCATTTTTACAAAAGTACTCATATTTGTTGAACAAAGGTTTTTTTAAAGGGTGACTTTGATTGGTCAGGTATTTCAAACTCATGTGCATAACAATTACCTCAGATCATAGATGGAAAGTGTAGTCACCTCAACAAAAGACAAACAATTTTAAAGATGGGTTTTTTTTTTTTTTTAGTGTTATTAGAACATCTCTATTTTCTGTTCATATAAGTATTAGCATTTTCATTTTCATACATGAAAATAAGGGAACCCATCTTCAATGAGATTGATTAAAGATTTGTTATTTGCAGATACAGTAAAGATGTTTTTCAACCTCCCACATCAATACAATTTAAAGGTGTAGGACAGCAAGTAGAGGACAACCTATGTAGATTAGCTAGTTTAAGTTCTGGTACATTAGAGGCAATAGAGAAGAATAATGCTGATGATTTAGTTCTTATAGAGAGAAAGAGCTATGATGGCTCTTGGAGTAAGATTCTAGAAGATAGTGCCTTATACAATCGACTAAAACTGACTTATGTCTGGGATTTAGTTCACCCTGGTGGAGAGCTTCCAGAAATTGGTAATACATGTGTTTCATTAATTTTATGTAATCTTAATAGTTTTCTACCAAACATCTGTTACAATGATAATATTTACAACCAATCAAAACGTGTTATGTAGAACCCGTATCATGACAATATAAGAGACTGTCACTCTACTTAAGGTTTCAAAAATCATTATTTTTATGCGTTAATTGGATAAAAAAAAAAGCTACCTTTAGGAAGGAAATTTGCCAGAAAACTTGTGAGATTACAATGGAAATTATAGGAAATTGGAATCAAATTTATTAGACTGGGATGTTTGTATGCTGGTAATTTGGCTGAATTTATCAAAAGTTGTATCTGATCGGAGCTTTTGGAATGTTTTGCTTTATATGAAATAAGTGAAAGAAAATTTATAAAAAAAATTAAGTACATTTCATAAGAAACCTCACATTGTGGTTGTCTGCTATTGCATTAAAATAGGAAATAGAAAGAAATCCTTTTTGACTTGTGTTATATTATAAAGTCACTACCTATATTGTAGGTACAGAAAAGAAGATGGAATTTGAAGTAGAGATGATAAAGGATGGAAGAAAAAGTGGAAAAAAAGGAAAGAGTTCTAAAAAGGCAGATGTTGAAGAAGATAGGGTTTGATTAATAACACTTTTGTCAAAAAAAGTAACGCGGATTGATATAATATAAACTGTAATGAGTTAAGATATTAATGTCAATGCTAATATAAAGGAAAGTCTAAAGGTGCGGACACACGAGCAGTCTTAGTCAGAGAACTTTGGACACACGAGGAGACCGTGCGGAGCATGCAAGCGAAAGGAAAAGGAATCTGATTCGATAATGACTCGAATCGGAGACAAAAATCTCTGACCAAGACCGCTCATGCCACACCTTTAGCAGTAGTTTTATGAGTAGCATAAAATGTAAGCATAACAGTCAGTGAAGTCGGTCACTAATATTTATATAGAAATGGTTTATCCTGACACTCTGTTGCTGTATCTATTGTCTTATTCTCTGGAATAAAATCACCTATGTTTTGGAATTCTGTTGTAAGCAACACAACTTTAATCGGTTAAGTAAGTAACATAATAAAGAGAGTTGTGTGATATTTTTTGTTTGACTGGTTTTAGGTGTTTGCCGATACTAATGAAATAGATGATGTTGAGAGACATAAAGAAGCTGTAGCTCAAAGAGCAAGAGAATATAGAGTTATGATGATAAGGTATGTACATGTGTATGCAGATATTTTTATTATTATTTGTCCAAAGATATATTTTAAATAATTACTTGTATTCTGTACAAAATGGAGCATAAGTCTCTGTAATTGATATTATTTTTCAGTTGTAAAGTGTTCTTACAAGATAAGTGTGTTGGTGAGGGATATAGTATTTATAGGCGATGTGCTCAACAAGTAGCTGCTGCTATAACTTATAAAAATCTCTTCAGTAAACACACTGCTATATATGTAAGTATGAGAAAGGGCCTGATATAAATTGACTTGTTAAAAGATACATTATCATTTATTACAGTTTATTTGAGTATTATGTTATTTTGGATGATCTCATTGAAATGAAAGTGATAATCAATAAGTTATTCATTTGGTTCTTTTGAAAAAAAAAAACAGTGTTTGACATCACCATCTTTAATCTTTTTGCATCACCTAATGCAGTTTCTTATAACTCTAGATGAGGGTTATCAAGTGTTATACTGTCAGTTTTATTTGAAAATGGATTTAAAGAATATTTAAATTAATGCTACACAATATATTTGCATCTTTCTGCAGTGGATTAACCTAAACTTTTAATTTGCATCAGGATGATGGTAAACAAGAAAATCAAGATTATGATTACGCTGATATTATAAAGAGGGCTGAGGAATTATGCCAAGAGTTACCAAAACCACCAGCTTTTGAAGATTTTGATCAATCACTATCTAGTTCTGATACAGCAGATCTTACTGTTGAAAGACACGACAATGATAATGATGATAAATCTGATGAAAATGATCAGTCAGATGATGATGCAGACTATAAACTGGAAAATGATGAACAGAATAAAGAAAGTAACAAAGGAAACAACAAAACTATAGAATGTAAAACTTTAGGAAAAACAATTTTTTGTAAGTTTCTTTTTGTAAGTCATACTTGTTTCAACCAGTCCAAAATAAATTTGGTTCAATCTGTATTAATTGTTTTGGTTCAGTCAACATTCATTATTTTGTTTCAGTCAATATTAATTGTTTTGTTTCAGTTAATGTTTATTGTTTTGTTTCAGTCAATATTTATTGTTTTGTTTCAGTCAATGTTTATTGTTATGTTTCAGTCAATATTTATTGTTTTGTTTCAGTCAATGTTTATTGTTATGTTTCAGTCAATATTTATTGTTTTGTTTCAGTCAATATTAATTGTTTTGTTTCAGTTAATGTTTATTGTTTTGTTTCAGTCAATATTTATTGTTTTTTTTCAGTCAATGTTTATTGTTATGTTTCAGTCAATATTTATTGTTTTGTTTCAGTCAATATTAATTGTTTTGTTTCAGTTAATGTTTATTGTTTTGTTTCAGTCAATATTTATTGTTTTGTTTCAGTCAATGTTTATTGTTATGTTTCAGTCAATATTAATTGGTTTGTTTCAGTTAATGTTTATTGTTTTGTTTCAGTCAATATTAATTGTTTTGTTTCAGTCAATGTTTATTGTTATGTTTCAGTCAATATTTATTGTTTTGTTTCAGTCAATGTTTATTGTTATGTTTCAGTCAATATTTATTGTTTTGTTTCAGTCAATATTAATTGTTATGTTTCAGTCAATATTAATTGTTTTGTTTCAGTTAATGTTTATTGTTTTGTTTCAGTCAATATTAATTGTTTTGTTTCAGTCAATGTTTATTGTTATGTTTCAGTCAATATTTATTGTTTTGTTTCAGTCAATGTTTATTGTTATGTTTCAGTCAATATTTATTGTTTTGTTTCAGTCAATATTAATTGTTATGTTTAAGTCAACATTTATTGTTTTGTTTCAGTCAATATTAATTGTTATGTTTCAGTCCATGACAAAGAAGAGGAATTGTTACCATGGATCAGAGAAATAGTTAAAAGAGATTTAGAGAAGCTAGCTGCATCAGATGTTTTATCGAAAGGATATGTAGTGTATCGTGGATACCCAGGACATATGAATCGCTTCCTTCGGTTTTGTTCTAAGAAATATGGACTTGATATTAGGTCAAGAATGGACAAAGGTAAAAAGTCTGGAATGATATTAACTAAACCAATACCACAAGCTAAAGATATGGTAGAAAAGTTGATGGAGATTCCTGATAAATGTTGTAATGGCTATACATTGGAACAAATACGCCAACCTGATGGCAATCTTGAGGTCTATCATAAACTTGTAAAACAAAGTTCATTAAAACTACCCAAACAAAAACAAGGTGAAACTAAAGTATAATTTTGAATTGTACTGGGAAAGTCATCACAATTTAAAGCTATTATGAACTGTGTCTAATGACTTGACATCATTAGCCAAATCTAATACAAAAACAGGGGTTTGATTGGAACCTAGGCTGGCAAATACAGCCAATCAGATCCCTCTACAGAAAGTATATTAACATTATGGGTTATTATTTATAGACATATATTCCAATCAAACTGCTGCATCAAGAAACTTCATTGATACAAGTAAAGTGCTTAATGATGTCACGGTAAACTTAGTTAGTATGAAGATGTGAGTAAAAACAAGCTGTGTGAATATATCCTTGCTCCCTGTGTCCAAATATTGTTAAGACTGTTAATGTCAATAGAAGTAATCTTTCATTGGCATTCAATGACACATTTAGAAGAAAGTCTTAACTTGTTAATCTTACTCTCCTCAATTTTGTTTGAATATTTCTGGTATTTTAATCTGTTAATTGGAATCCAAACCAGTTTTTGTTGTGTATATTATGTTAAACTTTATAAAATGTTATGTGATAACTATTCAATAAAACATAAAGAAGACTATGTTCATTTTCTTTGCCCTCAATTTTTCCTTTATTTCAAGTATTATGAAATTATTAGTTCCTATTTGTCAGATACTTTGTATTTTAAGACCTCTGGAGTGACCATAAACAGATTGAAACATATTTCTTATTTTGTACAATGGATACGAGACTAAAATTATATTTCTTATTATAAAAAGATCAAAAAGATGGAAATGTGTTCAATCATCCCGATTTAGATATATGGCACCCTAACTTTCTAGCAGACGACATCAAAATATCACTTACAACAATAGAGTTAATGTCTTGTAGTCTGTAGTAAGGTGACGTTGTGAGTTGTTTCCCTTGAGGTTAACAAGAGGTCAACAGCTGGAAAAGTTTTTTTTGTAAACAAACGAAATATTGCTGAGATTATTACAGAGTTTTCAGAGAGGAATTGAATGCTTCCTCATCAAGATATGAATATTTCCAGCTACAGTGCCATTGAAAGTTATGAATGCACCAATAAAGCTACCATTTTTCGCGGTAATAATAATAAATTTTTGTTTATTGCATGAACAGCTGTTAGAGGACAGCAAAGTTTTAGCTCACAACACTGTCCAACCAAACTGCCGCCACTGGCACTGGCATTGGCACTCTAAATAAATTATCTGTTTCTTCACCTAGACAATCATTTCTATATCAATTCATATATCAGCGGTAAAAAGTAGCGAGACGCCGAGAAAACTATCGGAAATATACCGACCAACTAAGCTTATAAATGTCAAGATTCGCTTTGGAAAGCAAAATCTCAGGGTAGAGACAGGTTGATTAAAGGCAGTGGCTATTTACCACTGCCTTAATTAAATGACATTGTCAAAAGGGTACAGAATCTTATAGCCATATGTCTTGTTTTTTAAGGTGTGAAAGAAGAGTATACTACATCAGTTCAATCATTTAAACCAGTATTAGATAGTTATCAGACTAGTAACAGTTCCATTGATACAACCAACAGTCAACCGGGTTTATATAGGACTGCTACTACGGCCAGTGCCTTCAACAGTAACCCAGCTGCTAACTCTCAACCACTTCTGTCTCTACATCGAGGATCAAAACATGCACAAGTCAGATCATTCCAAAGAAAATCTGAAAAGGCAGATAGTCAAGAAGATAAATCAAAAACAGACAACCAGTGTTTTCCAAATCAACGTGCCTTACAAGACAGTGTACTAGACTTTCAGTCTAATCACAATTTTTGTGATAACCCTATCCCACCATACAGAAGGCAGCCACCGAGGTTAAATCTCCACAGACACTCTGAAAGGATGCCAAAGTTACCTTTCAGACGTTATTCATCCCCACCAGTTTATGAATCTTGTCAGCAAGATTTTCCTGATTATTGTGATGACATCCAATCTAATTACCAAAGACGATATAGTGATAATGAATCATCAAGACATCACAATGGTTCTATAAGATATAGTCCATTACAGTCGAGAGGTCGCTCAGATAATATTCTTAGACGTCATTCCTTACGAGGAAGACATGAAACAAGGCCATCATTCTCTTCATTTGAAGCAAGACATGATTTTAAATGTGATCAAGACTATTATGAGACATCACGATGGAACTACAGAACATGATGTCTAATCATCAATAACGAATATTTTTTAGTCTGTATTGATGGCCTAATGTTGCTTTTCCTCTTTGAAGATCAAAGACAAGAATATTTCACATACTTTTTGAAAGGTAAAAAAAAGTTTAACCTTTAATACTAACAGAGAATTATCAAAAAAGAGAATCAAACTTTTTATTTTCAGAATCAAGTACTGTACCTTGATTAAACTGATATTGCATAATTTTGTTATTTAAACAACATTCCATATAGTCTTTTATACAATATTCCATGAACATTCCTTGAACTTTTATTCAATAATTTGTTATTACACATGTTGAATTTTGTTATCTAATTTATTTTAAGTTATGCTAGTTCACAGTCTATGAACATTATATTTATATAAAGTTCCAGAATTAAAGTCACAGAATATTTCGGCTTTATCTGGTTTAATTTGATGCTTTTCATTTTGTACCAAAAGCCTAGTTTATGAATCAAGAAATCAAAACTTGTTTTTTTTTTTTAATTGTGAAAATTCTATAGGCCTACATGGGTTGTCAACCTTTTTCTCTCTATACTATTACTGCTTTCAGGATTCTTGATCAATTGCATAACCCCCTTCCTCCTTTAAATCCTTACTATTTCTCGGTTTTCTCTTAGATCTATTTAGCCTGACCGAATAAGGCGACTTAAATTATAATTGTCAAAAGATTTATGCTACACTACTTCATTACTCCCCCAAAAAATCAATATTACCCCCAGGTTGAGAACCCCTGCTTTAACAACTCGAGTTCCAGTCAAAACTATTGTTGCCGTGTTAGCTCAGTTATGCAATTATTATTTGATTTTGTTTTGTTTTGGTTGTTGGTATAAATAAATTGTTCTATAATGTTTGATTTTCATTGTTTCTTTTAAAGCTAGGTTTTGTCGTATCATTGCAGAGTTCCCCTTTGAGATGAAAGGTTAATCTTTTATAGTCAAAAGTCAATAGATTCCAGATTATACATAACAGAGACATGACTTTTGCAATACACAAATAAGTTAAAACAAGTTAGTACTCGTCTCCACTCAGGAGTGCTCTCAAAAATAATTCAAAAACAGGTACATGTTTTTTTATAATTATCTTTACATCATCACCCTTATGGTAAATATTTGTAGCGCAATTATTTCATGTAGTTATTATGAATGATGGTACTTTAACACTTGCCATAAAAAAGTACCAATAAGCAATTACAAAGATTATGTTTTAAATAACCACTTGTCAAATGCCTTTATCCTAACAGTCAAGTGCTGGCTCGATATATCGCGATACGATATGCCAAGATATGCATATCGAATCGCAAGGTCATGTATCGATAATTGACGATACTACTCAGTCGATAAAAATTGAGGATTTTTAAACAGTCGGCGAATGTTTCTAATCTAACTGAAATGGTTGGAAACTTAAGACATTAACCACATCAACTACCAAATAACCAAATATCACAGTTACATATGTATCGTATGGTGACCCTTGTTTCTCAATATGTATCGTACCATGGTCTGATCGGCGATACCCAGCAATCCAGCATTTGCCAACAGTCTTGGCTATTGTCCATTGCTGTTAAAGCACCGTTCTCCTGCAACATTGCGTTTTGACAAAATTAAAGGGTGAGATAACAGAGTTTATTGTATAATTAAATGTTTACAAATTGGTTTAATATTCTTCTCCCTCTCCTTCTTCTCCTTCACCTTCAACAGAATCAACTCCAACTTCTTCATAATCTTTCTCAAGAGCAGCCAAATCTTCTCTCGCTTCAGAGAATTCACCTTCTTCCATACCTTCACCGACATACCAATGGACGAAGGCTCTCTTAGCATACATTAGATCAAATTTATGATCCAGACGAGCCCATGCTTCAGCTATAGCAGTGGTATTACTTAACATACAAACAGCTCTCTGGACCTTGGCTAAATCACCTCCTGGTACAACAGTTGGTGGTTGGTAGTTGATACCGACTTTAAAACCAGTTGGGCACCAGTCGACAAATTGGATGGTTCTCTTAGTCTTGATCGTGGCAATAGCAGCATTGACATCCTTGGGTACAACATCACCGCGATACAACATACAACAAGCCATATATTTACCATGGCGAGGATCACATTTGACCATTTGATTAGCTGGTTCAAAACAAGCATTGGTAATTTCAGCCACAGATAGCTGTTCGTGGTAAGCCTTTTCAGCAGAGATAACTGGAGCATAGGTAGCCAAAGGGAAATGAATACGTGGATAAGGTACCAAGTTGGTCTGGAATTCTGTAAGATCTACATTGAGAGCACCATCAAATCGTAGAGATGCAGTAATAGAACTAACAATTTGTCCGATCAATCGGTTTAAATTGGTGTAAGTTGGTCTTTCAATATCCAGATTTCTTCTACAGATATCATAAATAGCTTCATTATCTACCATGAAAGCACAATCAGAATGTTCCAATGTAGTATGGGTGGTAAGAATTGAATTGTAAGGTTCTACTACAGCTGTCGAAACTTGTGGAGCAGGATAAACTGCAAACTCTAATTTAGACTTCTTCCCATAATCAACACTCAATCTTTCCATCAATAAGGAAGAGAAACCAGATCCGGTTCCACCACCAAAACTGTGGAAGATGAGGAATCCTTGAAGACCAGTACATTGATCAGCTAGCTTCCTGGTTCTGTCAAGAACCAAGTCTATCAGTTCTTTACCAACAGTGTAATGACCTCTAGCATAGTTATTAGCAGCATCTTCTTTACCAGTGATGAGTTGTTCAGGATGGAAGAGTTGACGATAAGTACCAGTTCGGACTTCATCTACTACTGTTGGTTCTAGATCCACAAATACAGCTCTAGGAACATGTTTACCAGCCCCAGTCTCGCTGAAGAAAGTGTTAAAGGAATCATCACCACCTCCAATAGTTTTATCAGAAGGCATCTGACCATCAGGTTGGATACCATGTTCTAAACAGTACAACTCCCAACAGGCATTGCCTATCTGGACACCAGCTTGACCAACATGGATAGAGATGACCTCGCGCTGAAATATAGAATATTAGGTAATTAGACTAGGGAATGATATAATAGCAGTTGAATTGATTCGTGAAAAAGAGACGAAGTGAAATTTGGTTAATTTTTGGAGCTAACTATTTCAATCGGACAAAAGCTTGACTCATGCTGTCGATAAAAGGCGTACCGACATGGGAATAACTGTTCGATGTTCTCACTTCAGATATTAGGCCTATATGCAAATTTAGCAGAATACATCCCTGACGATATACTGAGAAATGCAAACTAGTAAAAAACAAGAAATACTTACCATTTTGAAATTTGGTTATTCTTTTTACAGGAGAAATGTAAACCTTGTTGTAGATGTTCTAATGAACAGTAACAAGTTTTAATGTTGATAGAGAAATTAGTATGTTATAGGTTAATTTATACCCTTTAGTTAATCTGAAATCTAATGTTGATAGTTACTGTTGTGTATGGTTACCCAGATTATCGGATTTAGTTAATCTTAGTTTAATAATTAGATTATCGCGAACCATGATTGTTACTGAAGTTGTGATTTTGCCGCATTTCCAAGTTATCAACTGTCAATCTCGCTCAGAAAATATATGTATCAATATCACTACCTTTTTCAAATGATTGAGAGCTATGACGTTAAAGGTGGTCGTTTTGAGATGTTTGGAGATAAATATCCATCAGATGTCCATGATACTATTGTTTATGAAATAGAGTTGGTTTGATCTGAAATATTTCGGCACTAGCTGATTTTCTTGTTAAAAGGAGTTGGCTTGTATGATAAATTGTGACGGTCATAAACTGGTAATGTTTTCTGGAATTACAGTAACCACATACGTCGAAAGGAAAATGAAATTGTTCATATCATATAAGCTATGATATACATACTAAGACTAGAGAATTACTTTGAACCACTTTAAAGTCATAAGAAGTTTACAAAATACTATTAAGAATATAATTCAGTCGTGTTTTTAACAATTTATTCCCCTGATAGAGTACATGTTATTATAGGCTTCGTCCAGATTCCATCTCCACCACATGTTATGATACCATCATTTATTTGATCATAACCATCTTTACAACTATAAATACATTCATTTTCAAAGGTATAACCAGTACAGGAATCTAATTTGGCGTTTGTAATTTGTATTTCAGGTTCACCACAATTAATTTCACACGAGGACTGTAAAATACGAATGCATAACATAATATAGTCTATTAATATCAACGCCAGAAATTGTTGAAATCTAAACTAACAGTAACAGTGATCCAATTTGAAATTTCATTAATAGAGAAATGATCATTCCTTCACGTTTACAAAAGATGTAAAGACGTACCCCATCACACACTTTAGAACAGGTAGCAAAAGTGCATTGGAATGTTACTTCTGGACTTCCGGAAAGATGAAAACCTTGGAAATAAGGACTTCTAAAAGTGGAACCCTTGATCATAAAACCTTCCGACTGCTTAAATATAATACCATCACCACATCTATAAGGAAACATTACATTATGAAGTCTTTTGATTTAAGATCCACTGGAACAAGAAATCCACTTCATCAGTGCAAACCGACCAATTCAACATCCAAAGACAGAAGTGTAACAGCCAGTTTAGGTAGCAAAATCAAGCAGCTTGAGTAAATTTTACATGAGTTGGATTTGTCAGATTGATGCTAATTCCCCCAATTTGTTTTTACTAATGACGTATTGGCCACTTACCCAGCTTTCAGTAAGTCGTAGGAATCATTTTTACCAGAAATAACCTTACAACTAACGGGTCTTAATCCTATCGGTACACCTGGAATAATCATGTAAGAAATTAAAGTTCTGTTACTTTGATCCACATCAAAAGTGATCACTTTTTGATTTTCCGAACAAGATCTTAAGTGATGTTTGATTGATTTATTTTGATTCTTTGGCACATTTGATCTCTACTATTGTCAAGGTTACTTGAGCACATGATTTTCCATAGAAATTTACCAAATTGCTGCATCTATTCTGTGAGAATCTGATTAATCGCTTAATGTATTTAACAATTACTGAAGACCCAATTTGCCATCTGTTGCTCGTGGTCTAGTTTTTACTAAAATTGAATTTGATGGAAATCTGCCACTCCAGTCGATTAAAGTTGCAAGAAGCGGTCAACTTTCGGACATGAGCATTTTCCCTTATGTCGACTTAGGTTCGATGAGATGAGCCCACCTTTATTATACCACTAGAATCTTACTCACTCTTTGTATCAATCCAAGTTCCAAAAAGAGAATATTTTCTATCTAGAGTCATTGGTTGATTGACAAGATCTTGATCCAAAACGTTCTGTACTGTGAGTTTAACATTAGAACTATCTAGAACTGGTGATACATAACTATCAGATAGCTTTGAACCATATAAACTGGAATGGGAACATATTAATGAATTACAAGCGATAAGATTTTCGACAGTATCGAATAAAAAGGCAAGCATCGCTTATTTTACATAGAATGAATTTTTATTTATTTATCACCAGAAAGAATGTTCTTGCAAATGAGTTTTGTTCCAAACCGTCTTTATTCGTCTTCCTGAAGAAAGCTTATTTCTGTCACTTTTTACTAGAAATTTCATCTGTATTTTGATTTCATATATGAGGTTATTAGTGGTAGTTATGGCCAAACCCCCTTTTTTAAATATAAAGTTAGATACTATTTTATAAATATGACCTTTCTGATAGGTGAAAATGTTTTTTACCCTTTCTTTTAAATTTCAAGTAAAAGACAGGTATGACTTCATATTCAATGATGACAAAGAGGTCCTCATGTTTAAATCGTCGATACATGGTGATAAAACATCATCGGCTAATACACAATCCTATATACTTACCCAGGTATGATATGGTGTATTTTAGTTATATTAGAACTATAATCATCATAGGTACAGGTTACAGTATAAATAGATGTTTTATGATGTAGTATATAATTATCTATTGTTATATCTACTGTATATGTATTGATACCTTGTTTCCTCTGAAAATACACAAAGACAGGCGAGTGTTAGGTTTCCTGTTTTGGGGCAAACAACAAACATCAGTGATATGACAGAGGGTACACGATAAGCCTCTTTAGTCATCGTATTTACCTATGAAAGGTTGACGTTGTCATGGAAGACAGTTACTTACAAAGAGTTGACATCGTCTAGGAAGACAGTTACTTACAAAAAGTGGACATATTCCAGGAAGATAGTTACCTACAAAAAGTTGATATCGCCTAGGAAGACAGTTTACAAAAAGTTGACATCGTCAAGGAAGACAGTTGCTTACTAAAAGTTGACATCGTCTAGAAAAACAGTTACTTACTAAAGTTATCATCGTCTAGGAAGACAGTTTACAAGAAGTTGACATCGTCAAGGAAGACAGTTGCTTACTAAAAGTTGACATCGTCTAGAAAAACAGTTACTTACTAAAGTTATCATCGTCTAGGAAGACAGTTTAAAAAATGTTGACATCGTATTGGAGGACAGTGACTTACAAAAAGTTGACATCCTTGTTGATAAGACTACGTACTTACTCACGATGTAGGGTATGTTTACTGTTCTTAGCTCAACTAGTGGACATCAGTTGTGGCTGTGAGTTACTAACAAAGTTTGTTATCGTCGTGTATTAAAGTAACTTACAAATAGTGGACATAGTTCTGGATTTGAGTTACTAACAAAGTTTGTTATCGTCGTGTATTAAAGTAACTTACAAATAGTGGACATAGTTCTGGATTTGAGTTACTAACAAAGTTTGTTATCGTCGTGTATTAAAGTAACTTACAAATAGTGGACATAGTTCTGGATTTGAGTTACTAACAAAGTTTGTTATCGTCGTGTATTAAAGTAACTTACAAATAGTGGACATAGTTCTGGATTTGAGTTACTAACAAAGTTTGTTATCGTCGTGTATTAAAGTAACTTACAAATAGTGGACATAGTTCTGGATTTGAGTTACTGACCAAGTTTGTTATCCTCGTGTATTAAAGTAACTTACAAAATTGACATCTTTGTGGATGTGAGTTACTGGCAAAGTTTTTATCGCAGTGTATTAAAGTAACTTACAAAAAGTTGACATCTTTGTTGATGTGGAGTAAGAGAAGCTGAAAGTTGATATTGTACAAAATCTTTCGTTAGAAATTTCTGTTGTCCATTAACACAATGGGCTGTAATATCAACAGTGGTATCGGATAGTAGTAGAATTTTGGGATCATTATCTGTTAAATTACCACAAACTGGACGTACTGTAAACAAAATAGATGTTATGTATAAACTATGTGCTGAAGCAATGAAAAATGGTTTATGAACATTACCATCTTTGATTCTCCAAACAAGGCGCAAAGTAATTATGCTTTTTCCATCTTACTCTCACCATAACTATTAGAGGCACAATATAAAGTCAGTAAGTTTCAGACTAGATGCCATCATACTTACCATATAGAATTCCATTATCAGTAAGATTATAAATATCAGATCTGTGAGGTATTGGATGCTCATCTTTTCTATCCTTTTCTGATTGGTCAAATTCAGTATCGTCTGGTAAACCAAATTCTTTTAGATACTCATCCGGAATATCATTTTTTTCGATATCCGTCTGTACAATTTCACTTAACTGTTGACCTGGAACGAAGGGCTGTATAGAAAATTCCTCAAATCAGGAACAACATTCAATAAATCCGAAAACAAAACAGAACGGAGAAGGAAAAGAACAGAAAGGGAACACAAAACAGAATGGAGAGGGGAGAGAAGAACAGAACGGAGAAGGAACAGAACAGAAGGGAACACAGAACGGAATGGAGAGGGGACAGAAGAACTGAACGGAGAAGGAACAGAACAGAATAAGACAAAACAAGAACAAGAACCAGATCTAAACCACAAACACAAACACAACACATCAGATCTCTTATCTTAACCGAAATCTACATTCAAAAAGTATAGGTAAAAAAAAACTTACACATCCACTGTAACAATTTAGTTATATCACTAATAGAATCTTTGACTAATAATTCTGTACATTTCTTATCAAATGTATTAAAACACTGTAAAATATCATCTATCGATCTGAAACAGTAATGATAGTGAATGAAAATATCAACAATCTAGTGAAAAATGTTCTATTCATATCAACATAGTGTTTTCATGAAGACCTAAATGCGAAAAATTGGTTAAGTTTTCTGAAAAGTGCGCTCTATCTGAAACCGTGAACCATCCTCAAACCTTAATAATCTTTGTAATCTTAAACTTACCTACAGATACTGAACATAGCATCTTTGTCGTCATTCATCAATGGAATTGAACAGATTTCTATCCCTTCCTGACATTCTTCCAAGAGTACCAGAGTTTGATTGTCGATTGTCTTAATGTTGTCTATCGTCTTAAATATGAATGGATTCTCATCAGGGTCCTCTGTTTTGTCAATGGTCGGATCGGGTTCAGAGGTAATTTTGTGTTCAGATTTATCCATTGGAGATTCTGTCATAGTTTCCGATTCACATGGAAACGTGATCGCTACAACAAACAATGATATGAAAATCATACCTTCACATCACAGTGCCTCTAGGATATAATTACAATGTAGTAATAATTGATCGCTAAAATTGCCGCATACAATTCGGAAATATGCTAGTGGATTCGGGGTTGACAGAAAATATACAATGCACTGTATTGTTTTGGGCTGTCTGTTACAGAAGCTTCTATTGATTTTAGACAGTGATATTTTGATGTAATGATGTTGTATTTCTAGCGCTTTCAACAAAAATCATTCTTTGGCTTTCCTTATTTTTTAGTGTCAAATTAAACAAACTATTTGATTAATTGGTGTTTCTAATGAATTATCGATATTATTAATCATAAATGTCATGTATGTACAGTCTGGATAAACAAAAAAAAGACTTTTTGACTTTTCTCGGTCGGTCACTCATTGGAATTCTGCTGGTAATTCTCTTGTAATTTAGCTAATTTATTTAAATTGTTTCTATTCATATAAATATTAGTATTTTCATTTTCATAAATGGGAACCTTTCTTTAAGTGGTATACTCAAACTGCCAAGTAAATAAATTTTACTGAAAGCTGAAAAGAAATATTTTCAACTAACCATCTATTATTAGTGAGGCTGAAATTCTATATGACACTGGAAGCTGAAATACAGACAATGTTTCTTTCATCGTTAAAAAAAGGAAAGTTCACACTTAAAGTCTAAGCAGTTATCATTGAAGATTTTTATAAGAACGTTGTCAAAGTTTTTTCGAAGTAAGTAGTAGAAATTCTGACCAAAGTTTCCTGTCTTCACTATCAGATTTGTGAAACATTAGGTCAGTCACAGAGCTATGTAAACACGATTATTCTATCTTGTTGGAGGGCTAAAGAACATGGCTTAATTTAAAATATTACCAATGAAGTTCAGCAGGTATTACAAAATCGTTTTTAAACGATCTCTGTGTGGCTATTCAAAAATTGTATTGAAGTTTTAATTCAACAAAAAATATCTGACTTACTGAACACATAGTTATAATCCAATATATCATAGTTCTATTCATTATAATTCATGTATTACTGTATCTGGAAGTTATATCCAAACATTCAAATTCTATTTCTTATGTTTCAAACGAAACAGTTTACATGACAGTCTCCTTAAAGTGACAATAACGTATTCAGTTAGTGGTATTATGAAAGGTGTTCAGATGTGTTTGTAATATTCTGTGTTGACTACATCTCATTATTAACAGTTCTGATTAGCTATAAAGAATAATCAAAATTCGGTGGAAGATACTCATGGCATAGAGTTTGTTAGTGATATTGAACAAAGAAACATCAAACATCAAAAATTCGTATTATTGACATAAAACAGCAAATAAATACAATGTAAACATCAACATGAATATAACAACATGTCTTGACACTGTAATACACAAATTCATAGTCACAAACAAAAATCTGTAATCTACAAGCATATAATCGCTCACAAATTATGATGGGAAAATGTTAAAAATTTGTGATGCAAGACGACATTCGGAATATCAGTCACCATCAGTAGTATGACTGGTATTCCTGAAATTTTGTGACATTATAATCTGAAATCATTTATTCATGCGATCCATGCTATAACTATATATATATAAACATTAGATTTTGATAATTATTGATATGTGATACAAGGCACACATTTTATGGTCTGTGATATCAGAAATGTCTTTTTGATTTCACTAGGATAAAATTGAAGTATGAATGTGGGAAAGTCCTGGTATCAAACACAATTTCGAAACCAGATGTCATCGATGCTGAATAATATTAGTCGATCCATTTCATTTGTTGTGTCACTTTGATATCATTAAAAGGTGTTGCTTTTAGTACCCGTTTATCATTAACATGTAAGGGAATAATGTACGCTTTTATCACGCATGAGTTATAGATGTGTCACACATGAGTCATAGATTACGAGTCACACAAGATTCACAAAAGAATATGCAATTCCTAGCTACATAAAAGATTATGTTGATTCATAAGAGGGATTAGTAAAACCACTGGACATAGCATCTGCTGTGGAATCAAGTTCATAAACATTGTTATGTTTGGTTCGATATGGCCAGCCTCTGAAATATACGATACGAAAATGAAATGAAATGAATGGAGTTTTACGTCCATTTAGGACGAAATACGATACGTGATCAATTAGTTATAACCTTCTGATTTGAATTTGACGTTTAAGTGACCTTCCAGATCAACAACAATGAAACGTTTTGGAATCTTTCAGGAGTGAGTCAAAAATCTTATACCGGTTATCTGAGTATTTTTAAATCACACTACCTCTTTCAGGGCCAGATAAAAAGCCTTTTAATACATGGCGTCAGTGTTCGCCATCAGTTGCTTTCGTTCACAAGTAGAAATATACCAGTATACCTACCGTCTATATATTAAAAAGGTTAAACATAATATAATAACTATAATTATACCACCAGTAACACTACCTATTACAACAGATTGAGATGGTGTACCCGTCTGTTTATTACTATTAACTGAAAAGACAAGACATAGAACTCAAAACTAACCATCGACTATTACCGTGTTATTCTGGACACTTAACACCAACATAAAAGTGGTTCTTGTTGAATCGAGTTTGTCTTAAACATTAAAATGCGCCAATCAAGTTTGGTCCAGTTGAGCTTTACCATTGGTGGGGTGTTGCAGCATTGAAAGCAGTCATGTAACACTTAAAATAGTCTATTACCCAATGATTGTGTATCTACAGTATGTAGTTCTTCCTACCTGCAACTTGTCGTTGGCAGATGATCTCATTTCCAGACCAAGTACCATCAGCTAGACATCGTCTAAAGAAATTACCACTAGCTACTTGATAACCTTGTTTACAAGACTGTTCACAAATACTGCCAAAATCTCTATTATTACATTCTGGTGACAGTTTACCGTTTCTGGGTATTTTAAATGTAGGGCATGATACAGCTGAAAATAACAATAATTCATTTTTTTCCGCAGTTGATTGCATTTTTACCTGCTTTTCAAAACTCTCTTAACTCTCCTTGCTATGTCACTAGTTGTGTACATCATCATTATAGGCATAACCCGACGCTTAAGACATATCAAACTGCATATGAAAAAGCTATGGATACCTACCTGTACATGTTGCTCCGTTCAGTTTCCAAGCAACAAGCTCGTTAGCTTTACCATAAACTTCACAAGTTACTGTAGATAATCCATTCAGCTTGTAACCGGTATTACAACCAATATTACACTGAGATCCATAATAGTTAGTACACGTCGTACTGGTAATACGACCGTTCATTGGAGGTTGTAGCGGTAAACACATCTTAACTAAGATAAACGATAATACAGCATCGTAAATTAAGTACCCTGATTGTAAAATTGGATTTGTGTGATTGTGTCTAAAATTGGCCAAGACGTTATCAAATGCATCAATATTTAAAGAACATAATATAAAGGTGTAAAAGTGGATCTTCATGGTTTCTGTTTTCAAACTTTGCAAGTTTACAGGTAGGTTCAAATTGCTGAAAAGCTCAAAATAACATCACTTTTTTGATTTTGAACGCAAGTTGACACCCTACGAACATGAGAAAATGTATATTAGTATAATATAACCTCACTTAATAATTATGTAGTCCTCGCTGACTCCAATTATTACTTGGCTAAGCTTTCAGATGATAGACAGGGATCATGCAAGACCAATCTACAGCAAATTACGAAGACTTTCAACATATTTTGTCATGAAAGAAATCGACAAACCTTTTACATTGACTGTGAAGGAGCAAATGGCAGTCATGTGTTTACTATTTGTTGCCTGTATATTGATCACATGTTGACCACTGGACAGTGTGACCGGTGGTGTCATACTCTGAGTAATAGTTGCTTTCTGACCATTTGTATCAACAACGCTGGGTACTTCCCATGTTACTGTAGCTGTTGTTTTATTGAGATCAGCTGCTACAGATAAATCTGCTGGACAAGTTAATGGTAATGATCCTGAATCTGAAAGAGACAGCAGAAATTAATCATTAGGTGTCTCTTGATCTGAAAGAAACTCTGATAACAAAAACTCTTCAACAGTTCAACATCGGATCTTAAAATGCCAGTCTGTCCGACAACAGATCAGAAAGGGTTTTAAAGTGTTCGAAAACTACAGTTTTCTACTCAATTTTACCACAAAACAATGATGGTATAGCTAAACAATAGTCTAGATAGTCAATAGATGCTACAACATCAAGTTTGGAATCCTACTTGTACAGGACATGGGATTGATAGTGTTACTCCATTGTCCATTGGTCATACAAGTTACATCATATTTTACACCATTCATACAATTAACATGACAAACATCACCAATATTACTGGTTGGTGGACAGGTTATTTTACTATTTACTGGAGCTTTAAATGATGGACAGGAACGTCCTAAATAAGCATAATAAAATTGTCGTTTTAGCATCGTTTCAATCTTATGATTTACCACGAATCTATTTGAGAGTTAAACACAAAAAAATCATTGACATCAACTGTAAATAGTTTCGTTTTTTTTCAGAATTGCTATGGGTATACTTGAGCTAAATATGTAAGTCGTTCTCACTGACACACCTTTACAGTAGAAGTTGGAAAAAGTAAATACGGGGAACGGGTACAGACACGATTCGGTTCTACATGTAATTCTTTGAGACAAAAGTTAATAAGACGCGTTATAATAAAAGCGACAGGTGAGCCATTTTTTGTTAGGGGGGGGGGGGGGGGCGAGGGTGGTAATTTTAGTCTTAAGAAGTACTAGAAATGTACGAAAATCACATAATTCCTTATAAAATATTTCAAACTAGCACTAGTACTATCCGAGATAAGATATTCTTACCTTGTTTACAGGTTGTTTTATCCGACTGTAATATAAAGTTATCAGGACACAAACACTGAATATTGTTGTTGCCAGCCGGTACACAGATATGACTACAACCTCCCCTAGCTTTGCTACATAATGAACTTCCTAAAATATCATTAGATAACGGGGTAAAATAAGGGTACGTGATTATGAACAGCATGAAACTCCGATTTGGGTTAAGTAAGATGAATCAAATCACATTAAACAATTAAATTGCGTTTTGTAACGTCCAGGGAATATTTGTATGGAAAATTAACTGAACAGATAAGTATCTTTTGGTAAATTGTAAACTATTAAAAAATTTTAGGTTTAGTTTACTTACCTGACTGACCTGCTCCATTTACATGAACGTGTATATCGTTTAATCTACCATAATCAGGTGCCCCAAACACTTGTGGGACATGAACACTGCCATCTACGTTTAGGGTCATAACAGATCTACAAATGATAATAATTACAATAGATTACCTATTCTTTGGAATCTTCCTGCTGACAATGTTGAAATTTGTTGGCGACGATCATTATATTTGATCTGTTGGTTAGAGCTGTCAGAAATATTGGGAGTTGCTTTTATTTTGAATGAATGGACGAGTCTTAAACATACACAATCCGAATCCATAAAAAAACCCCAGAGCACAAAAAACACTTCTCAAACTATGCAAAACTCTTGACGGTAAGCAAGCAATCGTCAAACTCGTTGAACCATCTCGCGTCTTTCGATGTTCACAAAAACAAACTTACGCTGTTGCCCAATCAGCATAATATAAATTATTATTATAGTAAGTAATGCCCATAAAATGTGAGAGTTTGGCTGAATGATATAAGGTTTGTCTATTGGTACCATCTAAATTGGCCATCTCTATTTTCATTGTTCCACCATCAGTCCAAAACATCCTGGTATCTACGGTAAGAAAAATTTCAATTATTAACTATTCAATATTTTCAGTAACAAATATAAATAACTGCACAGGTCAATAAAATGAAATCTGTGTAAATAATCGTTCTTATGAAAATGATGGTGATGTTGGCCATACCGCTGCTGCTGATGATGATGATGGTGTAATATTAACGAGGTCGATGATGGCCATACTGTTGCTGTTTCTGATTATGATGATAGTAATACTACTGCCGCTGCAGTTGATGATCATGGTGTAAGATTAACAAGGTTGATGATGGGATGATGGCCATACTGCTATTGATTCTGATGATGATGGTTGCGGAAGATGGACGGGTTTGATGATAGTGATACTAGTGCTGTTACTGCTGCTGATGCTGGTTATGATAATGATTATGATGGTGTAAGATGAATGAGGTTGATCGTGATACTGATGATAATGGTACCGATGTCTAAGATGATTGTGGGTGACGATACGATGTTGACTCTCGATACTTGGTGGTTCAAGAATATATCTAAGACGATCGTGTATGATGAAGCAACATATCATACAGTTTTAAACTTAACCGAAGATTTTGAAAATAAACAAAGAATTTCACACCGATATACAGAAAGTAATCTGAGATATAAGTTGCTTACGTGCAAGATCCAAAGTTAAGCCATTTGGCCATTTTAATCCAGTAGTTATTATAGCTTTGGTGCCACCTCCGTCATAATTAGCTACCATAATATTAGGCTGCTTTCCCCAATCTGTCCAAAACATTTTTCTGAAAAAGAACTCAGGCTGTAGAAAAGTAATTGACAGACCGTATTATAAGGAAATACAAAGAACTAGATGTAACTTGATTTAGACCGACAAAGCATGTCAGTCATTCCAGTATAACAGTTAGACCAGTGTACAGAGACTTCCATCTCATGTTCGAAATTCAACAAGAATTTGAACGAAAAAAAAAATCAAAAACAAAATACGACTGCTATGAGAAAATTAGATTTAACATACCCTTTAACCGGATCAAGAGCTATTGCCCTTGGTTCATCAAGTCCTTTGGTTACTAAAGTTCTGTGAGAAAACCCATCCATAGTCATGACGGCAATGATATCGTTCCCAGTATCAGTATAAAATATCAAACGATTGATAGAATCCACAGCTATACCATCTGGAACTGAAGCTGTAATAAGAGAAAAAATTATATTGTAAATGATTGCGGTTGAAATTCAATAGAACCTAATTTGTCAGTGTTAATTCACAAGATGTGAGCATTATCAAAAGGTTGTCAAGAATATTGATTCACATGCGTTCGCAGAAAAAGTATTTAGTGGGACGGATAGAAGAGTAATTAATCCGTAAACTTAAAAGAGTGAAGACAATAAAAATCATCCACAGAATAGGCGATGACCAACTTACATACGTATCATCGTTTAGTTGTTCAGTGACAATTTTCAGTCATTTTCAGGATATCTTGTAAAACATCTTGATGATTACGACCTCCTACAAAAGTGTTCCTCTATGCTTTTTGGACACCACGAGTACCTACCATTATTTAGTTGTCGTATAAGTTTCTCTGTACCACCATCAATGCTAGCGGTACGGATCTGTTGAGACTGTACATCAGTCCAATATAATTTCGCTTCTAAAGAATCATAATCCAGGGCAAAAGGATTGATATGGTTGGTGATTGGTATCGTCAGATAGCTTTTAGAATTCAGATCCATTCTATAAATTTTCTGAGTACCAGAGTCTGTGTAGATCAGGAAGTTGTTAGGAGTGCCAGCTGAAATTATCCAGATTAACAGATCAGGTAGGTCCTACATCTTTTCCCTTTGATACAATAGGCGTTATTTCATTCTTTGTTTTCATAAAATTACCAACTAAACCAAAATTCACATAAATTACAGCCACTAACGACAAATTGAGTATCATTCATGAACACATATTCATTCCGATCAAAGGCAGCATACATGAACTGGTATTGCAGATACTTACTGGAAGGACAAATAACCCCGGCATCTTGATTATGATTACATCTATGAGCGCCCCATCTGGTAAAGCTGCACTGTGCTACATTAGACTCTGTACCCCTACAGTTGACATTTTCTAACCATATTCTACCTCGACCACCTCCATAAAATGATTTAGTTTTAGCTTCTACACCAGTCCTATATACATAATAAGGTCATTACTATCGGCGTGGAATCCTCTAAAATTATTACTTAGTATTAATACTTACTACGATAGTCACTATGGCAAGTATTGCTAAGGGGGGAGAACCGTCTTGAAGCTCGTGATGTGTATTATATAGATAAATGTTTCCGATATGATGTATCTGAATAAAGATGACGAACCTTCCAAATCCCAACATGCCACAAATAACAGCAGCATCTCTAGATTCCCACATCGAATCGCAGATAGTGCCCCATTGTTTATTGTAATATACTTCAACACGACCTTCATATACCGAACTAATACCACTTCCGCTCAGGCGAACATACACCTGGCCGGGATCAACAGTTGGTGCAATATTAGTAACACCTGGTGTTGTTGATACTATATCTGTAATGTAATTTTACGTGTTTGGTTTAACTGAAGAACAGTCTCTACTGTCAGCTGTGACTAGACGGGTGACGTCCAGAGATCCAGATATACTCTTAACGGACCATACCAGATCAAACACCAATGCTTTCACGTGCTAGCAAGATACGAATGCTTATCCAGCCAATAGACAATACTCGCAACGGAATATTCTGAAGCCTTGATGATAGAATTATAGTGCCTGCATTGCTCCAGTGGGAAAATTGTCACTTACCATCAGTACATTGTACACCAACATCTTCAGAATGTCTACAGTTACTGTGTCCCCATGGTAAATGTCTACAGTCATCTATATCTACCTCATTACCAATACATTTAACATTATCTAGCCATATTGGCCCTGTACCCTGTCCAAACCTAGCTCTTGAAAAACTTCTAGCACCACGACTACAGGGATAGGTTAATGACAAGTTGTTTTATCTGACATTAAACTTTTCCCCGATCTTTGCTTTTAGTCATTACCATTAATATGGGCACAGATTGTAGTTTAGTCTAACAGGGTGTTAGAATAGGTAGCGTGTGGAGATCTGATGATCTGATGATCACATCTACTTATAATTCCACACAGCTTCGGTACGAATAATCCGAAGTTAATGTCAAGAGGTAACTGAAAAAAGAGACCCTCCGGAGACTAATTTGTCATCCATGTAACATACTGTCGTTCCTATCTTTTTCACACAGCTTATTTGGGACTTTCGGACTTTTGCATAAATAAAATAATCAGGAACTCTTTCCTGTTGAACATTTCTTTTCTTGTAAAAAAAGTTATTCTACTCACTAGGGTTTACCCATCATTTTACAAACAACAGATGCTGCTTTATTATTGAAGTAATCATCACAAACAGTACCCCATGTATTATTATGGAAAAGCTCTAGACGGCCTTTACTTGGATCACCATCAACAAGTCTTATTTGAATATCAGCTGAAAAATCATAGAAAGCAATATGAATGGAAACAGTTATTGGTTTGCCAGTGTAATATTGTCAATTCAAACTCTATATAATAGGGACACACGTGGATCACTTCTGTTTGGAGCCGGAGCATCGTCTTCGATTAATTAAAATTTTGACAAACAAGACTTCATGTTCTGTACACCGTGGACACTATACTGTGATTATGTTTGTCATGGGCGTAATGACTATAATGTACAATTTGGTGTACAATCAATTTCCCTCCCCTCTATAATTAATGACGATTGTTTTAATCATTCGGGAGGAAATATGGCAATTTCTTACAAAACACCGACACAAGACGAGTTTGAAGGCCCGTGTTTTGGATTTTGTGGCTATTGTGTATTGTTTAAACCTAGCGTAGGTATATCAACTTACAAGGTTTACAGATTACTCCCGCATCCTCTCTGTGATTACAGTTTGATTTTCCTATTGGTTTAGTTGAACATTCAAATATATTAGATTCACTTCCATCACAAGTTACATCATCCAGAAATATAGGACCAGATCCACGACCAAAAAATGCCCTTGTCTTCGCAACGGCACCACTCCTAAATGGAAATGTTTGTGAATACATTGAATCACTATTGGGACCTTTATACTGAAATGCTCTGGTATGTGCCTAGTGGAGTTAGATCGGGGGTTGGTTCTTGCTCTTTTGTGTCATTTGGTCTTTTAAATTATTAGTGTTATCAATCCAGATTTGCAAAATAACGAGAAGGTCATTGTAATAGATATCGCCCAGGAAGCCATTTCTGTTTTACCAATCCGTTCCGCGTAAAAGAGCAGAGGTATATGACTATGTGATGCCTTATCGATATATTCGAGTAATTCTATAGGTTTGGTGGCCACCTACCTTGAAAATCCCATCATAGCACAAACAACACTGGCTTCTCTAGAATCCCACATATCATCACATATAGTACCCCATGTATTATTTATCATGATCTCAACACGACCTTGGTTTGGTAATCCTCGACTATTAATAAGACGTAGTTTGGTGTTGGGAGCTGAAGGTAAAGTAAAAAGCTTGGTCTAATCAATTCAAAACTATTACATGTAGAAATAGTGTATATTGCAAATATGGTAAGAAACATTTTTTGTCCATATATTGGTTATGATTGTGGTTCTAGTAGAAAATTGCTACATTTCCTTTCCTGTTCCTTTTTATGGGAACACAGCTTTGTATATAAAGCTGTAAATATACCGATCAATATATAACACTACCTTTACACATAATACCAACATCTTCAGAATGTTTACAGTTACCCGTTCCCCATTTTCTGAATGAACAGGTATTGATGGATATCTCTGTTCCCGAACAGGATAGATCATCTATCCATATTGGTCCACTTCCTGCACCATAACGTGCCTTAGTAAAGGCAGTTGAGAATGACCTATGACACAAATAATATTGCAAAATATAATATGAAAATTAAAACTGTTTCTTGTAAAATAAAAAAACAGTACTGCAGATCTGAACTTCAAAACGAAACTCAAAACCCAAACCAATATACTTGCAATACATTGGTAGTAGCCAAATTGTTATATTCAATATTTTCTTCTTTTTTTTTGCTTTAATGGGATATTATGAATGCGGGTCAATTTTGACTTCGGATTGCTGGACCAAACGCGCCCTATTTATTATATGCCCCTCGTCTATCAGAAAGAATAAATCTAATCGGTACACTGAAGTACAGAAATAGGGAAATGAATACGTAGGAAAGGCTGGGAAGGAACCATCTCAGAAGTCTAACAAAAGCCACGAATTTCCCCTTTACACTTCTTTTTCGGAAATTCGGGATCACATATTTAGGAACCATCACAGAGCATAACTGTTTTTCCAGACTTAATGGTATAGATTTACTAATACCTACAATACATGCATAGGAAACACCCATAAGTCGATTTCAAGCCATTCCTCCATTATGTCTTCGAATTTAGTAATATATATAGATACGTGGTCCATAAGGGGTAATGAGCAACACACTCTTCCCGCCTGGCGTCCCTTCATGCTTCTATATGAGCAAATGTCTACTGTCACTGATGGAGTAAACCTATCCTGTGGCGTACAGGACATCAAACGCTATTAAACTTTTGTAAAATTGTGCAGGTAAACACGGCTAAGTATCAACAAATCAACCCACTGTTCGATTAGGGTTGTTGCATAAATTTGGATGCTAACAACTATGAATCAATTTGAAAATACCACTATCTATAAAAAAAAATTGGCCTTATTGGTTAAGGTACAACTGATTTTATGTTCAATGGGATCCATTAAACTCATACATAAGAAGATACAAGGTAGAACAATACCTCCACCACAGACAACACCAGCATCTTCCTCATGACGACAGTTAGTTTTCCCCCATGATCTGTGTCCACATTGTTCTATATTAGTTTCATTACCAATACAGTTTAACTCATCTAACCAGATTTTACCATGTCCTCTGGGAAAGAACCCTGCTCCTCTAGCTGTTACTTGTTCACTGAAAAAAAAGTTGATGGGAGATTTCAAATTGAAGGAAATTCAAACATCTACAATATTTAGCTTAGATCTCTCGACACCTTTTGCATAAAAATCGTCGGAACTTACGTCGTTTTATTCAACATTCTACAAACAACCCGAGCATTATTGGCATTCCAGTTATCATCACACAGAGTTCCCCATGTACCATTATAATATATCTCAACACGACCTTCATCTGGAGAATTACCATCTACCAACCTTACATTAACACTACTCTTTACTTCACTGGCTGAAATAGAAAATTACTTGCTTCACTGGCTGAAATAGAATACTTTACTTAACTGGCTGACATAGAACATTACTTCACTTTTTGAATTAGAACATTATTTCACTAGCTGAAATATAATATAACTTCAATTTAATAGCTGAATTAGAACATTATTTCACTAGCTGAAATAGAATATAACTTCAATCTAATAGATGAATTAGAACATTATTTCACTGGCTGAAATAGAATATAACTTCAATCTAATAGATGAATTAGAACATTATTTCACTGGCTGAAATAGAATATAACTTCAATCGGCTGAAATAGAATATAACTTCAATCTAATAGATGAATTAGAACATTATTTCATTTGTTGAAATAGAATATAACTTCAATCTAATAGCTGAATTAGAACATTATTTCATTTGTTGAAATAGAATATAACTTCAATCTAATAGATGAATTAGAACATTATTTCACTGGCTGAAATAGAATATAACTTCAATCTAATAGATGAATTAGAACATTATTTCACTTGCTGAAATAGAATATAACTTCAATCTAATAGCTGAATTAGAACATTATTTCACTGGCTGAAATAGAATATAACTTCAATCTAATAGCTGAATTAGAACATTATTTCATTTGTTGAAATAGAATATAACTTCAATCTAATAGCTGAATTAGAACATTATTTCACTGGCTGAAATAGAATATAACTTCAATCTAATAGATGAATTAGAACATTATTTCATTTGTTGAAATAGAATATAACTTCAATCTAATAGCTGAATTAGAACATTATTTCACTGGCTGAAATAGAATATAACTTCAATCTAATAGCTGAATTAGAACATTATTTCATTTGTTGAAATAGAATATAACTTCAATCTAATAGATGAATTAGAACATTATTTCACTGGCTGAAATAGAATATAACGTCAATCTAATAGCTGAATTAGAACATTATTTCATTTGTTGAAATAGAATATAACTTCAATCTAATAGCTGAATTGGAACATTATTTCATTTGTTGAAATAGAATATAACTTCAATCTAATAGATGAATTAGAACATTATTTCACTGGCTGAAATAGAATATAACTTCAATCTAATAGCTGAATTAGAACATTATTTCATTTGTTGAAATAGAATATAACTTCAGTCTAATAGCTGAATTAGAACATTATTTCATTTGTTGAAATAGAATATAACTTCAATCTAATAGATGAATTAGAACATTATTTCACTGGCTGAAATAGAATATAACTTCAATCTAATAGCTGAATTAGAACATCATTCCATTCATTAAAACAACACCTATCTAATATAACACTGATCAATAATAAATTATACGCTGATAGATTACGATTCGATGATGGAAAGGACCACCACTCTTCCTAATGTAATCTCATCAAGTGAAATAGAAAAAATATTGCATTGCTACAGCTCCTTGATATAGATCATAGCGGCTTTCTAGTAAACATGTTAAGATGGGTCAAAATTGACTTACTAACCTTGGTAGCAAATAACACCAGCTTCATGATTATGGTCACAATCGTTGAGGAAACTTTCCACATGACACTGTCCTAAATTATTCTCTGTACCAACACATTTCATACTGGCAAACAGTATACTTCCTTTACTGGCTCCATAGACTGACTGTTTTACTGCTTTCGCTCCACCCCTTCAATATTATCAACCAGAAACCTGTTACAACACTATGTTGCACTTCCAGTAATAATAATGTCATTGGTGAAACATGACCCTCCATTACCCTTTGTGGTGATAACAACTTTGAAAAGAATTTTGCTTTACCTCTTAACCTTGCACTACGATGATGAATGCAAGATAAGAATAACTGAAGCGCTTAAAAGTGCAAAGTGCTTAAAAAAAATAACAAAAATACTTACGTTGGGAATCCAAGACTTCTACAAACAACCGCAGCAGCATCATCAGTCCACTTGGTATCACAAACTGTTCCCCATTGAGAGTTTTTATATACTTCTACCCTTCCTTCCATAGCAGATGGTCCATTGGCTAATCTGACTTTTAGTGGAGTGAAACCAGCTGAAAATTTAACACAGAATGCCTAGAGTCAAACTAACATAACGGTCATCAATATCAGATTAATTAACGAGTTGGTTCAAGATGAACTATTTTCTGTGATTGTCCGAACAACAGGAGGATCTAGTTACCTATATAGAGCAATCATAATACACTATTAAGCCGGGCATATATATGCCTACAGATCATTTACCCAGAAGGGCAATAATATCCGGGAGTGGAGACAATATTGCCGTTCAACATAATTACTCATCTTTTAGAAGAGTAGCCTTTCTTTAAGATAAAGCTGAAATATTCTACCATTAGTACTGCTGGGACAAAACGATGAAGCACACTTACGATTGGTACAAACCATAGCCACATCTTCTTTATGATCACAATTAGTTTCACCCCATCCTTTAAATCTACATTTATCTATAGATGTTTCTTGTCCAGTACATTCTAAATCATCCATCCATATTGGTCCTCTCGTACTACCAGAAAAACTTCTTAATGTCGCTTCACTGAGAAAGACACGGCAAATATAAGGATGGGTATAGCGACGTCATACTAATCTACATGTATATGTACCTTCTAGAACTTCAGAACCACACAGAGCATTATGATCCATTATTCAAGACTGCTTGACGCGCAATATCGTCTTCAAATGATGAATCTGGACCTGTGATTTCCCCTCGACAATGTCAATCTTTCTACCAAGGGTGGAATGCATAGTATGATAATTAGAGCCCAATAGGTTGCATCTGTCAAATCTATCATTGATATGCTAAATCCTCGATTCTGTGGAATATTTTGTACATAGAATTAGAAACAATATAGTGCGGCATTTTTCAAAATCAAGGTCTTGTAAGGCTGATTTGATACGATTTGACACCAAGATCAATTGATCCTTTCAAGTTGTAATGCATTTTGTACGTGACATCTTCTTGTGGTACCTCCTTGAGACGAACTGCGGTGTTGGTACTTACGTATGGAGGTCAATTTGCGCCATTAATTCATTCTCTACCGATTTGTCTAATTCACTGATTCAAAGACAAATGTAAAATATCTTATTACCTATTACTTATAATTCAAGCAACATAATGATTGAAATGCTAAAATCAAATGTTTATATTCACATGTAACTTAACTAAAGTCCTTTCAAATAGTTTATTTAGCATCTTCCAAAAATCTTTAATGATAAACCACCGTCCTTTTTGATAAATATCAGAAGTATATTTTAAACTGTAAAGTGTCATTTCTAAATTGGAAAATGTTTGTAGTAAAATGATAAGTGCAACTTCTTTAGTGTATTATGTCTTCTGTTTTATCTCAAATGAATTATCTTTTATGCAAATTACTAAGGTCGCGACCCTATTGAATATTCAGCATTGCTACGTCATTCTTTTAAACAATGACTGCTCCCAACAAATTTTGTCGGTCTGAAAAGATACAGTATTTTATTATTTTTCAGACCGACAACATTTGTTGGGAGCAGTCATTGACCTCCATACTTACGGTCCATAACCCAACATCTTACAGACTACTGATGCATCTCTGGTATCAAATGAATCATCACAGATTGATCCCCAAATACCATGATAAAAAACTTCTACACGACCTTGGAACTGATTTAAACCATCAATTAATCTAACTAGTACTGCTGGCTGTGATACATCTAAAATACATGGTGACAACCGTTCACATCAACCATAATAGATCTACGATTTTCATCTCTTCAGACTGATTAAATGATTCAAGATTTACGTAGACAAATAACTTGTTTCGGGTTCTGTTTTACTATTTCTGGTTTATAGGCTATTCAATTCCTTTTGTGCGCTTACGTAACTTACATGCAGCCGAATTTGACTCTTGATTAGCATATCAATCTCGTGTTTTTGGTCTAGGTCTCCCCATGATCCCTGTACTTGTAGTGTTTTTGATTGATTTTCTAATTAATATCAACAATGTCATTTATAAAAAGCCTAATTATTAATCAGAAAAGATTTAAGAGCATAAAATCAACCACAATCCGATGATGCATCTCTTATGCTTTTATATGAAGCTACTCACTTTTTAAACAAATGACCCCAGCGTTCTCGTCCTGCTCACAATTATTAAAACCCCAAGGTTTAAACTGACAATCACCAAGTCCTGTCTCACTACCATTGCATACAACATCATCTAACCAAATTGGACTGTTAGTAAGACCAAAATACCCATTAGGTAGTGGAATTGGTATTGTACTGAAACACAAATCATAAATATCATAGCCTACAGATAGAATTTCAGAGCTCAGAGCCAACGTCCGAAACCCATCTTCTATATTCATTTCAATTTTTGTTTAACATTCCTTTTATCCATTTCAACACAAAAGTTTGATGAACAGTCAGCGAATACCGCTGTCCTAGTACGTCTTGTCCCTCGACATTTCATTATCTGTCTCAAATGCAGGCATGCAGCACATAAATCTTCATTTCATGTCAACAATCTCTTGGACTTGTTGACAATGACTTTTTAATGCAAACTTACTTCGGCATTCCTAGTTGATTACAAACAACAGTAGCTTCTGGTATTCCCCACAGATCATCACAAACAGTTCCCCAGGTTCCATTATGTAATACTTCAACTCTACCCATAGTCTGATCACTTCCGTTGGTTAATCTAACCTGTAAACCTTGGTTATTGATAGTACCTACATAAAAATAGATTCAAAGACATCGGTTATTGATAGTACCTAAATACAAATAGATTCAAAGATAATAACTCATACTTAGTATTTTTCGATTTTTCTTATTTTCAGAGTTCATCCTTGAGTGATTATAAACAATTACACCAAGTTGAGACTCGTCTCAATACACCCTAACACCAAGTTTTGTCAAAATCTGTCGATAATTACGACTTTTAGAGTGTTTACAAGCAATTGTGGACGGACCAACGAACGGCCGGACGGACAATGTCGGACCAGCATGACACCATTATTCAGCTTCACACCTAATCAGAGAACTGATAAGGCCGTTTTGCTATGAGAATGAGAAAGATGAGCCACAGTGGTTTTTAATTATTTTTTTTCTCTAAAAGTTAAAAAAAATTAATTAAAAAAAAAATAATAAAAAATAAAATAGATAAAAAATAAATAAATGAATAGACAAAAACCTTTATTTCCTTATGATAACGATGGGTCACCATAAACATCGGTTATTGATAGTACCTATACAAATAGATCTAAAACATCGGTTATTGATAGTACCTTAAATACAAATAGATCTAAAAACATCGGTTATTGGTAGTACCTTAAATACAAATAGATCTAAAAACATCGGTTATTGATAGTACCTATACAAATAGATCTAAAAACATCGGTTATTGATAGTACCTTAAATATAAATAGATCTAAAAACATCGGTTATTGATAGTACCTTAAATACAAATAGATCTAAAAACATCGATTATTGATAGTACCTTAAATACAAATAGATCTAAAAACATCGGTTATCGACAGTACCTAAATTCAAATAGATCTAAAAACATCGGTTATTGATAGTACCTTAAATACAAATAGATCTAAAAACATCGGTTATTGATAGTACCTTAAATACAAATAGATCTAAAAACATCGATTATTGATAGTACCTTAAATACAAATAGATCTAAAGACATCGGTTAATGATAGTACCTTAAATACAAATAGATCTAAAGACATCGGTTAATGATAGTACCTTAAATACAAATAGATCTAAAAACATCGGTTATTGATAGTACCTAAAATACAAATAGATCTAAAAACATCGGTTATTGATAGTACCTAAAATACAAATAGATCTAAAAACATCGGTTATTGCTAGTACATAAATACAAATAGACCCAAAGACATCGGTTATTGACAGTACCTAAATTCGAATAGATCTAAAAACATCGGTTACCTTAAATACACACAGATCCAGGGGTAATGTGTCAGTGACAACAGTTTGATGCAACATGAGCATGAGTAGTCATCCAAAGCTATATATTTGATTGCCCATTGGGATGTGAAGGTAGAAAATTCCAATGTTCACAGTACATTGCTTGACAATATCATAAAGGTTGAAAAAGAATTCTTACTTGAAGAACATTTTAGACCAACATCTTCAGAATGGCCACAGTTTCCTAGCCCCCAGGCGTTATGGTTACAATCTGTTATAGAGGATTCATTACCAATACATCGTACATTATCTAACCATATAGGTCCTGTACCACTTCCATACTGAGCTCTGTTTTTTACTAAAACTTTAGTTACACTGAAAAAAAATCGTTCTGATGGTTCAAATTTTGCTTGCTAAAAATGTACTCTTTTACAGTCTGTACATCCATATCCATTCAATTTCTGACAAGAAACCATATCATTTAGTTTCGAGTTACATTGTATTGTATAATCAAGCTGCGATTACATGTGTACGCAAACTCAATTAAAAAAAGAACCAGACCAAATCCTATCAAAATCCTTAGCAAATCCAATTTCTCTGCTTACATGACATCTTGTCCTCAAATTCAACACCTCGGTAAGCGCAACGGTTCACTCATTGGGCGATATTTTCTTCTGCGGACTGCCACGGACAGCCGATATGGTGCCATTGGTGATCTTTCCTCTCCTCTTATGTAAATTGACACGTACGGACACATGTAATCAGGTTTGAGTTTGAGTATAAGTTTGTGTTTGAGTTAGGTACAGTTGTAATCACATCTTTACAAAGAACAAACTCATACGTCTCTTCAATCTATTACATATCATTTTCGTGTCCATAGTAACTGAATAGCTGAACAGTCAATCAATTTTGAGGTTTGATTGATGGAACAATCAGAAAATAGAGTACTTACTCACTAACACCAAGCATCTTACATACAACCTTAGCTTCATCTTGGTTAAATCCATCATCACATACAGTTCCCCATTTCTCATTATAATAAACTTCTAAACGACCTTCATATGGTGATGGTCCATCTTTTAGCCGTACTTTGACATCATGTAATGGTGCGACTGTAAACACAAAATTTATTGATTATTGAGTGTGTCGATGGTCAGTCACTGGATCTTTCATAAGTTTATAATGGAGATCCATATCTATATAGATAATATTTATATCAAGCATAATTGCTATGATAAAAACAGAGACCCATTGATTAATGCCAAATACATTAATATCAAATCACAAGAATCTTTGTAGCAAACTGACTGTATTTTGAATAGTATAATACTTACTCCACTGACATACCAGACCAATATCTTCAGAATGATCACAATTTCCATTGCCTGGTAATTTCTGAGTGGGACAATCCATTATATCTGTTTCATTGCCCAAACAATGTAAATCATCTAACCATATAGTACCATTACCTTCTCCAAATGGTGCTCCTGATAGAGCTACAGCATTGGAACTAAAATATAGATATAATTGTAGCTTCATTTCTAAATTGTATTGAGATATACTACAACTAGGTTTGTTTTTATGGGCTAAATATTGGGGTACCGTCTTCGACGAATAGGACCTAATTCGTGAAATAATAATATTGGGAATCTTATGTTTTCAGATGCTTTTTGATATGAAATTTTCAAACTCATTCGAATCCACATCTAGCCGCTACATGAAGAATGAATAATAGTTCTTCTTACAATGGAAAGTGAAGCTGTCTACAAGCTACTCTAGCAGCAAACTGATTGAAATCATCATCACATACTGTACCCCAAGAATCAGCATAGAATATTTCTAATCTACCAGAATGACGATCATCACCTCCCACTAGTCGTAGTTGAACTGGTGCTACAAAAACAGTATAGATTCTTAATTATGGACAGAATCGTTTGCAATAAAATCTATAGTGGCAAATAGCCATTTTAATGACTCAATACAACTTGCCACCCTTTTTTATTGCTGAACAGATGACTTCCATGGAAGCTATTATGCCCGGCGTTGTTTTAACTACTATTAACAGATTGAACCCTTTCTATTGGATGACAGTACATAGTTCTTTGAGTTTTAATTTGATACCAATTGGTTTGGAAGGGGAATTTTGGAAAAAGCTGGTCTACCTGGATTGCAGTCTACACCAGCATCATCACGATGGGTACAATCATGATCACCCCAGCCTTTATTAGAACATTCTAGTATATTATTCTCGGTACCATCACAACCAACATCGTCTAATAATATTGGCCCTGATCCGCTTCCATAGTGAGCTTTAATGTATGGTCTAGACTTGTCCCTAAAATAATAACAGTAATGTATCTGAAACCATGATGTAGGTCTTTCATATAAATACTGTTTGCGTCAGATATCAAATTGTGACAAAAGTAACTTACGAGTCATTTGCTTTTGTTTTTTTTTATATTAGGAAGTTGGTCGATGAGCCTAATAGCTGATAATATATAGTTCGGGCATTAGAACCCGTATTGCAGACGACACATAGGTCCGTTTCTTTCCCTTATTCAGTACACAAAAGCGCAGACACAGATCAAATCCGGTAGGTCGATAACGCCTGAAAACTGACACGCTTCCGTTATATGATTATCAAGTATGTCTTCATGATAGTGTAGTGTTACTTATAAAAAGCTTACCGCTGAAATCCGAGCTGATGACAAACAACCATAGCATCTTTCTTGCCGAATGAATCATCACAGATTGTACCCCATGTATTATTATAGAAAATCTCCACTCTACCATTACTAGTGGATGTTCCATTTACTAATCTTACTTTTACAGTTGCTCCTATATTATAAAGATGTTTTTTTTGAAAAACGTGATATTAGATTGGAATTTTAGTTCTAAGCTAGGTAAGATAGTAAGATAAGGTGGTTTGCCCATGTAAAGACTATCATAAATCATGTCGACATCTTGGACAAAAGACTCCTTACCAGATTCACAAACAACACCAGCATCTTCATTATGTTTACAATCTGTCACTCCATATTTAGCATGTTGACAATCATCCAAGGATGTTTCTGTACCATCACAAATTACATTGTCCATTATAATTCTCTGGGAAACATCACCTGGTCCAAATGCTGCATGTACTTTAGGAAATGCACCCAAGCTGAAATTAAACGAATTCCAAAATCACTGTTTTCATCATGACAACACAACAGCTACGATTTGAGTCTTGTCATAAATGAAAACCATTTTTGCCGTAATGAAACATACAGGCGTTCGGATAATTTGTGTTTTAATAAAAGAGGAATAAAACAAAAGAACTTGAAATAACTTACATTGGTAAACCAAGCATCCTACAAACGACTTTGGCGTTACGACTATCCCAATTATCATCGCATACTGTTCCCCATTGTCCTCTATAGAACACTTCAACTCTACCAGCGGTTTTTACACCACTACCAACTAATCTTACAGATATATTGTAGTTGGGGTCCACCACATCTGAATTGCACATAAAGAAATGGCTTATAGTGGAGAATCATATGCACATCAACTTCGATTCCTGGATGTAATTGTTATGCTACAAGAATTAGGATAATATAATATTTTTGTTGATATTTAGGACAGTCGCTGATATTGGACGTAACTCAGATGTGGTATACTTGATTGGTTAGGTAACCGGTTTTCAAGAGGATCCCGAGAAAAAACGTTCATATACGCTACGAGAACCAATGAATAATTTTTTTTGTGAAGATAGCTCGTCCATAATACTTACGAAGACAGATAACAGACGCGTCTTCTGAATGGCGACAGTTTCCTTGTCCCCAGGTTCTATGTCCACATTGTGATAGTGTTAACTCACTACCTTTACAGTTCACATCATCTAACCAGATCTTCCCTGATCCCTGTCCAAACCAGGCTCTACTTTTAGCTATAGCACCAGTTCTAATAAAGGACAAGTATTAAATTCTATGATAAGAAGTAGAAGATATGTGACGCATGGTATTCATGGTGATAAGTAGACTATACTACCATAGTTACGGGTGTTGGTAATAACCTTCCTTAATCAACTTACGCATTAAATCCAAGCATTCTACAGACAACTTGTGCTTCTTCTGGACCCCAGTTATCATCACAAACAGAACCCCATTCATCATTAAACATTACCATTACTCTGCCTTCATATGGACCTTCACCATTATCAAGTTGTATTTGTAATGGTGGTGCTGAACATAACAAAATAAAAACGTTTTGATATAATAATGTGAGTACCCTTGTGGTACCACTAAACAGTCTTCTACATGGTTTCATACAGAAACTTTGACATAATTTATTATGGTTATATCAAAGAATGGTGCTGTCAAACCGTAAAACTTACGTGGAGGGCATTTTACAGAAGCATCATGTGCATGAGAACAATTGGAATTGACGTTCACCCATCCATTAAAATCACAGCCACCAATTAATGATTCAGTTCCAACACAGTTCACATTATCCATAAATATCGCTCCAGCACCTTGACCATATGCTGCTCCCTTTACTGCTTTCGGAGCTAATCTGAAATAAAGTAATAATAAGTTTTTTTACAGAGAAATTCTTTTTTTAAAAACCGCCAGGTTCATTCATTTATTCTCATCTTAAATGATACACTGTGGTCGTTCATACCATTTCATGCCTATACCTCATT